CTACCTTACCTTATGCATTCCCAAATTTATAGAGCTCAAAGGCTCCAAGTATTCACTATCAACCTCTTCCATTTTATAGATTGGTAAAAAAGGCTTAAAAGATTTTAAAAGTCGCTCTGTTTTATTTTATTTTATTTTGTTTCCATTTTATTCTGCCAATATTTCTCTATAGAATTAAAAAACATAATATATACCCAACGAGAACATATCCCACTATAGAATCGCAGTCCCTAAGACTCTCTGCTGACTAGTACTCAGTGTTGTATTCAACATGAAATCTCTATAGAATCAGAGACCCCAAGGTCCTCTATAAAATTGAAAGCGTTGACACTGGGTAGGTACCCCTAAACAAACCAGGGGGTCAAAACGCACCATTTTCCAGGACCTAACGTTCCTGATTCTGTAGAGGAAATTCCAAGGGGGATTTCCGAATAATGAATAATTATAATTTAACATAAATTATATTATAAATAGATAATTAAATATTTATTACAACAATAATAATATAAAATATATTGGTAGAAATTTGAGTTTTGCCACAATTCAGTCGCTTTTTTGTCTTGATATTGCACGCTCCCTCATTTGTGCTTTTCATTTGAGATTTATTTAGATTAATATAGATTAATTATATAATATATTTTGGTTGTTATATTTGATTGGCAGTTCCAGTGCGACTGTTTGTCGAAAGGAATAATTCTAAAGAGGATTAAAAAGGTCGATGTTCAACCCGATGGTCAAGAAGCAAACGATTACTTCTCTAAAAGGCACATCGTGTACCGGTTCAACGAAAATAGCAGCGTTCCAAACCTTCACCCTGGGCAAAACACAATTTAGTGAATGGGAATGAATCAAATCTGATCAAAAAAAACATAGCCGCAAAATCAACATGTTGTTTGGCATAGGCAATCTCCAATGCATCTGGTACATGGGAAGTATTTCCTCCAGGTATAAAGGTTGAACACTGCTCAAGTGCAGTCTTGCACACATTGACTCCCACCTGTGCGCTCCCCTGGGGGCCCACAGGTGGATTAGAAAAAGCGAAACTCCAAGCTGAGAGTTCCTGCATCGCCACCAATGTGGACGAAAATTCCGCTTTGGAGCAAGTGAGCAAAGGCACCAAGCTCTAAAATGCTTGAAAAAATCAATCACAATGTACAGCTGTCTGTGCCGGGCCCAGACTTGCTCCTATAATGTTAGTTGATGTCCATTCGTTCCTAGTTCTACTTTAGCCAGCTGGGCTATACCTTCGGCTTGTGACGTGTGGATGAGGCTCAATCTCCACAGATGCAGAAAAAATCATAATCCCAAATCATCGAAATGGGATTCCATGCTCGGCCGCAATCTGAATTCCCTAAGATCAAACTTATGAAGACAAACACATACGACGAGTATCTTGCCCTGGGTCTTGTCTTCTCGTTTCACCTATAACACCATATCACACACACATATCACACATACTTCAAAACCACTAAATCATGTCAGATCACACAACCAAAAATCATAATATATATATATATATATAATTATATATATATATACATATATATTATATATATATGTAAAGGCTACTGACATAAATTTTGAACCGAAGCAAAATGAAAAGGTCTCCACAAGCCACGGCAGGTCAGGTACGTCTTCCCATGATCACAGGAGTGGATGGAGGTCTGGGAGTCCTGGATCCACCGGGGAACCATGGAGATCTAAGGGTATACCTTAACTGTGCCAAAACCTTGGCCTAACTCGTCCATATCAATGCCGGATACCAACAAAAACGGAGAGAGAAGTCATCTACAGCTTTCCTAGCTTAGTAATGACATGTAATGACTACTATCCCTGTTGCATTTGCATGTTTTCTCTGGGCCTAGTTCAGATTGGTCTAGCCTCCCATCGTCGGTCTGTTTTTTTCCATCCATTTCCAGATGGGACGGATAGGTGAAAAAGACATGATGGCATTACTTCAACATACCTAAAATTTCATGCTGTTATGGTATAACTTAATTCTTCTATATGGTATAGTATAAATATATTACCTATGTAATATCCTGTATATATATATATATCACATCTATAATTGGTATGATGGTTTTAAGGTGGTTTAAAGCAGCATTTGTTTCATCACTCAATTAGAACAACGTTTTTGCACCACATATATAAATATACATGATATAACAGTATGTAACAGTTATAATATGTTATAATACTTATTTACACTAGTTTTTTACAATAGTTATTTACAATAGTTATCATAATAGTGGTAAGTGACCTTCTGATCCATCACTCGATTTTATGTATCTTTGGGCAGTCCAATCGTTTCGCGTCATTGCGAGCCTGAGATCCACGTTGTCTCTGGCACAAGCCACCTTGGTCTGAAAGTTCTCCGGGGTACAATATGGGTACATGGCCTACATAGCTGTGCGACATATATCCGGCCAAATATGCCAAATCATACCATCATTAAAAAACGCCCGCCCCTCACATCAATCCAAACTTGACCTGGTGCTTCCGTGAACAAGTCACTGTTTGAATCTGCCCTAGATGCTTCCAAGAAGCCAGTTCTGTGGGAAAGTCGGGGCAGCGGAACGGACAGGGGTCCCGCTTCTCATCCAAAATCCAGTTGGAGATGCACGCCTCCTATAGCTTTCAGGGATGCGGTGGGGCCCCTGGGACAATTCGCAGGAATCATCGATCCAGTTTCTGCAGCCTCTTGACTAAAATCGGAAGGTTCTTTGACATATTCGATCTTTGTGGACTCAACATTATCAACTGATATAGCATCAACGTGGTTTTGTTACATTGCTGATTCTACTCCGCTGTCATCCACATCGATCATCCCACACGTTTCACTCCAGGCGCTGAAATGCTGCCAAATGTGCGTGGAAAATGTGGCCGCAGTCAAGCTTCACCACCTGGGCCCGGAACATTTGATTCCCTCGCGCCGATTGACAGGTCATGTTTGATCCATCTTGGTGCCCCTACACATCTGATGACTCTAACTATTCAAAAGATGGTTCTATTATATATATATAATTATATATATATAACTATATATATATAATCCTGTATAATTATATACGTATATATATATAATGTCCTATGATGTCCTACGTATGTTTTACCTGAGTCTGGAAGCCAGTGGCTTCCGGTCTCCTCAAGTTTTAGATCAGTTGGATCAATCATGAGCATCCCACTTGCGGCTCACAGCGTTGATTCAGCCAAGTCATGCCAAGACACTGTGCAAGTGGGCGTGTACTCAGCGAGGCAGAAAACGCAGATGTGCCTGGTCTGAAAGCGAAGTGAACAAGTCTAAACAAGGACGGACCAAGCTCCCAAAATTGGTTTGAAGGACGACCTTTCAAGAAGAAACAAGTGGTTTTCTGTTTGGCTTCGGACTGTAAGCGTAAGTGAAGCCCAAGGAGTTTCTCAACAGGAGTTCATTCAGAAAAGGCAACAATGTGTAGTTGAACGCTCATATCCACACCGGCTCATGTGCCGGTGTGCTCTGTTTCAGAAACCAAATTTCGATAAGTCATCATCATCATCATCATCATCATCATCATGAAACTACTCCTGCTTCAATTCAATATCTTCCTCTGGTATCTTCAGTCCAACTTCAAAGTAGGCCTTCATCGCTAGTTCTCCTTTTTCGCCCCGGAGATCTTCCACTTGGTGGTTCACCCCGGGAATTGTAGGTGGGTAAAATCACCCCAGTTGTCCCATACTCTACGTACTGTAGTTCACTGGGGTGGACCAGCCCACTTATTAACTAAGTGCCAATCAGGTTGGTAGCACTTCACCAAGACGCTCGTTTTGAATGTTGGCTTTGGACTCCTCCGGCACCGGAGCCTCTTCTGGTGGAGTCCTCCGAGGGCTGGCGGCGTAACGGCCGCACTTTTTGGGTAGACTTGGGAATGAAACACTTGGGTGATTTGGGGCACCCCATTCAATATATTCAACAAAAATACATGGCTCATGGCTCATGGCCAATATCTGAACCCCGTATCTGCACTCTCCGTCGCAAAATAAATAGACAGTCCATTGCAGTTGACTCACATTCACCGCAGGAATGATCAGGGAATCCATCTCACCACTGTCGCAGAGAGAAAAAAAAGGACCCTCCTTGGCTCAAGGTCTTGCCAATTTCTCCGTGGCAAACTCTTCAAATACCTTGGCTTCCGATTTCGCAGGCAAATCCAATATATGTATATATATATACATATTTATATTTATACTTTATACAACATAATATCCATATATGGATACACAGTATATATATATACTGTATATAAGGATATAATATCTATATGTACATATATAAGTATACATATTATAAATATATAATACTTATACAAATAGATCCTGTGTATGCAAAAAACATGCAAACATGTAAACCTGTGTGCACTTTCAAGCCACCTGATGTGGAGGGCTGCTTGCCCTGAACTCCGTTCATCCACAAGCTATACCAGGATTTTGCAGGCTCTAGCGTCCTACAAATATGCCAATCCCACTGGGAATCCTAGAGCAAATATGCTCAAGGTAGTTGTAATGGACATCACCCCAAACCCTCCAGCAATTCCAACAAATGCTCTATAAAATCTTCCACTACATACCTTAGAGTGGCAAAAAATCCACGGGAACTTCAGTAAACCATTAGTTCTCCCTTGAAATGAAACACCACTTTTCGGTCTGACCTTCAATTGGGTGAAAGGCATACCCATCCCCCTTTCTCCAAAACACTCTTTGCGGTTGTTCTTCTGCTCCTCTTGGCGAGTTGCCTAAGCATCGGCCAAAAGATTGCTCCAACCTTGTTGCAAATGCAGGTCCACAGTAGTTGCTTTATGGGTGGAATATGAGTGGAATACCTCATCTGCCCAGTTTGTTTGTTCCAACAGGCAATCATAGGCAATTCAATCTATGCGTGTGTCCAAAAAAAGGAGAGATACCCCAACCCAGCAGCAAATACAGACCAAGCTTTTCTGAATGGGTATGGATCCGGGTTGTTAGGGGCCCCCAATCCTGGAAAACATCATGAAACAACCTCTCACATGTCCAGCGAGTCAGCATGCCTGTGCAAGCATACCAAGGTACTGTGACCTTTCTTCGATACTTTCGAAATTGGCGCCAGAAAATTGCACCAATGATGACCTGCGTTCGAAACCCAAACGTGTTGCGGACTTGGGGAGGTTAGGAGCTGTCGTTTTCTTTTTTCCGTGGTGCGACTTTAAGAAGATACACACACTCAGACACACACACACACACACCCGCGCGCGCGCACGGCAATACTAATCAACAGGAGCTTGTCACGACCTTGGATTTTTGCCCTAACACTGGTAGATGCAGTCACATCATTGCAGCAAATGCACTTGGCACCAAACCATCAACACAGTGACAATGTAATTAGGCAGCTGATCCTTGCATGTGGAGGGCCTTGATGTAGATGTTTTTTTCAACAGCCAGGAAGTGTATTGTCACTGCCTTTTAGCGAAAGATTGCAAGAAATAACATGCGAAACCGCTTTCTTGATTACTGACTATCCTTTATTTACTCAGTTTTTTTTTGCTGTGCACCAACCTCAACCTGCCATCAGCCACCAGAAGCTCTATACAATTCCAATCAAATCCAAACATTGGCCACATTCAGCTGGAGAATCATCTTTCTGACACATGTTTAGTGTGGTAGGGTTGAAAATTGATTTTAGCGGAGAACTCACTTACTCTTGGCCCTTGATAACTTGATGACCCATGGATACCCATGGTGTGCCTGCCTGCAACAGATCAAAATAGAGGATGGCGAAGGCATACTTAGCAGTCAGAGGCCAGGAAACCACCAAAGCTCATTGATAGAATCATTCTTGATTTCTATGGGGTATTCAAGACTGAACCCAAACAAGAGGTTGAATATTGGTTTCCTACATTAATTATTAGTTTCCTACATTTTGATACACTTTGTAGGTCTTCCGAATCATCAATACACGGGTGAAGAGTGCCAAATGTGCATGCCTGTCATATCTGTCATGAGGTGTCAACTCACAAGAGCATGCTATGTATGCTATTGTGAAACATAAATTCAAAATTCAAAAGCTCAGTATCTTCCCAACTTGGCGATTTCAATGTACCACAGAGCATGTCTGGTGATTTTCTGAAGCTCAGCAGCATAATAGGCGAAGCCCCACGTCGACCAGTCAACTCTCACCATGACACCGTGGATACCCAGAAAGACTGCCTGAACCATGGGGACTGCGAGAAGTCAAGATATCCCGCATTGATATTGTCCAGTCCCCGATAAGGATATATCCGCTGATAGCATTGTCATCATATCCTCCATAAGGATCCATAGGATCCATACGGTCCTCCACAATATCTGCCATATGTGCATGAAATGAATCAGAAAGATTTGTGTAAATCGGCTTTGACCGAACATGCAAACTCATTAGATTCCACACAGAGGGTCACTGGTTGGGTGGTTGTGAATCGCTCTGACACTTGCTGACATCATCACAACTTATCCCATCCCCCTATATTCAGCAGCCACAGGGACCCAAATTGAATGGTCTCGTTCGGTGGGCTTTCAATATTAGGGATGGGGGATTATTGAAAATCATAGTCTTCACTGACTTGAAGAACACCCCCGAAAAAAACGCAACATTTTGCAGGACATGATCGCAGGCTGGATGGGCTGGGCAAGCCGCGCCTTCACCACCAGGAAAATGACCAGCTTCGTTTCGATCTCCTGATTTCTGGAGCATCACATGGACAAGTTTTGCCTTGCAGTTCTACAACTTCAAACTGGCATGTTCGGCAACAAGGAGGTCGTAAAATACTCACGTTTGGGGCAACATAAAAGTTTCACGACAAATGAAGTTTCTTTACCTTCCATGCTTTCAACATGCTTCAACACCGGCATGCAGCTGTGCCAAAAAATGCCTATCATCTCGGATCAAGCGTCGAAATCCGGATCTTCCACATATGTCTCAAATCTCCTCAGCAATTTGCTACGGCAGCAGTGGGCTTACGAGATCCACAAAACGCTCTCGATCAAAAAGCTACCTGAATGCTGCATCTACTGCATCTACAGTGGAGGTATTTGCATGGAGAGCGCAGGGAAAATTACAAGAAACGGATGGCCATGGCGACCATGTTCATTTCAAAGCAACTTTCATGGTTCCGAAATAGCAAGGCTTTCAATGAGAAAAGGTCTGAATGAATTCCCGGGAAGAACATGGACGAGCCTTGAACAATCTTGACACGACTAAGCCAAGCCCAATCTGCTCACGGATTTGGGTCATCTCAGGGATGTCTTCCCGTCTGCATGATTTTGATACAATTAGATTGGTTTATATTGGTTTCATATCATCCTGATATCATATCTGCAATATTATTTCAAACAGCCAAGGATGTGGAATTCCTATGTTCATCCATGTTCAACCATTGAATGCACCATCATCTTCCAGCGTATTACTTTCAACTTCCTTGGTTGTTTCAGGATGTTTCAGGTATGGTATGGTTGGGTCATGTTGGGTCTACAGCACCAAGCCAGCGAGCCAAGGTTCCAAACGACTCGTCCGAGCCAAATAGCAGTGCTTAGGGTAGCCTTGGGGAACAGCGACACCAGGCGGATCTCAGAGGGCTACAGCTCCCAGATGCTCCCAGGCTTCCCCTAAGGCCCGAGCGCAGCTCATGCCAAGTAGGTATGCGATCCCGGAACCCCGGCGTCTCATGTCTCACTCCTGAATCTGGATGCCCAGTGGAAAGTAGGTCACCAACTATCTGAGTTGCTCACCACAGTTGACATGTTCTGACCCCCCGATTAAGCTGAGGTGGCTGGCATTCCCTGACGTGATGTCATGGTAGGCTTGCTGAAAGTGCAATCATTGTTCAATCAAAAAGTTCATGACCGGATACAGTATCCAAATGTTCTGTGCTGGACACACAATGAGATTTGCAGTGAAAATCACAGGAAAGCCTTTTCAGGACAAACTAAATTGTGAGGATCAAAGTGGGGTGCCTAAAAAGACATGACCCAAATCTACAGGTCCAAACGTCGCGGAAGCATCTACAATATTTGTCGTTCGCCTTCAAGCCAACCTACAAAACCAAGGTGATATTGGCAAACAACAATTGGATTCTGACTCCACATTTCAATTTGACCAATGTTCAAACCCTGAACTGAAATGTCGTCCCTTCAAAAATGGGTTGGTCAGCAGGAATTCCGATAGTTGATTCTGAGACTCCCCAATCAATATTGGATAGCATATTATCCGAACTGATCATCAACAGGCATTTGAATATATTTGAACATACTTGAACACTGCTCAATTGTCCCCGAACAGAAGCCTTTGTCTGTTGTACTCTACTAGGCCGAGGCACACGTGAGGTACGCACGGTGCTCTGGCACACGGCCGCTTCCAGGAAACAGAAACCCGATGCATGTGCTTGGAGCCAAGTTGCATGTGAAACATCCTAGCTCAATCAGGCTTAATCAGGCTTAATCAGGCTTAATCTCTTCAAATCGAGCGTATACCCGGATACCCGAGCTTGTTGGGGAAGTACAAGGGAACTGTGTGGCAATTTGATATGATTCCTCAGCCTAAATAGTGTCTGACCCCCTAGCAATTTGAAACTATGGCTTTGTACCCTTGGCAGAACGCCACAGCCAAAAACCTGACCGAACTATGATCGAAAGACACACTGGGAATCTCTCCATACTCCTGATATGTCCTGACAAAACAATACGATACTTGGCAGTGACAGAAACATCAGAAACAATATCCACACTTCCATGCAGCGCCAAGGCGTCTTTTGTCGCTCTTTGATCGCGTCAAGCTGTGGCCACAGCTCTCATTTCTCAAGCCAGTTCTCTTCATCTATGAAACTAGGTGGATATGGATCAACATTGGGATATCAATGGACTCACAAATGTGGGACATTTCAAATTAAAAGTTTTAAACACTATCACCATACTATACTATGTATCATACATTCTTGCGGGGTCTCTAATTTTGATGCATTGGAAAAAATCATCAACATGAATACAATATAATAATATAATACAACATCCTCTAAAACACCATAATCATCCTGGATTTCCATGGATTTTCCCAGCCCCCGGAGAAACCCGAGCTGTGGCCACAGCCGCCGCGAGAAACAACGCTTGCCGCGCCCTGGCGGCGCCCTGTCGCCCGAAGCTTCCCTGGCACCACGCTACGCGCTATGTAGGCAGTATCCAGTGGATAAAAAATATGATAAAAGCACAAAGTAAACAACAAATACAGGGAATACACTGTAGATATACCAAAGAATATATACTTGAGGCCGGGGGTGGATGACGAAAGCTAGCGGGGTAGGAGAAAGAAGGAAGGGAAGAGGTGAGTTGCGGAGGGACTGTCATCATCATGTCGCGGCATTGTTCGTCCCAACGAGGATGCAACAATGATATATGATATATGATATATAACAATGATATATATGGGGGAGGGGGCAGGGGGGGGCCCTTTCGCGTGAAAAAGCACGTGATGTCCTTGGGGAGCCCCGGAATACTTGCTAAAGCAAGAAGACTCTAGCGAGCTGACGCTAGCTTTCGTGATAATGCCAATAATTGCCAAAAATGATAAAATGTAATTGATTAACGATGATGGTGATGATGATGATGATGATGATGACGAGGACGAGGACGATGACGATGACGAGGACAAGGACGAGGACGAGGACGATGATGATGATGATGATGATGATGATGATGACGATGACGAGGACGATGGCGAGGACGATGACAATGATGATGATGATGATGATGACGACGACGACGACGACGATGACGATGACGATGAAGATGACGATGATGATGGTGATGGTGATGATGATGATGATGATGATGGTGGTGGTGATGATGATGATGACGACGATGACGAGGACGATGGCGAGGACGATGACGATGACGATTATGATGATGATGATGATGATGATGACGATGACGATGACGATGACGATGACGATGATGATGATGATGATGATGGTGGTGATGGTGGTGGTGGTGGTGGTGGGGGGGTCCCCCCCTTTCGCGTGAAAAATCACGTGATGTCCTTGAGCAGCCCCCGGAATACTTGCTAAAGCAAGAAGACTCCAGCTAGCTGACGCTAGCTTTCGTGATTATATATGATATATGATGTATCTATATTTTATACAACATTGGGATCCAAACCCTCAAATGGCATGAAATAGTATGCCAGCATCCAAAAGATATGGATGGAACACGGTTGGAAATGTTGGAATCTGGTGGCTTCCAACATGGTTTGATAATGCTCCCGACCCAGTGGGGAGGTTCTCACCATCTGGAAGGATATTTACCCTCTGTGGATCTCTGTGGTAAATTACCATAGTTACACCATAATGTATCATAGTTACGGAATTCACCATCTTGAAATATCTTGAATAGATAAATAAGCTATCTGGAACTATCTGGGCCATCTTCCATAGCCCATGCTAGAGGGTATCTATCTTATCTGGGAAAACTGTGACTTCTACGAAAATCGACCGATTCTAAGAGTGAATTTGTTGTGTGAATTTCTTTTGTTTGGAAACGACATCTGGTAAGCCCATGTAAGCCCTTGTCCTCCCAAGCTTCACCGTGCAAACATGGTGTTCCCATGCGTGAAATCCACAGACTTTCTGAATTCTGAGCGAAACCAACAGTAACTATGAGTAACATTGAGTAACTGCTGAGTAACTGCTATCTCAATGAAAACGAATGAAAACAAATGAACATGATGATGAATCTGCATAGCTGAGTGCTGAAAGAATCGGGATTCACTGATTGACTTGTTTCCAAATCATGCATCGCCTCCAAACTGTGTCCCTGCAGGAACCAAATTTCCCCACAACAACTTGGCCCTCCATTGTGCACAGGAAAGCTTCCGAGTGACAAGTCTGTCCCGCTCCGCTTGGTCGTGAATTTCGGCTGCTCATGCTGCTCGCTCAGCGAAACAGCGTCGATATTTGTGCACTGACGCAGGCGGGGAGGCAGCACCGCGTGGATGACGGAAAATGCTGAAGTGCACGATATTGCAAGGTAGAAATACCAGCCCTGTTGGCTTTCTGGATCTGTCACTTGTACATGACGTGCAGCCATGAAACAAAGCAGCCCGTCCACTGAAGTCGGGGAAGTTTGGAATTTGGAGACATTGCTTACACAAGTAGTGTGCTCTCATACACAGCTTCTCAATCATTGGGATGTATCATGACATATCATGACTATATATTGCTTCCAACTCAAGTACTGCACTTCAGAAGCTTCTGTTTCCTTAACCTTCAACAAGTTGGTGGTTTGCATACTTGCTTCTCATACTTTGTGCATACATCAGCATGTGCAACATTTTATATATTGATAGATTATACAGTACATGTACGCCAGTCCATTGAGGATAATCATTCCAAGCAGGGATGGAACAAACAAACAAACAAACACGTCATCTCGCGAGATCTGTGAGATAAAGCGAAACGCTTCGCATCGGATCGCACCGACCCATTAAGGGCAGAGCTAATGCGCGCCGGGGCACTAACAATTTTCAGAACAGCTGTTGACATTAATCATTGGTCCTCCAAAATGTGATGGTTTGTACCACTTCCGTGGGCATTAAAAACAAAACATGTAGAATCAATGAACATGAAAAAATTGGCTGGCAAAACCTTCAAAATGTGGTGTCCTACTTGCAATGACCAAAATCTCTACTTCCCAGGGCCTCAAATTCTTGACCGCCAATTTTGGTGAGTCCCAAACGCTGAAGTCATCTGAAAACAGGACCACTCATCATACCTAGGTTTTTGGTCGTTTTGGAAGTTCATTGTAGCCATCAAACAATTTTCAAAAATGAAACTACTCCTCACACCAGTTGCTGGCAACCAGAATCAGGCATCAAACATGTGCTCTTCATACTACCAGTGGTCATCAATCGGGAAATCGCCAAGGTAACAAAGGATCAATATAACCAGCCCATAGCAAAAGTGATGTCACCATCCACCCTTGCTCTACTTTGCAATTTAAGTTCATTGCAGGATGTAAGGCACAAAATTGAGGATTACTTACAAAACCTTCAAAATGGTATCTGGCTAGTTTTGCTTTTGCATCCCCTATTGGTTTATTGTATTTCAAGCTTGACATTAAACAAAACAATTGTTGATATCCATGGAAATTCATAGCGACCCCGAATGATAAGGCGCCTATTCCCACAACTTTCCCATGCTATTGGGGTATCTTGAGTATGGGGGGCTTCCGGGAATGGTGGTCCATCATTGTGGGTGCCGATAAAATCCACCAATAGTATATATATATATATAGATAGATAGATACACATACATACATATTACATGTGTATATATATATATATACAAAAAACTTGGATATATCACGATGCATCACCAACCTACAGTATCAGAACTTTAGAGGTATTTAGATATGGGTGTGAAATAGTTTTAGGATTTTTTTTTTGAACAGGTTTGGGAATTTTTTTTGGATTTCTTGGCTGGTACCATTTGCCTAGTGTTTGCGACGGTTTGGAACTTGAATTTGTCATTTTGCATGGTATTTGCCACATTTGGGCATGTTCACCTTCCATTTTGCATGGGATTTACTACATGTGGGCATGTTCACCTTCCATTTTGTATGGTATTTGCCACATTTTGGCATGTTCACCTTCCATTTTGCATGGGTTTTCCTACATGTGGGCATGTTCACCTTCCATTTTGTATGGTATTTGCCACATTTTGGCATGTTCACCTTCCATTTTGCATGGGATGTTCTACATGTGAGCATGTTCACCCAAATATTTACAGATGCGGAAGCTTGGGATTAAATAAAAAGCGGGTGGGGGGGATTGAGGGAGGGCGCTAGCTATCTATCCAGCTAGCTAGCTATCTAGCTATCTAGCTATCTAGCTAGCTATCTATCTAGCAAGCTATCTATCTAGCAAGCTATCTATCTATCTAGCTATCTATCTACCTATCTAGCTAGCTATCTTGCTAACTATCTATCTACCTATCTAGCTATCTAGCTAACTATCTGTCTAGCTATCTAGCTATCTAGCTTTCTATCTATCTAGCTATCTATCTATCTATCTAGCCATCCAGCTGTCTATCCAGCTATCTAGCTATCGAGCTATCTAGCTAACTATCTAGCTAGCTATCTAGCTATCTAGCTTTCTATCTATCTAGCTATCTATCTATCTAGCCATCCAGCTGTCTATCCTGCTATCTAGCTATCGAGCTATCTATCTAGCTATCTATCTATCTAGCTAACTATCTACCTATCTATTTAGCTATCTATCTATCTATCTAGCTATCTATCTAGCTACCTCTTTATCTATCTAGCTAGCTAGCTATCTATCTAGCTATCTATCTAGCCATCTATCTATCTAGCTATCTATCTAGCCATCTATCTATCGAGGTATCTAGCTATCTATCTCTCTAGCTATCTATCCATCTAGCTGGCTATCTATCTATCTAGCTATCTATCTACCAAGCTATCTATCAGCTATCTATCTATCTATCTATCTATCTATCTATCTACTATCTATCTATCTATCTATCTATCTATCTATCTATCTATCTATCTATCTATCTATCTATCACATGTAAACCTGTCAGCTTTCCAGAGAAGGTTAGTTCGCAAAAACCAACTAATGTAACTTGGGTTTAAGTTTAAATAAAAAAAAACGGGAGGGGGGGATTGGGGGGAGGGCGCAGCGCCTCCCCCCAAAGCAGAATGCAAGCACCTCTTCTCACATGTTACGTTGCTAGTTTTCAAGAGAAGGTTGGTCATGTGATACTCAGGGATGTAAATACTCTGCAAAATGCATCTTACATGAAAATCAAGTATTTATCGCAGGCAAAGCAAAAAAAAAAGCAGAGAAGCAAAAAAGCAGAGAAGCAAAAAAACAGGAAACGCACAAAAGCAAAACAGCAGAAAGGAAAAGAAGCAGGAAAAGCAGAGAAGCAGGAAAAGCAGGAAAAGCAGAGAAGCAAAGAAACAGGAAAAACAGAAAAGCAAAAAAGCAGATTAAAGGACCGGATAACCCCACAAGTCAACTTCTCCCTAAAATGAGCTTCAATGGTTTTAGCGGGGACAGGGAAGCAAAGAAAGACAAAGGAGATGGTGAAAGATCGAGAAGGTAAAATGGTAGGTATGTATGTATGTATGTATGTATGTATGGTATGGTATGGTATGGTATGGTATGGTATGGTATGGTATGGTAATGTAATGTAATGTAATGTAATGTAATGTATGTATGTATGTATGTATTTATGTATGTATGTATGATTATGTATGTATTTATGTATGTATGTATGTATGTATGTAGGTCGGTAGGTAGGTATGTATGTATGTATGTATGTCACAGGCGCCCAATCCCGGCCCAAGGGCGCCACCCAGTACCATAAGTGCCACGCCTGCCACGCAAAACGACGGTAGCTGTCCCACGCCTGCCACGCGAAACGACGGTGGATGTGACTTTGTGCCACGCCTGCCACGTGAAACGACGGTGGATGTCAGGTTGTGCCACGCCTGCCACGCAAAGTGCCGCGGCGTCACAGGCGCCCAATCCCGGCCCAAGGGCGCCACCCAGTACCATAAGTGCCACGCCTGCCACGCAAAACGACGGTAGATGTCACTTTGTGCCACGCCTGCCACGTGAAACGACGGTGGATGTCAGGTTGTGCCACGCCTGCCACGTGAAACGACGGTGGATATCTAGCTATCTATCTCTCTAGCTATCTATCCATCTAGCTAGCTATCTAATCTATCTACCTATCTATCTATCTAAGCTATCTATCAGCTATCTATCTATCTATCTATCTATCTATCTATCTATCTATCTATCTATCTATCTATCTATCACATGTAAACCTGTCAGCTTTCCAGAGAAGGTTAGTTCGCAAAAACCAACTAATGTAACTTGGGTTTAAGTTTAAATTAAAAAAAGCGGGAGGGGGGGATTGGGGGGAGGGCGCAGCGCCTCCCCCCAAAGCAGAATGCAAGCACCTCTTCTCACATGTTACGTTGCTAGTTTTCAAGAGAAGGTTGGTCATGTGATACTCAGGGATGTAAATACTCTGCAAAATGCATCTTACATGAAAATCAAGTATTTATCGCAGGCAAAGCAAAAAAAAAAGCAGAGAAGCAAAAAAGCAGAGAAGCAAAAAAACAGGAAAAACGCAGCAAAAGCAAAAGCAGAAAGCAGAAAGGAAAGCAGGAAAAGCAGGAAAAGCAGAGAAGCAGGAAAAGCAGGAAAAGCAGAGAAGCAAAGAAACAGGAAAAACAGAAAAGCAAAAAAGCAGATTAAAGGACCGGATAACCCCACAAGTCAACTTCTCCCTAAAATGAGCTTCAATGGTTTTAGCGGGGACAGGGAAGCAAAGAAAGACAAAGGAGATGGTGAAAGATCGAGAAGGTAAAATGGTAGGTATGTATGTATGTATGTATGTATGGTATGGTATGGTATGGTATGGTATGGTATGGTATGTAATGTATGTAATGTAATGTAATGTATGTATGTAATGTATTTATGTATGTATGTATGATTATGTATGTATTTATGTATGTATGTATGTATGTAGGTCGGTAGGTAGGTATGTATGTATGTATGTCACAGGCGCCCAATCCCGGCCCAAGGGCGCCACCCAGTACCATAAGTGCCACGCCTGCCACGCAAAACGACGGTAGATGTCACTTTGTGCCACGCCTGCCACGTGAAACGACGGTGGATGTCAGGTTGTGCCACGCCGGCCACGCAAAGTGCCGCGGCGTCACAGGCGCCCAATCCCGGCCCAAGGGCGCCACCCAGTACCATAAGTGCCACGCTGTGCGTGTTGTGTGTGTGTGTGTTGTTGTGTGTTGTGTCTGTTGGTGTGTGTGTGTGCGTGTATGTTGATAAAGCGTGTGTGGACAAAGTGTTTGTGGACAAAGTGTTTGTGGACAAAGTGTGTGGTGACAAAGTGTGTGTGGACAAAGAGTGTATGTTGATAAAGTGTAGTGTGTGGACAAATAAAGACAAAGTGTGTGTGTGGACAAAGTGTGTGGTGACAAAGTGTGTGTGGACAAAGTGTGTGTGGACAAAGTGTTTTGGACAAAGTGTTTGTTGATAAAGTGTGTGTGGACAAAGTGTGGAGGAGGGCGGAGGAGGAGAAGGCGGAGGAGGAGCCCGGGATACAGAATCAAAAACAAGAACCCCACACAAAGATGTGGGGAAAAAGCAGAGAAGCAGGAGAAGCAGGAGAAGCAGAAAAGCAAAAAAGCAGAAAAGCAGAGAAGCAGAGAAGCAGGAGAAGCAGAAAAGCAAGAAAAGCAGAAAAGCAGCAGAAAAGCAGGAAAAGCAGGAAAAGCAGGAAAAGCAGGAAAGCAGAGAAGCAGGAAAAGCAGGAAAAGCAGAGAAGCAGGAATCCAAAAATAATTCCTAAACCTGATCAAAAAAAAATTCCTAAAATAATTAGCCCTCCATTATATTTAGATTAATTATATCTATATCTCCATCATCTCCATCCAGTGGATGACAACACTGTTCTGCACTACGTTAACTACCAGCAACTACCGCTTTTGCCTCATCTAGCTCTTTCTTCGATATCACACCATCTCCGTCCTTGTCAGCCATGGAAATGATCCTTGGTTGTCATGGCCGTCCGTCAGCCCCCAAAGGTACGGGTACGATAATTGGACCACCACAACACCCACCACCACGCCAACAACTAAGTTTCGGGCCTCGGGTACCGAAAAATCCAAAAGATCCACTGGTCTATCCGTATTTATCCTCTTTGTTGTCATCATTGAAATTGCCCTTTGGGTGTATGCCTGCATCCAATTTTTTGAACAAACCCGTTTACAAACAAGCCTTTCATTCCAGCCAGCCTCCAGGACTTCCTACTTCCTAACACTCAAAAACTCAGTGATGCCCTTGATGTCCAGCATAACTGTGTCATGAGTCAAAGACATGTCTTTTGCATTATATGGTTCATCAAACTAATTGGTGAGAAGTGGTTTGATGACATTCATTCATCTGTAACGAATTTGTATGTGCCTGTCATGTTTGGTCATTTTGTGATACGAAGCCCTGATGTGTTCATCATGATCAAACTTGGTACCTACGACAACTTTGCAGGCCTTTATCTTGAAGCCTCCAATCCCAATCTAGCACCCCTGAGGTTCCGAGTGAACACCCGGCTCCAAGTCAAATCATCAGACTACAAACGGAAAGCTTGGCCATTTTCTGGTCTTGGGACTATCAAGCTTGTGAAACAATATGTAAGTGCAAATAAAACACACACATACACTATCTGTAGTTTCAAAGTGTTTCAAAAACCTCAGAATGTGTGAACACTGTGGCAAGTGATTTTTAGCTTCCACAACAGCAAGAATAACTGACATTAACACAAACAGAACATCTAAAATATTCCAAGATACTGCTGTTTGGCTTCTTCTGCTTCCTTGCTATCAACTTGCATTTCAGTAAGCGAAGCAGTTATCTCTTGCTGGGAAATCACTCCGTCTCCATCCTTGTCAACCTCTTCAAAGCTCTTGGTTTCGACGAAGCGCTTCGCTGCACCAGAAAGAATACTGGCAAGAGTCCCTCGAACCAGTTGATAATGTGAAGCCTCAGCATCTTCTTTTGAGTCTTTCGCTACAGTATCCTTGGGGGGTGCAGCTTCAGCAACAGGCGGTTTTGGATCTTGTGAGACAACCTTTTCTTTTGCTTGATCCAGTTCTTCTTTTGAAATAACGCCATCGCCATCCTTGTCCGCCATCTGCATGATTTGTTGTTGAGCCTCTTCTGCTTCCGGGCTATCAACGTGCATTTCAGTAAGCGAAGCAGTTATCTCTTGCTGGGAAATCACTCCGTCTCCATCCTTGTCAACCTCTTCAAAGCTCTTGGTTTCGACGAAGCGCTTCGCTGCACCAGAAAGAATACTGGCAAGAGTCCCTCGAACCAGTTGGTAATGTGAAGCATCAGCATCTTCTTTTGAGTCTTTCGCTACAGTATCCTTGGGGGGTGCAGCTTCAGCAACAGGCAGTTTTGGATCTTGTGAGACAACCTTTGCTTTTGCTTGATCCAGTTCTTCTTTCGAAATAACGCCATCGCCATCCTTGTCCGCCATCTGCATGATTTGTTGTTGAGCCTCTTCTGCTTCCTTGCTATCAACTTGCATTTCAGTAAGCGAAGCAGTTATCTCTTGCTGGGAAATCACTCCGTCTCCATCCTTGTCAACCTCTTCAAAGCTCTTGGTTTCGACGAAGCGCTTCGCTGCACCAGAAAGAATACTGGCAAGAGTCCCTCGAACCAGTTGGTAATGTGAAGCATCAGCATCTTCTTTTGAGTCTTTCGCTACAGTATCCTTGGGGGGTGCAGCTTCAGCAACAGGCAGTTTTGGATCTTGTGAGACAACCTTTTCTTTTGCTTGATCCAGTTCTTCTTTCGAAATAACGCCATCGCCATCCTTGTCCGCCATCTGCATGATTTGTTGTTGAGCCTCTTCTACTTCTTTGCCATCAATCTTCCTGGGTGCCAAGGCAGGCACAAACAACCCTTTAGAGGCAAGACTCATCATTGATATGGATGATATGGGTCCTAAAATGTGGGTACCAAATCGACCTAATTAAATAAGATCATGTTAGCATCGAAACTTATGGTTTTTGGGGATCCCCCATTCCCCATTTGAAGAACCTCCGATATGTCTAGTAATTATTGAATCATTGAAGCATCCATTGTGGCCCAGAATTTTGCCAAGTATCATCTCGGCTAGAGTCGCAGTAATCTCTGCTTGGGAGATTACCCCATCGCCATCCTACAGCGAAACTCCGGGTTTTGGCATTTTTTTTCTCCACACATGGCCACATGACCATATTAGTTGAGATGGGGATCTCAAGTTGGAAACCTCATGAGACAATCAATATCAATTATAACGGTATAATACAGTCACAGTGCTGAGTGAAACACTGACACAACAAATCATGTCAAGTTTGTCTATGGCTGGCGGATGGCTGACTGATTTGCTGGGATCATCTGTGCGTTTTTCCAGCCCAGTCCTTGTCCACCTCCTCAAATTTCTTTTCCTGTCAAGGCATGCTCCCAACTCTGAAAGATCTGCTTTGCTTTGCAGGAACCGTTGGAGCCATGTTTTACCAAATCCAAAAAGTTATACCATCTGGTTATTTAACATAGCCATAGAAAATCACCATTTTTAATAGGTAAACCATCTATAACTGACCATTTTCAATAGCTATGTTAAATTACCAGAGGGTAATGATGGCCTGCAAATATCTCCTATAGCATCCCTGGTCAAGGGATCCCTTTCCAAGAAGATTTTGATGGGCGATTTTTCGATCCAGGTTGACGAAAACCAATGTTTTTTTGATAACCATACTAAACTCATTCCACATGATGATATTACCACATCTTACCACACTTGCACTTGCAAACTGCAGTTTCACAGATCACACGGAGATCAACAATGATCAGTCCTCAATGAGTTTTCGCCCTGCAGCGGAGAAGACTCCGTGCAAAGTGCCACGCACGATCTTTTTGAGAGGGGATTCAGATTCTGCTTCTTCGCCTGCCGGGTGGCTCTTACTGTCAGAACCTCCGAAGTTTGCAAACTTCTCTGCCCGGGAGTGTTGTGAAGCAGCACTGTCTATCTCTCAAAGCTTGCTAAAGCCAATAGGAGCCATAAAAATTGAAAATTAAATCCACTAGTCTTCAGCCGTGCAACCAGCATCCTGATACATGTTTATTGTTTTCATAAGAACCCCAATGCCATCATATATACCATTCATGCTTTGTAGATGGAGTTTCAACATGTTTCAACCCAGTCCTACAAATCATCTGCAAATGATCAGTGTCAGGCAGTTGTTACTCAGCCCTGCACCTGGAGAGGCAGCCTGGCGCAGGTGCTGAGGGCCAGAGCCAGTTGGGAATGCATGCCAGTTCCTAAACGGATTTTGAATGATTTTGAAGCATGAACATGGAGAAGCTACGTTTTGTTCTACCCAAAACATCCCAAACCAACCCAGTCCCAGTCCCAATCAGAGAGCAGCAGTCCTCCAGAAGTCTGCGCCCTGCACTGGAGAAAACTGATGTATCCTTGGCTTCATATTCCACCAGCGTAGTGGCAGCTGCTGAAAGGATGCCCTGGCCTGCAGCAGAGGGCAGGTGAGGCTGAGGTAAAAATCATCGCATACATCCTGGTAAAATGTTTCTCTTTTTTTGGACAAATTGTAGAAGTGGAAAGGTATGCAAGATGAAACACTGAGAGCAGGGAAAGGCTCCGCAAACTCAGAGATTTGCTCACTCTCTATGCGGAAGTGCCATAGAGTGTCAGGCTCTCTATGTTGCACCAGAAATTTCATGGTGGCTGGCCAGGTCGACTGCGGACATGTCATAGACAAAGGAAAGAAGAGATATTGCAGAACAACATCCGATACCCTCTGTAAACATTACTGTACAATGAGCCGGTTGCACGGCCCTTTCAAAAGGGTTCCAAACCATTGGAGACCTCCTTAGGGAGTTCTGTTCAGCGCCCGCCTATTGGCATTGATGTTGCCGTGGAGCCTGTGGCATCCTGGTGCTGTGCCATAGTGGATGTCAGTGGATGTCAATGGATATCAGTGGATGGTGGGCCAGGAGGGGTCAGTGGAAATGCTTACACCTTCATCAATCAAGCCATGGACATCGTTCAAAGCTGTAACGATCACAACTTAACCATGTTTGGATTTCAGAAATCTGTCTGAGAGCTGCAAAAACACTTTGGCTTATTATTTCTGAGCGTTGATGAAGAGATCGTGACTCAAAGTTGGTGTAGAGCAGCACAGGCTACCCTCAACCCACCAGTTTTGGGGTGTAAATTCGAAAAGTGCAATGACTCAAAAGCCTCGTTCGGCTGCGGCTTCAGCATTTCTGATAATTGGGTAGTTGACTATCCGAAGCAAATCCGTTCTATAAATATCTATAAATAAATGAAGTATATATATATATATATTATGTTGTTATGTATATATATATGTATATATATATATATATGTATATATACATCATATGTTATGTACATATATATATATAATTAATTATAATTGTATATATATATATTACATCTATGTTGGGCATCTTTAGCATTTTCAGAAGGCTATGTGGCTCGGACCCCTATGGCCCTATGGATTTGGATCAAGCCGATCAAGCCCTTGGACTGTGCCATCATGTGCCATCCACCCTCGGTGCCTTGGAAAGGACTCGACCTGTGCCACAGAATTTGATCTCCAATGCATTGAATTGTTGTGTATTTGTTGTATAACGATCCGTGTAATACATGGCAAAGTTTGACTCAGTTCCAACTTCAATCCAAGAATGGATACAAAACCAACGTGCTTTCTTCTCACATCATAGACCAGCCCCTTGCTGAAGTTGACCGCCTTCCAGCATTTTGGCCAACTTCGGCTCAACACCTCAGTTGGACATGGATAGCGCGTGGCGCCACACGTCTGACACAAGACCTCATAGGAAATTACAGAACTGAAGGATACTGACCGGAACAAAAGCAATGATGAAACATATTCCGAGCCTTCAATCCTATGACGAACACAGCAAGTTGAAGTTGAACCATGAATCCACAACATCTACGAAACTCGTACAAATTATGTGCTCTGACGTCGACAATGCAACGGCACCACGCACCACCACCAATCAGCTGTCAATCGTTGCCCAAGTGGCGGCTCCAAAGTCGTCTCTCCAACTCCTGCAGTGATGAGGCATCCTGGGTTAAGTTGCTATGAGCTACAACCCTGGCACCCGAGGTACATCTAGGTACCTCCCCCAAATATGGCAATATGGCAATAATATAGGCGTTGACATCTTTTGAACCATCCACAAGTCCCTTTTTGCCTCGCAATCAACGAAGGTTTACAGTGATCCAGGGTTGACATGAGATCCTTGATGAATCCTTCGATTGTGCTACCCCCAAATTGAGCCCAGATTGTCCGTGGGCATGTCTACCTATGGTATTTCTGTGCTTCTCTACCTATGACTGGGAAACTCCTATAGATCCTTGGCTCCCCATTTCGTACGGAATATGGATACACATAGCTCCTTAGCTCCTCCTACTGGATAGCTACTAGAAAACACATGTTTGGAGTTTGCGGGCGTCCTCAAACTCCGGTACATGTAGTACATATCCAAGTCTTCTTCATATAGTTGGATCTAATTGCTGAACATTACTGGTGGATCTGGAACATCTCCGGCTTTGCACTGGTGCTTGTGGATTGAAATCAAAAAATCATGTTGATTTAGGTGGAGTCCCCACTTTCCAGCTCAGGAAGCAACCGCAGTCAGCTCAGTATTTCGACTTTTAAATTGTGATATTGGATGATATTGGAATATATTGGATATCCTCCGAATTTGAGGTGCCTATTTTGGGGGTTCTCCGACTCTCAATCTGGCAAGTGAATAGCCAGTCAATTGCTGTGCCATCAAGTTGATGAAGAAGTGCCAACCAGTGACCCCAATTCTCACCTGCTGGGTGTGTCTAACAACTGGCGTTGCAATCATTCTAAAGGGGAAAAGGGTGATGCCCACCCATATTCATTGACATCATCAATTGGACGACCCCTCACATTGTGGTTTCCCTTCAAAGGGGATACCGCAGCCTGCAGCAAAGCAGGTCGGATTGGAGCCTCAGCCAAGGAACCTATCTGTGGGCATGGATCATTTTATCTGTTCGGGTACACATCTCACATCACATTCGATCTGAATAGATCCGAATAGTAGATTATACTGTCAAGTATGTATATGTTGCAATATTTTAGATGTTCGCATAGAGATGCATTGGAGATGCTAAGGGTGTTTTTGACCGACTCTCAGGTTCATCATTTTTTGGTGGGCAATGGTTAGTGGATGCAAAATACAAAAATTCCATTAAACAAATTGAGCACAGTTCTTGTATAAACGAAGTGGATTACTTGTGAAATCACTTTCACCCCGGCGGAGTTTCAGTGTTATGGCAAATCAAATAGAATGTAAGAATAAGTATGCCATATGTACTTCCAGGTGGTATGTCAGAAACTACAAGTATGTCAGAATAGTGTTTCAGGGTGGGGATCACTCGAAGAAAGTAATTTTCCTCCAAATGCTGGGGGTGATATCCTGGTATATCACACTCCAGGTTGGTTTCTGTTGCAGTAGTAGGTTCCAACGGCTAAGATTTCCCGTGAACAAGTTATAAGCGGATAATTCATATTGTGATATATTGATATCCATGTCAATATCAATCAATATGTTTTGATATCGAATTTTGAAAATAATGAATCACTGTATGCACTACTGAGTCACTACTGCGGACACATCCTTCCCCATTCACCATTTGGTCCCGACCTGTGACTTTTTCTGAAGCTCTTCCACCCTCTGTGTCAGCTTCGCAATGGAGCCATACAAACGCTTCACATCCTGAGAGCCAAAGCAGGACTTCAATTCAACCCACAGAAAGGGGCAGCAGGATACTTATACCAGTAGTACCGCGCAAGGCGGTGGCGGAAGTTTCAATATTAGGAAAGCTACACGAGAGGTTCGTTGTTGTGAATCACGGATGGCAGAACGAATCCACTGATGGACCGAAAGGTCGTTGGAGTTATGTTTTCTGGACTGGCTGCAATAGTTGCAGTGGTCACCTCACCACAACTGCTGGATGTAGCGTGGTGTAGTTGTAGCTGTAGTGTAGTGTAGTGGAGTTGCAGTTGTGGTGTCATGATGTGTAATGTAATTAGTGTGGTGTAGTTGCAGTTGCAGTTGTAGCTGTGGTGTGGTGCAATTAGTGTAGTATAGTGTAAGGTACTGTAATGTTGTGTACTGTAGTGCGGTATAGTGCAGTGTAGTCTAGTGTAGCGTAGTGTAAAGAGTTGTAGTTGTAGTTGTGGTTGTAGTTGTAGTGAAGTGTGGTGTAGTGTAAATAGTGTAGTGTAGTGTATTTAGTGTAGTGACATGTAGTGGTAGTTGTAGTTGCAGTTGCAAATGTAGTTGTAGTTGTAATGTAGTGTAGTGTAGTGTTGTGTAATGTAGCGTAGTTGCAGTTGCATTTGCATTTGTAGTTGTAGCGTGCTGCAGTGTAATTAGCGTAGTGTAGTTTAATGTTGTGTAGTTGTCGCTGTGGCGGTGGTGGTGGTAGTAGTAGTAGTTGTTGTTGTTGTTGTAGTAGTAGTTGTTGTTGTGGTTGTTGTTGTAATTGTAGTTGTAATTGTAGTAGTAGTAGTAGTTGTAGTAGTAGTCGTTGTTGTTGTTGTTGTTGTCGTTGTTGTTGTTGCTGTTGTAGTTGTAGTTGTAGTTGTAATTGTTGTAGTAGTAGTAGTAGTAGTTGTTGTTGTTGTTGTTGTTGCTGCTGCTGCTGCTGGTGTTGTTGTTGTTGTTGTTGTTGTTGTTATTGCTGTTGTTGTTGCTGTTGTAGTTGTGGTGTAGTGGTGTAATTAGTGTAGCGATGTGTAGTGTAGTATAGTGTAGTATAGTGTAGTATAGCGTAGTATAGTGTAGTATAGTGTAGTATAGTGTAGTAAAGTGTAATTAGATGTAACTAGTGTAGTGTAGTGTAATGTAATGTAGCGTAGTATATTCGCATTCGGTTCTGCAATTAGTTGTAGTTGTCTATCTATCTATCGATCTATCTATCTATCGATCGATCAATCTATCGATCGATCTATCGATCGATCTATCTTTCTATCTATCCATCTATCTACCTGCCTAGCTATCTCTCTATCTGTCTGTTTAGCTGCAAGCTTGAAAACGAAGCTATTCTGCAGAGCTGACGGCCTCGTGCCCATGCGTCTTGCGATTTTTCCAGTCCATATCTCTGAAGTATTGCGCGTGCCACGAAAAAGTGATGCCAAGGTCATACAAAGTGCTGCCCCTGTCACACAAAATCATCTTCCCAAAACTGAAGATCTCTCATGCTCCAAAATGCAACCTCTCTCAGGAAATCAGCGCCCTGACCTCCTAACATCTCTGATGAACATGTTTCTTGTGCTGCGCCTGGCACGGAAAATGCATCTTTCCAGATCCTCTTCAAATGTCCCACGCCTACCATCGTTTTGGGACATACTAGAAAACCCTCACGTTTTGCTCGCTTTTGACAAGGTGCACAATCCGATGCGCCGGCCACGCGAAACGACATCTGAACGTCCAAAAGTGCTCCGTACCCTTCAGTTTTTTGCACTTTTGATTTCGAAATGTGCTTCGCGCCACGAAGGCGTGCACTTTTTCGACATGTCAACTTCCAAAAGTGGTCCGAGAATGGGGTGTTTTGCACATTTTGATTTCGAAATGTGCTTCGCGCCACAACGGCATGCACTTTTTCGACATCTCAACTTCCAAAGGTGGTCCGAACATGGTGTGCTTTGTGCATTTTGACTTGGACACGTGCTTCGCGCCAGAAGAGCGTGCAAGTTTTCATCTCTCATCTCCCCAGATGGCTCCGCACCCGCCGCTTTAGCGAGCCTACTTTTCGACCCTCCGCTGCCACAAATCATTGGAAAACACAATGAATCACGACTTTTCTACCTTTTCGCGCGCCTGCATCTTCTTTCTTCTCACTCTTTCTCTTCTCTGATCTTTCCTCTTCTGCTCTTCTCCTGTCTGACTCTTCTCACCTCTGGCTTTTCCATCTGTCCATATTGTCGGAAGTTTGACTTCTAAACTTCCTTTGACAAGCATATTGACATTGCATAACTAGACTATAATCTAAATGGCTACTGCAGTTTTTGATTTCTAGACACCAAACTTATGATTTTCTCTTTTCTGTTGGGTGAGATTGATGGAGGTTTGATGGAAGGTTGCTGTTGATGGAAGGTTGTGGATGCTTTTACCATGCCTGGAGATGATTCCAATGTAAGCGCGAAGAAATCGTGAGAAACTGATAGAAACTGCAGAACATTCACGTCACAAATCACTTGGCTTGCCTGGCTTGTCCAATAAAGCTAGTGCAAACTTCTCAGAAAGTATATACAGTATATCTATAGAAATCTGGTGAAATCTGCACAACATGACTCGAGAAACTGGTAGGGACGGTAGTGGGCATGACTCAGTCTGACAGGGGGCTGTCCAAAACTGGGTACCCCATAAACACCCAATGGCTTATCAAAAGTGTCCCTCTTAAAACTGCCACTTTGGAGTATATCAAACATGGCTTGCTGGAAATATGTCTTTTAATTAATACACGATAATTAATTACATAATTATATATATATACACTTATTTTATGGTTCGATGATTTTGCGATTAAAACATATTAAAACCTCCATTTATCAACGATTTCCTATTGGAAAAGAACCAAAATGGACCATTCCATTCCCACCCCATAAAGGGCCTCTGCTGTCAGCCGCCACCAAGGCATACCAAGGCACTTCGATGGCTACGACCAGGGTTTCGTACTCTAAGAGCTTTCGGGCGGCTGCGATCTCCTGGTATCAGCATGACAGCAACATCGGGAACCCATTTCCAGCACATGCTTTGTCATCATTTTACCACTGAAAAAGCAACCTCACGAGTAGGCAACCCAGTTTTGAGACATGCACATTCTTTCTTACCATGTTGTATTGAGAGTCTTCCTGCCCTGAATTTAAGTATGAGCTGAAGCACAGGTCTGCAGTGGCTATGGATCAAAAATGATCAAAACCTGTAGTACCATATTTGGATTAATTGGGAGGATATGGGAGGATGAACATCCATTTGCCAGCGATTTTGAGGTTCACCAGGGTAGCCTGTTGGCTCACGTAGCATCCCATAATATCCCATGGCCCCACCTCAGGTGCCACGCCCAAGTTCTGCGCCACGGGCAGGAAGCGTTTGATGCGATTGAGATCATGGTCTTCCATGGCCATGGCCAAATCTAACCTGAGCCGTGGAATGCGACGGCTTGGAGCGTTTGGGAAGACGGACCTTCGGCCATCAACGGATCTACCTTCCCTGAAAGTGGCAACTTGAAGGGGAAAATGGGGAATAGCATTGGGGGGTGCAACTTGTGAGACCACCTCACGTCAAGGACGAGAGATCGCCATTGAGGGATGCAGGACATTGTGATACCGCTGATCTTGAGGATGCCGATGGTGATGGTGAACAGCACACTTGGAGGAAGTGGAGGAAGGAGGAAGGTGCAAACTGAGCTGAAGATGACAACGACGGCACAAAGCTAATCACATCTTCGCAATTGATGATGACTTTTGAGGATCGGAAGAGGACAACAACAACTGGTTCATCATGATGGTTTTGTTTTCCTCATTCTGGGGATTTCAACCACACATTGACAGTCATAACCATTGCAAGTATGAATGGCAAATTTGTTGGAATGTCCATCAAACCCCACCATGAATAAATGCCTCTTGGCTGCCTCCTGCGCTCAAGAAGAGGGAATGCGCAGCATGACTTTCTCTGGATGATTTAAAAAGAATTTAGGGTGGAAAGGTGAAAAACTAATGCGAGAGCAGTTCTGTGGGAAATATCTCAGTTTGGCTTCTGTGCTTGATCGCTGCCCATCTCACTCTTTGGGTAGAACGTCCAATGCGTTCATTTCCCGCCCAAACAACTGCTTTCCAAGACAGCAAGCTCACCAAAGAATTCATCCCCCTTCCATCCCCTTCCTCCTGCTGAGACAGTGAGTATCGGTCAAAAACGTTGTCTCAACTGACAGGATTTTGTCTTTGAGCCCCATGAAACAAAAAATCAACCAATGTCCGGATTTTGTGGGCGGCTGAATATGCCCAAATGTCGGCCCAAACCCAAAATATCAGAATATCTATAAATCCCATGACATCAATATTGATCACAGGTGCAGAACTTCTGCCTCTAGCAGAGCTGGCAGAGCCATTTGGGCAAGTGACTGTGCCTTCGCTCGGTCTGATGCGACGACCTCTTCTGATGCCTGGAGGCAGCACCCCGCTGAGTCCAGGAATGGAAGCCGATGAAGCGGGCTGATCCAATGGATTTGGCAAATGGATGCAAATGTTCCAGACATGGATTTTTTATGACATCTCAGAGTTCAACAGCATTCAGAAAAATTAGACTAATTCATCAATATTAATCATCATCACTATCACTGCTAGAGAATGCTAAGCCTCTGAAACAGTCCGAAAGCTGCGCTCATCTCCAAGAATGCAGGCAGCAGCCCATCAACCCGGAACGCAGCAACATCTTAAGGGTCAGTGGTCAATGTTCACAGCATGGTACCATCCGGCGATCACGTATGGCCGTATGGCAATGGAAAATCTTTATCTTTCATCTAAAAGAACCATCCATCGACATCCAGTCATCCATAAATAGCATAAACCATCATAAGTCTTCATCATTCACACTAACTAAGCTGAAACAGTTGCTATTTTTAGATAGTTGCCCTCACCGTCCAAATAGATGGGGAGTCTCGGCCACTGATGGCCTTGGTTTCCTTGGCTTTCGCTTCAGAGGTTTTGGCCTCAGGGACCTGTCAGGAGTGGCGCCGTCAGCTTTGGATATATAACAAATTGGCCAACCATGGAACACTGGAAACTTTAGATGTTCATGCAAATGTTTAAAAAAAACAGGAAAGCATCACTGAACTAGAACAGTTTCATGTAAACCTAATAGAAAGTTTCAGTTTAAGTGGTCATCTTTTGACCTGGTTTTTGTGACTGAACCCTTGCGACCCCCTATGTGCGAGAACGCACCGTCGGAGAGCTGGGCATTGCAGCACCTGCAGGGGATCCAATCATTGGGTGGTTTTTCGATGGATTAACAGTGACAGTTTGATACAATTTGATTCTGACCAAAAAAAATCAGGCTTTTCATATCGCAGTTGTTGCGTTTGGAACCCCCTTTCAAACAGCACAAAACATCTGAGAAAACTCGCTTAGTTCCCTCCTCACAAGTCACTGGCTGGTCAGGTGACGGACCAAATCAAGGTACTATGCCTGCTAGGTTGTCATTTACGGCATGAAGACTATTTGCAAAATATACAAACAAACACTATGGGATCAATTGGGATCATAGTTCTATGGTGTAATCCCCCTATTCCATCAAAATGGGGAAATACATTAATATTAATATTGCAGGAAGACAAACCCAATTTGTCTCAATGAAACACATTTCAGCGTCTCCAACACCCGACGTCATGTATATCCCAGGGAAGTATAGATTGAACCTACCAGGTTACCCACGGAGATGGTCTGCATTTCTGTTCTGTTTGCCACACTATTCGAAATAATTCTGTGAATTAGCATTAATAATGATAATAATAATAATATAACAATAGTAATACTAATAATTATATAATGATAATCGAAATATAATATATCAAAATACATAGTCTAATATCTATCTGTATAAATATATCATATCATTATTATAAACATCTTGATAACAGTAGCTTCATTGTTTCTTCAAACTTCAAACCACCGTTTCCCAGTGTTCCCTAGTGCCTTCTTTCCCGGGCGGTATGACCCCAGCAGCGGGACTCGGAGGACTGGCAACAGTGGCTACGTCTCCTGGCTGCGAGAAGTGTGGCTCTAACAAGTCCTTGGGGCACCTATGGACCAACAAAATGTGCCATCTTGTGGGTGGTCTTAGAATGTTATAAACATATTTCATATTACAGTATATTGTAGTATACATGTCGTATACATGTCGTATACTACAGTATAACCTGTCTTAAACTTTAACATGATCAAACTATGATCAAACTATGCCATCCATTTTGATCCATTTTTGCGGGGGTTATCATTGATAGTTGACCCGCACCTTTGAAACCATCCTGTCATATCAATGGTCTCATCCGACGGATCGGCGGATCAGCTGCTTGCGGCGACCGCTGAAACGGGCCCCGCGGGCCTCTCTTCATTACCGCAGTTGGTCGGACGAAGATACCATGCTCTGGGGCACACCTGTGATGAAGGCGTGAAGGCAAGATTCTAGTTGTTGAGGCTCTATCACAATGCAAAATGCTGCAATTTTTGCCCAAAATTGCAGTGCGCGCAACATTCAAGAGTCTTGACCACCCAAGATTCATTCGTGTGAAAGAGACAAATTTTGCTGAGAACCCGGCTGAAAGTATACTTCCCCCCGGACACTGCCATTGTTCTTTCCCACTTTCTTGTCCAGCCTGGCTCACAGGTTCTGTTCTTTGGGATCCTCTAAAATTTCAAGAAAACAGGACCATCCTTAAGCGAAGATGCAAGCGTCAAACTGAGGTCAGAGAAAAAATCGAGGCATATCAAACTGGCGATCATAAAACTAGATAAAACTATTTAAGACTCTATAGGATAATTATGGATAATTATCAATCAAGATCTTGAACAAAAGATGAACTGCATCGAATACAATGACCTTTGACAACATGTCTGCATGCCATTGTTTGACGCTGCCCATCTACCCTCTGAGAAAAATTCTGAGGAAACGTGGATAAAAAAACTCGCGCCCATGAAGGACATAATAATACAATATAGCTGGTGCATAGGATGCTATATTACAAATAGAACCCGCGCAAGACAGGTTTAAGAAATGTAACGCTAAAAGATCCAAAAACAAGGTTGCCTATAAATCCTATAGGATTTGCGGCAAACTTCCATGCTCTTTTCCGGGACTTCTGACCTCTTGTCGCAATTGTGAAACCACTTTTCAACTCTTCCAACGACTTCTCACCTCTCGTCAACTCTTTTCAACGACCTTCATTTCTGTGCACATCTTCTTGACTCTCCTCAACTCTCTTTTGATCTCTCTCTTCTCCTCTCAACTCCTTTCAACTCGCGTTGGCTCATCTCACCTCAGTTCCACCTGTCCAATTTTTTCTCAGCCCAGTCGAAGTGACGCAGTTGCAAACTTTCTTGTTCAGGCCTAATTGCCTTTCGATTTGATCATGGTTTCAACATTCGATTGTGTTATCATTCTCGTGTCATGTGCTACTGTTGACTGTTATTGACTGTTACCTTCCGTCCAACGTTCAAGCACGCTTGGGCCGCAGTTTTTTTTCCACGCGCGCGAAGAGCTGTGATGTCACGAGCAGCCATCTGTCAAGAGCGCTCGTGAGCAGCACAGCCGCACGCGTCTTTGAGTCCCGCATGCCTGAAAGGCGAAACGAGCAAGGATATTACGCAAGCAGCACAGCTGTGCGTGCCACCGGAATGCAGCAAGGCGTGGCAAACGAAGGCAGCACAGCCGTGCGCTCTTCTTCCCTGCTTCTTTCTGCTAGACATAATGTCGCCATCGCAATCCAGCTTGCGCAAGGTCACCTTCCCGCAAAACACAATAGTATATTACTCACGCAGCCGCAGCAGCGAGGAACCTCGACGCAGCCATCATTCCACTGCGATCTGCAGAGACTGAGTTGCGAAACACAAAAGAATTACAAACAACGGCTACACAAATTGGAGCTCCAAAACCGGATCCCGAAGCCCACGCACAAAAACGATGATTTTGACTTTGAAGCACTTTTTGAATCTTTTTGAAAGAAATTTTCAAAGGAAAATCATCAGCGCTAAAATTGACAAAAACTTGCTGCCAAAGGCCTTGCGCAACTTTCACGCAACCACTACAATACGATTTCGACAGGGACTTGCAAAAGACCTTCAGAATCGCACGCCAGTACTGGAGAACGAGTACCCTTCGAGAAGCCTTGGCGCAGCCATTCCACTGCGATCTGCGCAGACTGAATGGCAGAACACAAAAGAATTGCAACACACTACTGTAGAACACATCGCTTTGATGCACCAGTGCACAAAGTATCTCAACACATGCAAAGCACAATAGCACAGCATCAACATAAAAAGAGAAAAAGTCACCTCAGTTACATTGCGTGTGCAGATTGAACCGGATTCGACGGCAAAGCGGCCGAAACCATCGCGGACGCAAGCAACTTTTCTCCGCAACGGAACCTCCGTTTACCCGAAAAAAAATGTTTCGTGCAAATCCTAACGTGCAAAATCGCATCCATGATGTAGCCGTTCCAATGCAATCCACCAACAATGACTTGCAAAATTACCTTCAGAATCGCACGCCAGTACTGGAGAACAAGTACCCTTCGAGAAGCCTTGGCGCAGCCATTCCACTGCGATCTGCGCAGACTGAATGGCAGAACACAAAAGAATTGCAACACACTACTGTAGAACACATCGCTTTGATGCACCAGTGCACAAAGTATCTCAACACATGCAAAGCACAATAGCACAGCATCAACATAAAAAGAGGAAAAGTCACCAGCAACATCCTGTAACCCTCATTTCCAATGCGCACGCAAATCGACCAGGAATCGACGGCAAAGCGACGACGCCCGCAACCGTCGCGAACGCGAGCCAACTTTTCTCCGCAGCGGAACCTCCGTTTAACCGAAAAAAACACATAATGTTTCGTGTTAAATCCTAACATTCAAATCGCATCCGTGATGTATAGCAATTCCAATGCGATCTGCCAACAATGACTTGCAAAACGCAATCAGACTCGCAAGACACTACTGAAGAACAAATCCCTTGCGCGCAGCCTTGGTCTCTAATTACTCTTCTCGACTCCACTCTACTCAACCTCTACCCTTGCTCTACCTCTGCCTCTACCCCTACTATCCGCTACTCTACTTCTCAGCTCTACTCTATACTCTTCTCTACTCTACCTCCACTCTACTCCTACTCTACTCATCGCTTCTCTTCTCTACGCTGCTCTGCTACTGTATACTCTGCCCTTCTCTTCCCTACTATACTCTACTCTACTCGCCTGTACCTCTACTCTGCCTCTATTCTACTCTACCTCGACTCTACTTCACGCAGGTGCCCACTGGACACAGTGATCTCTGGGCTAGGGAGAATGTGGCTTCATGATCTCTTAACGCAGGTGTCAACTGGACACAATGATCTTTGGGCGAGTGAGAATGTGAGTTACTGATCTCTTAAGGCACATGCCAACTGGACACAATGATCTTTGGGCTAGTGAGAATGTGAGTTACTGATCTCTTAACGCAGGTGCCAACTGGACACAATGATCTTTGGTTGGTGAGAATGCTCACTTTCCGTAACTCGGAGTTTCTCGACGAAACTTCCTTTGATTATGGGGATGTTATTCGAAGGTCTGCGCCAAGGTACTTTCTCGTTTGTGGTCTTGCTCAGGTCAAGTGTCTGTCTCAAGGATCCCCATTGAAACACGACGGACGACGAAAGACGACGAAGAGAAAAAAACGAGCAAAAGGGTTTCAAGGGTTCCTCTACGGGACCTCCGGGGGAAGAAATTCCAAGGGTTCCTCTCCGGGACCTCCGGGGAGAAAAAATAAAAATAAAAATTTAGAAAAAATTAAGACGGGCACATACCATTGAGAAAAACACATAGCATGTTTTATGCATATTTGCAATGTTCGGTCGCAAGTGTTCTTCCCCGGGGTATGGGTTTGCCTCCGGGATTTTATTTTATTTATTTATTTTTGGCAGCCTTGAGCGCGAACCTTCACTGTGGGAAAACACTTGGCCTTGAGAAATCCTTCGTACATGGGAAAGTTTTCCAGGAATACGGTTGGGAAACCAGGACCTTTGAGGAGGGGAAAAAGAAAGCACCTTTGATACAGGGAGGAGGGTTGAGACAGGCACATACCATTGAGAAGGTAGAAAACCCTTCATCCAGACTTTTGAATTATAGGATATTATAGGAAACTATAGGATATTCTAGGACATTGTAGGGGAACCAGCCTCACTTGCGCCCATAGAAACGATTCACTTGCGCCCAGATTGTAAACATACCTTTATGTAGAACAACAACCGCAACCATTCAGGGTCTACTTTTAGGGGACATAGGAGGTGCTTGGGGACCGGGGGGTTCAGGGAGGGACATGGAGGCATGCAGCAACATAATGCACACAGGCAACAGGGACATGGGGGCATGCTGGAGCGAAAGGGGCTACCCGGGCACAAGCGAGACAAATCCACGGACACAAGCGAGGCCGATTCCTATTGTAGGATATTATTATAGGTATGGCTTATAGATGTTTATAGGATTTTAATGGATTTTATAGGTATCCCCTTCATTTTGGTGAGTTCATCCCAATAAAACCCCAGCCCAAAAAGCCTACCTCCCTGCTGCATCCAGGGCACTCGATGCCCAGCCAATCGCCCTCTGCGAACTTCGTGGCACCGCTGAAGCGAACGACGCCCGTCAGCTTCTGGTCGCCCACGAACTGACGATGCACAGAGGCTGGGGCACCAAGGGGCACCGGCTGGGGCACCAAGCGGGTAGGCTGGGAGATCTGGTTGATGATACTGGGTTATTAATGATTACTATGGGATACTATGGGATGTTTCTGAGATGATTGTGGATTATATGGTGACACACAGGACCACACAGCAAGGATTCTTCCTAACCAGCCCCATGGGAGGAAAAGTGTCGTGGCATCGGCACTGGTACTTTGAAGAATGATTCTATGGACATCTCTCCCTCATCCGTAGGGTCAGGGTGAGGAACACCCTCTGATAGCTCAAAATTGCTATACATATGGATCGCTGCAATCAATCTGTGCTATGGGCCAACAATTCTTAAACATATGGGTAGATAAATCATGATAAATCCAAACATGAATGGATTGATGACCATCCCCCAACATGAGCAATTCACCCAAGTTTTTGACCATGGCAGGTGTCCACAGCTAAGCATCACACCACAGCATCTCCAACCTGGACCTTGGATGTCTTAAGGAACTGTCAAGGTTACATGGATGCAGCCCCCGCGCTGCTTGCGGGTCTCTAATATTATCTAATAGTAGTGCGTTTGCAATAGCTTGTTGTTGATGCATGGAAACAAGAAACTCAACAGTACAGCTTGAAACACGTGGGCAACCTCTGTCTGAGATCCTTTCATGTCCACTCGCCAACAGTACATGCTTTTCCCTCAAACACCCCCAGGAACACTGTACAATTGGACTGCCTCAAACTCCAACAATTCATGATTTCAACCCAAATAGCTTAAAATCGCATCAAATCCGTCTAGATGGGTCTGTCCATGTCTAAAAATTCGGAAGGCCACAAGCATTTCCTTCACCCCCTTAAGTAGACCGTTTTGATCGACAAGGAGATTTTGCAGGTCCTCCGGTTATCTTGCACATCCCCATAGGTTTCAATCACAGTAGTTCCGAGGCCGAACCACATCCCGCTCATAAACATCTTCGTAAACCAGGGAATAGGGATTGAGATTGGCGTTGCACGTCACCATCCAGGGAGGCGTTCTAGGGTGATCCCTTGTGTTTTTAAATGATTGAAAATTGAAAACTATATACTATATAATAGGATGCTATGAATGCATACAAATGCATATATAAATGCTGTATGTTTCAAATTAATAGTTTGAAACCAAATTACTGTAATTAAACAGTTTGAAACCAAACTAACCAGTTAAAAACATTTAAAAACCACTTATCACTTTTGATTTTTCATGCTGGTTCTATCTATAAAGGGAGGTTCCTACTCATGCACCACTCAGGTCCAATTCACAACCTTCAGGCATCATTCCCGTTCAAATGTCGCCGGGAAACTGCAACGGCTCCTCGCTTCTCTGCCGCAATGGGCATGATCGAGCCACGAGTAGCCTGTGGTAACCAAGTACATGGGCCACAAAAACAACCGATATCAACCGATGTATGCTTCTGTCGCAGTTTCATTTTCAGGGCTAGCAGTTTCTATATGTTTTTATGGCACTCTTTGGCAACTCTGCTTTTCTGCTTCTCCATTGTGAATCGGCTGAATCTGAGGCACTGTCAACCCACATCAATACATTCCGGGGTTGCTTGGTAGCTTCCACTTTTCCGAGAAATCAGCACTTTTTCGGGGTAACCCATCCAAAAGTCAATTTGATGGTCTGTTGATCACAAGAGATCTTGGTTCAGCCTGCATCATGGTGGTCCTCTTTGTTTTAGCCGCCATGGCACCAATCTTTCTCTTTCAAGGGCAGCTGATAGGCTGAGAATTGCTTCAGAGTTTGGACGAATCTGCGGTCCGATAGGTGAGTGGGTCAACATTCCGAGTGCTGACATGTCACTGGAAGTGGAGCTGTTTGACTTGAACAACGTACTGATCAGTGGACTAAGTTGAACCACTGAAATGCCCATGGAAAGCAACAAATTGGTGGGCAAGGAATGGCAAGGACTCCGTGAGTCTTTGAAGGCAAAAGTCTACCCTGGACATTCGGGACTAGCAACGAGCACATCGCACAGTACTAGTGCTGCAAATGAATTCCATGCAGGATGTAACAGGCCCAGTGACTGGCCCTATTATATGTGACTCAAATGCACTCTTCAGCTCTCTCTGTGCAGCCACAATTGAAACCCAAATACCCCAAATGCTGCACCATCATCCACATTTCGCTCTGCTGCAGCGTTCTGCGCTGTGAAACGCCATCAACGCCCTGCCAGGAGGAAGTGATTTGCTTTACCTCATCAAAACATGCCAAGGCCTTTGCATGTTTGCATTGTCTGGGCAAATCTTCCCAGGAAAAATTGTCACCAAATTTGAGCAATGCACCCGCAAGTCCGCAACTGATTGTTGAGACGTGGAACTTTCGTCCATCTCAAAATTGCCTTCATTCTCCGGCAGCATAAGCAACTCAGAAACAGCGAGTTCGCTAGATTGATGTCTAAGTGATTCTTGCGGAGCAATCAAATGTCGTATTTCAAGAAAGTGAAAATATAAGAATTAGGATTGCAATGCCAACGTCCGAAACTTCTGAGACACGCTTCAGCACTACGATAACAAAGTTGATGACAGTGAGTCGAGTGTGGAAGAGGAGGAGTTAATTCTGATAGTGTCATTATGGTTATTTGGCTATGAGTCAAAACCCTCGTACCCTAGGTGTCCTATAATAGCTGCTTAATGGACGTTTATTCATACAAGTATGGCAATAATAGACTTCGACACTTCCCATTTTATGATGATGATGATGATGATGATGGTGATGGTGATGGCGATGGCGATGGTGATGGTGATGATGGTCATGAAGGTAATGCATGTGATGTCAAATCAGGCATCGTACGCAACTCTAGTAATGGTGAAAACTGACATGCGGAGGATGGCTATATTTTTAAAATAGATATGTTATGATATGTTTAGGTATGTTTAGGTCCTTTTACAGCTGGCTTGGCCAAGTCCATGCAACTGCAGAGGCTAAAGAACCATGACCTGCAGGGCAGGAAATTGTGCGCAACAAGGATCGGTCTCGAAGCAAATTGACCGGCTCTCCAAGGACAAGTCTCTGTGTAATGACATTGTCTCAAAGCGGAACAACAGGTATGAATGGATCACCCGCTTTACCACGTGGTGTCTACATCTTAAACTCACTTCCATTGAACTCCTCCCGATTCTTATATGTGAGCCTCCTTTGCTACGCCAAGCAACTCTGTCAACTCTTTGGTAGCCAAGAACCGCCATGGCAAGAAGAAAAAAACAGATCTTGAGGGCCGCGGGCCCAGTTTGTTCAACGAAATCTGTCAGATCTGTGATCACGGGTTGTTGATCTCCATGGTTGAGATGATCCTCCTTCAATCAACCGAAACTGGTTCACTGAGCTTCTTAGCTTCTTTGACTGGGGTGCTCCTGGGGAACGTGACTTCTCTGACTCTGACCATCCAAGTCACTCTCAAACGCTGGAAGAGATGAAGAAAACAAGATGATGCGAATTTAGTTGTGACTTGTGGAGCATGTAGGTTTGGAAGGAAGATTGCTTGCTTCTTTCTTTACTGTCTGACCTCTCAAATGTTGGCAGTCGATATGGAACAATCCTATTCTCACTTTCGGCACTAAATTAGATAACCTTCCGATTCTTCTTTCTTTGCAGGTCCTCTTGCCCTGAACCAGCAATCAGCCACAAATACGTTGACATCTGTCGTGGCGTACATTCCGCACTCCCACCTTTGGATGATGTCCACAGCAACATACATGAATGGACATCCATTACATCAATGAAAAACAAAATGGCGGTTCAGATTCAAGACCCGCAGTTTGCTTTCCACCACAGTTGTTGAATGTTGTTGATGCATTTCAATTTTAAACTCCACAATTAAAGTTTGGGATGTTTGGTGAAATCGTCATGGAAATGACTGACCCACAGCTGGCCATCTTTTCGCGGGTCTTGCGAAGTGCATTGCCGTTCTCGGCTCTTCTCACCTGCTGCCGGCGTCAGGTTGGAGTGAAACTGCCCTAGCCACAAGGGAAAACGTCCGAAGAACGGCAGTTGATGTGGATAAGGGTGGTATGGGCCAACATCCTTGTAGCTTGTTGATTCTTGTTGAATATCCGATATCCATCGAGATCTCCAAGCCACAGATTGAACAAATGAAACTACGTCGGGATGTTCACCTAAGCGAACCCACTTGAGGGTGCTAGGCACTACTAGTCTTTCTTTCTCCAGCAACTTGCAACTTCGGACCTTTTAAACACTGATGATTAAGATCTTACAATTTCAAAGTTGGTTCACACTAGTTCATTAAAACAACTCAAAGGATCTCAAAGGTCAAACTCAAGGTTGCCTGTAGTGATTAGTGATTGTGTTTTCATGTATTTTCTACACATGAGTAGAATCACCAAACATCTTCACGCAGGCGGCGGAAGGACGGCCTCATCCAAAGTTTGGCTGGCCTGTACTTGCCGCGGCCCCAGAATCGATGACCAGCATCATGCCAGTAGATCCTTGGCTCTCGATCTCCGAGGTTACATGGGGATGGGTCAAAACCCTGGTACCTAGTGAACCCCAAAATAGCTGGTAAATGGATGTTCATCCCACTAAAAATGTATCTATAGGTATTGACCCATACCCACATTTTCATCCATGTTCTATCATGTTCTGCTACCAACTGGACCAGAATTAATGGTTCGTTCAAGTCTTGCTATGAGTTGCGACCCGTGGATGGGGGATACTTCTCAACAGGAGACTCAGTCAAAGCCAAGGGGCCACCCACCATAGCCCAGGGCCTTGTATTCATCCTTAATTTCCTGGAACAGCTGAGGACAAACTCCAAAATGATGGAAAATCCGAACTCATGCTCCAGAACAATCAGAACATTGGCCTTGACGTGGCCCCATTGGTTACTGGTTGCTATCCTCAGACTCCTATCCTTCCCCAGTCCTCGATGAGATCCGTGTCAGCATAAATATCTTCATGCATGAAGTCAACCACTCGAGGAGACACCCTGCACAATAGGGGTGATGGTCCCACGGACCAAAGAGGTACCCGCACTGACTTGCAAACTTCCAAACCCTCAAATGTTTGGCAATATGTTCCGGACTGTATATTGGGCTCTCAAATACGGCAGCGTTGAGAAGCGAAGTCCTGCGACGAACCCGCTTTTTCCATAATTTAGAATTGTTATTTAGATGTTTTTTTGTTGCGTGGATACATGCACTGACAAAGTCCTTGGATAGGTTTTGGCGATTTTTGGCGGCGATCATTTTCATGGGCCAGTTTCAGTCCATGAGTCCATGAGTGCTGGGCTGCTCATCTTCCCCACACAATCCATCCAAAAAAAGGACTACCCAGTGATACCCAGCGCGCCTGAGCATTTTCATAATGAAATCTGCATCCTTTCTCAATCGCTCTGACGCATGGGCAAAGGCCCTGACAATCAATCCACTCAGGTCTCTGGGCTGGGGCTGCCTACTACGTGCTGGTTTTATCCTTGCACCGTCTAGTAGGATGATGTTTCCAAGCATGGACTACATGTGCGGTTTGGTTCCAAACAGCAAATAAAGAACGATTTCAACGCAGCTCCCGAACAGGTTTGTGAAAAAAACATATACAGAGTACAGAGTTCACTTTTATGAGTTTTAAGCACCTTGATTAGATGATTAGACAAACAAATCTAGAATATGGCCCGAAAACGGGGGTTGATGCAACTCTGAAGTTCTGAAACATCTGCAAAGGATATGACGGCTGTGATGTTGCAACAAAGGTCGCTTGCTGTGGTGGCCAACACCTATATAGGACCTATGACGTACAAAAGAGTGAAGGGTGACTGACATTTAAGAAACCACCGTTCCAAAACGTAACTAGCTACGTTACATCTCACCGCACCTCCAGCGCTTACAGGACAAAAATATGTTGATTTCACGAACGAAACGTAGCATGGAACCATGTTGAAAGCATCCAAATTCAACGAATCCAAACAGTTTGGATACTGTAAATGTGGGGAACCCAAACATAAGCCATTCCTTTTTTATCACCACTTTTATGGGCTGTATGAAGATTATAAAGCATCCCCAGTCATGATAGGTTTATGACAGACTTTCTCACAGCTGAACCGGTGCCTGGGATCGCCATCGATCGCCTCTGCCACGAAGTCTTCGTTGTCGCGTTCCGCCTCCTTTATGTCATGATTGTCATGACGATCAAAGGTTGCAGTTACCAAAACAGGAGGTTCCTTCAAAATTGGATACGGATGGATATGTTATGATGTTATGTACACGTATATTTACGCATTGTATAGCCACAATTTCAAGGGCATTAACCCATTTTCATTGGGATATTGATAATATACAAGAACACAAATAGAATCTGGTAGATACTTATAGTCTTATAGTGGTTGAAAAATGGGATAATCAAATAATAATAAACCCCTCAGTTATGTCTTTTCAACAAATTCATACAAATTCCACATTATTCCTGAAATTCAGGACCCCAAAATCATCCAAAATCTATCAGCTGCAACAGGGAAACCAATGGCGGATATGGAGTACTCAACAAGGATTACGAGCACAATGGACCAGCTTCATGGGGTGTTGAGTGTTGAGAAACCATGACAAATGTATATGTTCAGAATGGTGCTGAATATCAGTGGGAGATCAGGGAAAATACACGCCTATGAGTCCTATGAGAAAATTGAAACTGTGTTTGAATTAATATCATCATTGCCATTATTTCTTTGAACAATAGGATAATTAATTTTTTCTACCTCTTGGAGTCTACATTGTTTTTGAAACAATGAACCAAGCCAGCGGGGAGGCTCCAATGATATCCGTCCAGCAGTTCTGCCAAGTGGCGCTGGCTTTCTGCATCCTTGGATGGTGAACCCCAGTGATTTTTGCAGCTTTGGGCGGTGTCCAATTGACTTGGGACTCGACATGTTTTGTGCCCATTAAATATGCCTTCAATTGCAAACTACCAAAGCCAGGGTTTCGCCCGCTTGGTCAACAAAAACACTGACTAAACTTAGGCTAACCTTACATATCCTGCAAAACATACAACCCTTAGCGTCCCTGTCCAAAAACTACCCAACCCAAGACCCAAGTAGTCTCAAATTTACCCAGAAAAGGCTTCCAAAGGGTTCCAACATGTTTCAACACTTCCAAGCGTTCAAGGCGCTTCGTGTCCATGAACATGGCGATGTCACTCTTTCTAAACCTCCGACTTCCCATAGCCACACCTTGGGCAGCGAGACCTAGCAGAGTATCCGCACCTTCCTTTGGAAAATCATGTCGCACGAAAAACATTAAACAACACTATAACACAGGATCACAAAATATATCACACAATATCATGAAGTAGATTAAATGAAAATAATGAACTGGAGTGAGGTCATGTCCTTGGTACAATGGTGTTTCCATTTTTTTTCCGTCGTCCATCATCTTCCAAACTGGGTTTCAATGCGGAACAGTGTCCAAATGACCTTTTGGACTTTGAATAAGTGAGGAATTGGGGTGACAACAGAATTGCTGGACCCTTGGGTGATGGCTTGCGAAGCCGTTTGAGAGGCAACTGATTCCCAACAAAAAGGATTGGATATGATTGGATGACACATTGATCGCCGCAATGAAAAATGAAACCAGGATATTTTCCCTACCTTTGGATACCCTTTTGGCAAGTTTGAAGTGCGCATTGAACTGCCTTGAACACTCACCTCCTCCCTCTTCTAACAGGCAACTGCTCTCATCACGTCCGGTCAGGGTTGGTCCAGACACAAAGGTCTTCGGAAGAAACCATCGGCAAACCTGCCAGGTAGTTCGGTAGTGTTGCCATTCGCAACCCTGGAACCAATTCATTTCCGATGATTTCCACTAGAACGTTCGTGACATTGGCCATTGTCAGGTCCATGGCTACCATGTGCGAGCTTTTGGCGAAACCTTCCATTCTCCAACTCATCATTCATGCCTGCACGATCACAAGGAAGGACAAGAAGGCCAGCGTCTTAGATGATGCCATTGCCGAAAATTCTGGACTCCCCTGGTGGCCGCAAAGGCCTCAGCTGCAGGAACACGGCAAAAAAAACATTAACTATTATTATTAATAATTCATTAATAATATAACATATGTATTAAACCATGATAAGACATCACAATCACAACAAACAACATCAAATAACATTAAATAATGTCCAATAACATCAAATAACATCAGATCCTTAAAAAATCAAATGGCCATTGTTCACAAGACGCCAAACTCTAACCTGAGCTGCCAGCTGCGGCTTCCTGGGAAGATCCTCGGTGTCCCTTGAGCCAAGGTCGCAACAAAACTATGCTGCAATTCTTGTGCCGCCCTGCCCCCCCCCCCATGGACATGTTTATCTGATTTTCAAACAGTCCTACATGACCGCAATTGCAGTGTGGAATCTGAGTTCAAGGTGTCCATTTGCAAAATGGTGTTTTGGGAAGAAAATGCATTGTTGAGACAGTTTTATCAGTTTTTATTTTTTGGTGTTTTTTCAAGAAGTGAATCAGCACTCCCGCCGACATCGCAATGCTTTGAGATTGCAATGGGATAGCTGTACACCGCTGTAAGAGAGCTGTTCTGATTGCACGAAACCTAATTTTGGGATAAACGCATCAGAATCCTCACAGTGGGGCTGAAGTCGCCTGCAAGACTTCTCTGCAACACGCTCAGAAAGCAACAGCAACACCATGCAAACCACCAAAGGAATCATGCAAGCACGCATACCATCGCAAACCAAAATATAGCAAGAAAACATCAAAATCCTGGAAATGGATTCTCTTGCCTGTGCAGCTTGTGCAGTCTGTGGGGATGAGGGTGTCGTGGCTGACGACACAGACGTTGGCCCTGTTGTGTTCTTTTCTGTGAGGACCTGCGCTGGCCACCGCAAATTCAAGGGTCAAACCCAAGCGGATCACTCGGCATATCTTTTCAAACATTTTGTGGCAGAGATATCTTGAAATATGATGCCATTATATTCATTCGCCCATTCGCGGCATCGCACACATTTCTGGGTGATCAACATATAGATTCTGATGTTCTGATTTATCATGATTTATCTAATATTTATCTTATTTCCATGCACCACAAGAAGGATACCGCGTGATTCTGTCCATTTCCCTGGACATCCGCCCGGCCTTCAAGGGCTTGTGTGGCTTACTGGGCGTGGACTTGGTACCGTCGCCCTACCATGGCCCGTGTGGCGAAGTGGAGCACCCGGAGGGGGCCGGAGGGGCCTTCGAAATCTTCTAAGTCGTCCAAAACATCAAAACATATCAAAACAATATAAACCAATCATCCTTTGAAAACAAACAAACAAAATCACGCGTGGTGATGGTTTTTACTTCCACCATCTTCCACCTACCGAGCCGCACCTTGCCACCTCCCACTGGAAAATCCACGAAGTCCGTCCTCGATCGCAGGGATATGTACCATGACTAGGACTGAGGGGAACCTCAAATCCTTGGAACCCATCATGATCTTTCATACACTTTATATAATGTTTCTGAAATGATTTTCTGTGGTTGTTCAAATGTCAAGCGATGGTGAATATCAATATGCTGATGCTATTTCCTTATTTCTCAGTGTGTTTATGCTTTTGTATTTATGACATGGGTTCTGGGTGTCAATCAACATGCTGCATCAGTTGGAGCTCATAAGAACCCTGTTCATCCCATTTCAACAAAATGCCCGGAGATGCATCACAGTCAATTTATATAGGCACTTGGGGGATTGGGGTTGGCGTGGGTCAAGATGTACAGTAGGCACCCTGGCGAGCACGGCCAAAATTCATACAATGTCATAATACATCATAACAATATATTTTGGATCTCCTTTCGAAGTCAAAGGTTCACCTTCTTAGTTTTTTCCACTTTTAAGTGCCAATGACCCATAGCTGCAGCTGCTCCCCTGACATTAGTTCTCCAATGCTCTCCCTTCCGGGGCCCTTTTCAGGTCGATCCTTAGATTCATGGGGTTCAAGCATGCTAGCCCCGTCTGGGAACAGCAAGTGGTGGCCGCCACGCGGTGAGTGAATTGACCTGGGCACATCTGGCCACTGCGGCAGAGGCCAAACAAGATTCTGCGCATTTCTACTGGTGCATATACATATAAAGAAATACATAGTTTTGCCATTTAATATGCACATTTGTTGTGTATATATATATATATGTATGTATGTATGTATGTATGTATGTATGTATGTATGTATGTATGTATGTATGTATGTATGTATGTATGTATATACATGCGTATTTATATATATGTGTGTGTGTGTATGTGTGTATTGCACAAAAACAACCAAAAAATATGTGTATATTATGTATATGTATATATGTATTCATATACCTCCGAAACTGATGAACATACTATTATATATATACTCATCTATTGCACATAGGTGCAGATAGGTACATAGATAGATAGATAGATAGATAGGTAGGTAGGTAGGTAGGTAGATAGATAGATATGTATAATTATGTATATATATATATATAGGTAGGTAGATAGAAGGATAGATAGATATTAGATAAGATAGATAGATTAGCATAGATTGGCGTAGATTAGGGTAGATTAGCATAGATTATAAAGCATAGATAGGTATAGATAGGTAGATATATATATATATAGTTGAATAGACAGAGTTCTAGATAGAGATCGAGACAAGTGAGGATTTCCTTTTCCGGTTGCAGTTCATGTCATGGGGAGAAACAACCACCAACGCACCCATTGGTCAAGCAAACATGTTGTGCTTCCAGCGTCTCTTGACCCACCTCCAGTTAAAAGGGAGCACTTCTTGTAGCACCTGAAATCTTCACCAGCTGCAGCCATCGCAGGATGTACTGATGATCACTGATGTTCCAAGTCGGATGTTCACTCTGCTTTCCATTGAATGCCAACTGCGCGTGGAAACTGAGAGGAGCACATGCCCAACAAAAGCTCTTCGTCCTGCGAAAGCAGTGTTCAGCTCAGCAAGGTGAGCATTGCCTATCTTGGCAAAGTTGCATTGCAAACTAACCATGGGTGGTTGCAACTCATCCCAAACATATTGGTCACTTAAGAACTCAAAAGTACTTCCATCCACAGCTGTAAAAATACGGGCATGATCAGAGAAAAACCTTCGAAGGGGGAAAACAACCCCCGTCAATTTGGATGCTATAATGGCAAATATCATCGCAGGACGCGAACACGGGAAATAATTGAGCCTAGTTACCATCAAGTACCAGGTTGGCAAATTGATATACGCATGATCAAACCCATTTCTAGCGTACGACCAGATCTTCCATCCATGTGCTGGATATTTTGTGAAGGGAGGAGGAGATTAACGCAAATCAATCACAGTCCAAGCACTAGTTGCATAAACATATGATATGCACCATGTATCACATACCTATTTGCGCATCTTATATATTGTTCTATATTTTTATAAATACGTATATATATATAATATGTAATTTTGTAAAAAAAATATTAAACGTATTTACTTTAAAATATCTTTTGCGTCCCTGTCTTATAATATGATTATTGATATGGATACCTGTGAGATCATGTGAATGTATCACCCTCATCCTCATCCTCATCCTCGTCATCATCATCATCAACATCAACATCAAACCATCCCGACATATTTCAAATACATTCAGATTCACACTTGAATTATACGATTGGATTTAATTAGCTAGTTTTGTAGTTGGGATCATCATCCTGAATTCGGAAATGGGTCAAAACCTATTGTATATTACATACTATTACCATCTATTACCATATTTGGGGGAATAAACATCCATTAGCCAGCTATCTTAGGGTACCATAGGGTACCTAGTACCTAGGGACCTAGGGTGCCAGGGTTTTGAGTGTCTGACTCATAGACATATAGGATCCCAATTGACCCACCCAAATGGTAATAATCTCCTCCAGACAGGTGCCAATGGTATGTGGGCAGGCGCCCTTCTGCCCATTGATCTTCCCCGCTACGTCGAAGCCAGCACAAGGCGCACTGCAACAGAGGCAGCTTTGGAAGACAAACCACTCGTTGATGCATAAGGGTTTTCGGAAAAGAAACAAACACAAAATAATGTGAGCAACCTAGTGACCAGAATGATCAGCAAGGACTTAGCAAGGACGGAAAAAGCGATATGTGAGTCCCGGCTTCATGTTGAAGATGGTGTTGCCGAAGCCGCAGGGGTGCGACTCGCAACATGTGAAGGCACTGGTCCGAATCCTTGGTCGTGCAGTGGTCACGGCCAAGGCGAGCAATAAAAGATGGATCCTCTAGTGACTCCGATGATGTTACTAGTGAATTCCTAGGAATGGTATGAGGAACGAGCAACGTTGTAACCAAAAACATTGCAATATTAAAGCAATTTAACAATATTATAAACATAATATAACAATATGGACAATATGGCAATGGTACTAATAATGTAGTATCGATATATAAAGATTGACAGTTTATAAAAGTAACTAATCCAACTCAACGATGTTTATCTCAATAGCACAACTATCCCCAGCGGTTCCAGAAACCCCCTTTTGTGCGTTTCGAGCTTCGGATTCTTGCCCTCGGTGAGGAGCGTGCACTTCATGTAGCACAAGTCCTCAAAGAGCCTTGGACCGCAGACTTCCCGTCGGGTTCAGTCTAATTTGTCTATGCAAGTCACGTAGTGGTGGAAACTTGTAGAGGGTACTGCTTTATTTGCTATATGAACAGTGAGAACAAGTTCATTGTCAGCCATCCTCATCTCATTGCTGTATATACTGTCCCTCTGAGATGAGGAAAGCTTGTGTTGACTTGATTACATTGGCATAAGGTGTTGGCGGCATCTCCACACGTGAGCTTGGCCACACCGAGTTCCATGCTCTTCATCGTCGCCGCAAAGATTGCCATCGTGCATGTTCCTCGAATGTGGAAGCTGCAAATGTCAGTGCCCAATTTTAAAATTGTACAGCCTCCAGGCGACATATAGGTTTGTCTAAAGATGGTGTACCCCCAAATCCGCCAAATCCATTTGGGGGGGCCATTTTCAGTCATTTTCAGATACACCCATGTTCCAAAAGAAGACTGAGTAACACATAGTAACATAGTAACACCATCAAATATCAGAAATGGCTCTCTGGGACAACATGACTGGCAAATACTGGCAACATCGAAACAAATCGGATGGTCACAAAAGGTGCATATATGTGCATATCACATCACATTACCAGATTGGTGCTTTAAGTTCAACCCATCTTAAGATATTGTGATATGTCTATCTATACCTCACCGCGTGTGCAAATTTCACAGAACTCCATTGGATTACAGTAATTAATCATCCGAAATAAAGATGTGAGTATATGGGTGTTGATCAAGAGAAAGGTTCCTGGGGCAGCTACAATCGCGCATCAATCGCGTACCAACCGCGACTCCACACGTGTCAATCGTGGGACAACTTGGTCGTATCCGGGTTTATCCTGTACAGAAAATCATACGTAAACAATCATAAACATATTATACAGCGATCATTCTGGGCAAAAGAGGCGTGGGCAACGGTCTACTGAGGCGGGTCTTACAATCGCCTCACAATCGGGGATCAATCGCGCGGATATCTAAACAAAATATAGTATCATACAGTATCTTTATATACGTAAGTTTATATATATAGTACAGACATGGACACACAATGACACTACATGGACAATGGAACATGCTAAATTGAGTGCCCCTTCATATTCCTGCCACGGCGCTCCGCTGGCGCGCTCGAGAAGCCGGCAGAGGTGGCCGCGGCACCTTTCACGGTCTCACCTGGCACCACGGATCACCGCATCTTGGAAGATGGGACCTTTCATGACGCTAAATGCATCTTACTTTGGAGGAAAACAACATAGAAAAAACCTGAAATACCTTGACATATCTTGAAATATAATATTTAATTATATAATATTAATATGTCATCAAATATTTATCTGGAATAATTACTCTTGAATCATCTTGAAATAACTATAGATAATTAGCATAAATGCTGGCAAAACATTGATGCGGTCAATCAGGTGAGGATGTTGTGTCACAAATGGGCATCCACCAGGTCGAAAGGACTCGCTGGAGCGACCGTTGAACAGCCACGTGTCCAGATTCTGGCAGGGAACATAGACTGGTGGCTCGCGGTCCGGGGAACTGCTCAGAATTCTACCCCCGGATTTTACCTTCCTCTTATCAAAGACAAAGGGAAGGTGGATTTGGATAGGGCGCGACAAAGTACAAGAACATACAAGAGCAACAAGCTGGCCGTAAGAAAGTCCTCATCAATTTGTGGACATAGTTGTATCATGTTGTATCTGGTGGCCATGTCCTTTTGTTTCCGGCATGTGCTTTCATGCCCAATTGATTGGAACAGGCTGTCTGGCCTCATACTTTCTCGCTATGGATGTCAAGTCCTGGAGGATCACTGAAGCCAGGTGAAGTTCACCAGATAAATTAATAGGCAGAAACATCAGAGACTACAAAAAAGGAAGAAAAAATAGGATACCAATGACCGGGTTCACTATCTTTGCAGGTGCTCATGGCTATGACCAGGTCCTGAATCTGCAGCAACGGGTGATGGCCGCTTGATGCTATTGCCTCAGGGCAGGGAGGGTGCGGACTCCATTAGTTTCTTTGTAATGATTGTAATGGCTCCGAGCGGCCAAAATGATCATAGCCACCAGCAGTGCCACCAGCGCTTTGTAGCGAAAGATGCGCAAGGCTGCAGGGCCTGAGGTTGGGGTCCCCATGGCACCCAGCTACAAAAACGACAAACAAATCATATCAGTCATCAGGAATTATCATGGTGGCCTTCCACTTCACCTTGGATTTCCATGGCCAACTGCAAACCCAAAACCATCTTCTTTGACAGAATGCAAGTTTTCTCACCATTCCAAACAGTTGCATTCCTGGGCCCTGACCGTTGTATCCATTGCCATCGATTGGCTCATGGACGTCCTCCGGCGACGGGAATTACAGCAAACAGCAACGGTCTTATTGCCCACAGTTCAACAACAAACATAGAACGTGGAAGAAATAGCCACCTGGCATGCTTGGTTTGGGAAGGTTTGAGTTCCAACTAGTATTGTTATGTTCTTTCTCAAGTCATCTCAAGCCGTTGGGAGCCAGAACATCAATGCAGAAAGCTTCACAGCCGCAACGCCGCAACACCATTGTTTTGGCGATCACTCCGAGCCCTGCAACCGTGCACAGGACACCTGCAGATCAGGAATATACGGTGGGTTTCCTGCACAATTGGGAGCGTCACAATCTTGGGAAGCACCAACAATGATCCACATTGAATCTACATGCGAGATCATGAAATCACCACGAGGTACACGATAGCTGCTGTTGGAACATGTACAGTAGTTTAACTTTCGTGCGCAACGTGCGTGCAGCACCCAGCACATTTTGGCGGCGATGCGCGCCCATTTGGTGCTGGAAACCAGAAGGCGCCACCTTTACAGGTCACTGTGGCATCATGCCTTCTCTGGCCCCTTGGTGGCCCGGGGTGGGCAGCTCTTTGAACCCTTTGATCCTAGAAGCTACAGTGCAGCCGGTACTTTTCCCCAAAAGTTACACTTATAACATGTTATAAGTTCCAACTTTCGTGCGCAACGTGCGTGCAGCACCCAACACATTTTGGCGGCGATGCGCGCCCATGTGGTGATTCGTAGGGAATGGGTCAAAAACCTGTCTGGCGGAAGCCCCACCCCCGCAGCTGCTCTCTGGAGCAGTTGCTGAATCTCCAGCCTTTTGACCTGGTCCAGCCGCCCATCTAAACAGCGGCAAAATGCCTTCTGAATGGTCCTTCAGGAACCCTAGTTCCCTCATGGTTATACAATCAACAACACAGCATTTCATGGGAGTCCTAGTTGTAAGGTACTGGCTACCATGCTTTGTACACAATCCGACTTCAGAAATCTGCCAGAACATCTTCGTGCAAAACTTGGTGAAAACGAGATCCTACTGCTGTACAACGGCTGTTGGACAAACATACTACACCCTCTCCTCCGTTCCAGCGAATGTTTCCGGCCATGCATCCCATGATGTCTTCAGCCTCTGACTCGGACGCGTGCTCCTTGACCTTCCCAACCACGCTGCTATGATATAACCAGCTCCACACAGTGCGGCCAACTTGAATGGCCCCATGATGCGCCTGTGCTGCTTGGAATCTCTCCGGGTTGAACTTCTTCACCACCCCATACCCGTGAAAATGTTCACCACCCTCCTCGGTGCAAGCCAGATTCCTGCAAAGGTGGACACGGTCACTGACCCTAAGGCGCCCTTTGTCTCCTCTCACAGATTCCGGCTCGACCGGCAGATAAAGGCCATAATGGGTACGGATTGGCTGTTCTTCCTGTCCCACATTGAAGACTGCTACCTTGCCGTCTCGCTTGACCACTACCAGTTTCGGTGCCTCGCGACTACGATTGAAGCCCCGGAGTGCAGCAGTTTCCGGAACACTGCCGGTTGCCGGTCCGATAAATTCTACTTCAGCAGCCTCCGGAGCTAAGCCCACGAAGCGTTGCCCGCAAAAGAAAATCGGACCAGCTTCAGAATACGTCGAAGAATCCAAACCACGACCATCAACATAGCCACCTGTATGGAGACACTTGGCTAGCGCACCGACCATGCATAGTGGGCCACGCACTACACATACCGTCAAAATCCCACCGATCTGAAACAACCGTTTGCAACCTGACTTCACGCCTGTCCAGGACGTCCCAAAGACCGCCCAACCACAGAAACTGAACACCGTCTCTATGACCACCCAAGCTCCGAATGGAGGTAGAGACTGAAAGTAGGGCTTATAAAGTTTTAACCCGTGGTTTGAACCGTGCACACCTAGGGCATGCGCAAACCCAGGCTCTATATGGAATTAAACCCTGGGTTAATTCTTTCTACTTGTCTTGAGCTACGCTTTAACTTTGATGCTTTAGATCGAATGAAACCGTGGTTTAAAACCCCTTCCGTTGCGGATCTGATTCTAACATACATCTGCACAGGATTTATGTTGCCTGGCAAGTTTTAAACCGCGTTTTAATTCCATCTCTGCGGCCCATTGTGCAAGATATCCCGGGTTCTGGCTGCGGTTTGAAGGTTTGACCCCGTGGTTTAATTCGGTTTTCTACAGATCTTCAGTCCGTCCCAAATCTTTCCGTTCGTCACGGTTTTGTCTGGCAGAGTCGATCGGCAGTCTTCACAAGTTCTCGGTCGCATCAAAGTGTCTATCCATTGAGACACACAATGTCACCTCTGGGCCCCAGCAGGCACTGCTGATGCACTGCGGAGGTGTGATGATACGGATGTATTGCTTTGGATCTGTCGCTGAGGAATCTGTGACGATTTTCAAGGGCCTTCTGAGGCAATGCGCAGAGGCCAACAACGTGAGATCATCTCCCCATGCCCCTGGCTGCTCCATGTGGGAGCAGTACGATCCATATCTGCCTCGAAATTGGTTTTCCATGCGGGCACCAAAGCATGCGGAGAGAGGTCTCAGATACCCAACGACACTTCTGCGTAGTTGCAGAGCCGTCAAAGGCACCTGTGCCGAAAACACTATGGCTGAGAATTGGCAATCACCATCTGCTGCAACCGGGACTCGTTTCAGTCCCAAGCAATGCAACCGTGAGTCCAGCAAGGCATTGCTTTTCGCAATTTTCTCCATAAGCTCCTGGTTCTCCTGCAAGGATTGTTGCAAGGCAAGATTCAACTGTCTCTCCTCCCAGAGATGCATTGCATGTGAAGCAGGCTCTTGTACTGACTCATACAACTGCAAAGACCATTTCTCAGTGGAAGAAATTTCAAAGTGGTGGCTGCAAAAGCAGCCATGAGTACGTTTGCGCTTGCACCTGTCTCCTCTCAACGTGGTCGACATGCAAAGGACTTCTTTTTCTTGGCCAGCTGCTTCCACAACAGCTCGCTGAGAGGACTCTGTGACACTTCCAGGAAGAAGATCGCAGGCATCATCTGGACGGACTTCTGACAGAATCTCAGCAGGCACCACATTGGAGTTCTGTGAAGAGGGAGCTCTCAACATTCTTTTCAAATGCGCTGATTTTTTGGGAAGCGGCTTTTTCCGTTTCTTCCCAAGATTGGATTTGGGTCCACCTGGTATCTTGGCAATGCCACCTGGCTGCAGCAAGGCATGTACAAACAGAGAGTGTTCAGAGTGTCCCGCGAAGCTCATGTAGGTGCGGTGTCCATCCACGACACGGTTGTCCGTTGTTACCCACACTGTGCAAAAGTTGCTTCGAAGATGGAGATGGCGAATGACATCATACGAACCTGCCACAGAAAAACGATCTAAACACCGGTTCCATCTTCTTGTTTCCTTGTGTACGTCAAAAACAATATCTGATAGCAGAGATACGTATGCAAAGCAGCAACACATATCTTATTCCACTAACCACGAACTACAAATCAAGACATGGGTAAGCAACAAAAACCACTATATATATATACAGTATATATATATATACAATATATATATATACAATATATATATATATACAATATATATATATACAATATATATACATACAATATATATATATATACAATATATATATATACAATATATAATATATTTATATACAATATATATATATACAATTTATATATATATACGATAATTATATATATATACGATAATTATATATATACGATAATTATATATATATATATATAAATGCAATCTAGGCCTGTGAGTGGAGAAGCCGCTGCGTGTCTGACCTCTTCGGAGGTAAGGTTCAAGCCCAGTTGCAAAGCCGCCAGCATCTCTGGTTTCTTTTGAAGCGCATGCTGCAAACAATATTTTGGAAAAGCATAGCAAAGGCGGGCAGTGGACCCATCATCCAGAGGCTTGTTGCAAACGCTCGCCACAAATGTTCCAGTGGGCCCATGCTTGTGGAACCACTTGCACAAGGCGTCCAAATCGAGACGCTCACGGTGCACGACCTGGGCCTCTTGTTCCGAGTCCAAACTGTCCACCTGCACGCTTTGTTTTTGGCTTCGTACATGTAAGCAGGAAGGTGCGTCCGCCACAGCCGCCTTCAAGTTCTCATAGTCTCCAGCTGCTAACTTGGAGTGAAAGGAATCGCAAACGCCTTTCATGAGAGATCCCACATCCTTCTTGCGCAATGTCCTGCACAACTTTCCAGGGTCAATGTAAATATATTTCAAGGGTAAAATGTCACGAAGCCATGTGGAAAGATGTGGAATGACATCAAAACGCTTGGAATCACAGGGAACAAACTCATCCAAAAAAATAAATGACATGAAACAGATTGAGTGGAAACATCTATATGATACAAATTTTGAGCACGTGCGAAGATGTGTATTGCACCCGCACACCGAAAGCAGGGTCCTTTTGCGCAGTAAGCCCTTGATCGTTCTCCAACTGCGTTCCAAACTGTTGGAGGTGTACGTAGTGAAGCCAGCCGGAACCTGGCCGAACCCAGATCGCCACGGTGCCGAGTACACCCCGGCCTGGCCAGTTTCTTGGAGAAGATTTCGTACCAGGTATTGGGCGACATGGGGTTCATCCCAATCTGTCTCTTCACCATTGGAACGAAGACGATTGATCACTGACTCCCAAAACGAAGAAAATTCCAAGGAACTTGGAAACCAAGCAGACTCCATGACAAAGCTCAGCAGCACGGGCAACAGTTCCATGTTGCGCAGACGCACCTCACCAGTTTCACTGTTGCGCCGTTTGACTTCCTGTTTCACATTCTGTTTGGTGTGGTGGAGGCAACGATGAACTTGCACATGCTGCAACCCAGGGTCAGATTCAATGACCGCTTGGATGCCTTCCATACATGAGCAATCAGCGAATCCATGACTCAGTCGGATCCCATTGCGATGAGCCGCAGCAGCAAATGCCTTGAACAAAGTCATTTGGGACTCTTTGCCCTCTTTGCGGGACAAAAGGAAATGTGTTGGCAGCATACGAACCCCTGGCTTCTGGCTCCCACCAGACCTAAGGCCTGCTGGGCCGATTCCTCCTAATACCAAGGACTGCTGATTCGTCTCGAACGTAAAATCAGCAACAAAGACAGAAAGGTGCTGGTTCTGCTGGAGAAAGGAATCTGCATCTTTGAAGTGGAAGAGAATGCTGATGCGGTCAGCATTGCAAATGCTTGAATCCATGATGCAAACATTCTCAGGTGGATTTGCCATCCAAGCCTGCACACTGGCTACGCAATCAGCTGTGAGCTTCGCACGTACCTCTGCCCTGCACGGGCGAGCGTTTTTCAAACGCCACATTTCCGGCCGATGCTCTATTGGAATTCCACTTTCCTCCATCTTCAGCAATGCCACACCACCAGTGTGAGTCTGCGCATACTGCTTGGCCAATCTCCTGCGGATGTGCACCACGTCCTTCTGACCATGCGACCCACACTGCGAAACTGCCATCTGAGAATCTCGTGGGCCTTCTGCAAACAACCACGCTTTGGTGCAGCCGTCTTTGCACTCCTCTGGGCAGAGCAATGTACATGCATAGGCATGGATGAAATCTATGGTTGCATCTATTATGGTGGTGTCCCAAACAACGGTGATCTGCACAAGTGTTTGGTATACCGAACTTCCTAGAACTCTGATGGAGATGGCCATATCAAATTCCGATGTTCGAAAAGGAATCATAAGACTTTCAAACCAACTAAAATTAGTAGGGGCAGCCGTCTCTAAGAGCACTTTCAACAAGTATTAAACCGTGAGTCAAAACTTTAGAAAACTTGAAAGACATGAAGTTAGCAGCCAGCACATCTATTCTCAAAAGGAATTAAACCCTGGTTTAGAACTTTCAAAGAGACAGGAACGCTGCCGACGGGCCCCTGTATCTGGTTCCCTTGAAAGCACCTGCAGAAAACCTCAGTACCAAGATCTCTAAGAAGAAACCTTGTGTCTAATAATCCTTTGAAAACTTGTACAAGACTTTTGTGTAAGGATCCCTTGAAAACACCTTTAGAACACTTTTCAACCATACGGCTCCTTGCATTTCGCGATGAAGGTCACAGAGCCCTTGCTTGAGGATTTTGATAAGGGATCGTTCACGACCTCCTTGGCTTGGAGCCACCGAGCGGCATTTTGCCGCAGAGTCAGATTGGCATCCCTTTCAACGATCTCACAAGGCTCCCAGTTCTTCGGCTGCCTACCTCGACCTCTCCGGTCGAGAACTGGAACAGGTTCCTGTTCCATGGCTGACCCCGCCAGACTGGAGCCGCAGCCACTGCGGCCGAACAATGAGGAGGAATTAAACTCTGGTTTAGAACTTCTGAAAAGAATTAAACCAAGGTTTAATTCTTGGGCTTCATGAAACGCATGGCAAAGAATTAAACCAAGATGTCATTCTTCCATGAAAGCATGCAAGAGATGTGAATGCCATAAGTTTCAACTCAAGGTTTAAAACTTTTTAAACCTTACGTTTACTCTTTTCCAACTCCCACTTCGTGGAGTCGCCAGCAGATACGTAGTCCAAGGTGTCAGCCCATGAGGTCTGGCACCATTCACGCCAAGACCTCAAAGTCGAACTTGTCGTGGGAAGGCATCGGAGGCTCTGTCCCACCATGGGAGGTGGTGGCTGGCTAGTGGCGTTGCCAAACCAACCGTCCTCACAATCCCCAGACAACATTGTCAACATTATGGCAACCAAGAAAGCTCATACATTTCGTGGGGGACCCCTTGGTCAACAGCTCTTTGGACCCTTTGATCCTAGAAGCTTGAGCCAAAATGGCTACGGTTTGTGTGTGTTTGCTTTTGTGGTATAAGCTCTGCTTGCATATGCTAGCTCGTCGTATGTTGCAATAGGCTTGGAAATGTGATGAAGCCCTGCAAACATTGAGGGGGCTGGCAGGAGCATGGTGTCATGCTGGCCACAGTTTATTTGGCGTGGCATGTATGCCCAATGCCAAGAGTTTGACCATCATATGGCCTTTCTCATTGCCACCAACCTCCCAAGATCCGACCCAACTACCACCCAGTTACCACCCCCGCGCCATGCTGCAACACTCCAGGAATTTGGGTCGACCGAGCCGTCGTAGATCAACGGCCCGGAGGACACCTCGGGGCGGAGGTTTCATATGACACCAGACCTGGAGAGTGCAGCCCCATTGCCCCATCTTGTGGCCAATCAATATCTGGGGGCTCATGCTTCAAGATTTCTTGCAATCAAGATAAATTGGGGGTGTACCCAGTGTACCCTTGGTATGTTGCACCAGGATGCACCAGGTGGCTTCAATGTCTCTGAAAGAAGTCTAGACGTTGCGGATAAGCATCCCAGACTATCCGAGGCCGGGATGGAACCAAAAATATGTTTACAATTGTTTACACCACCAGGTAATACCATTGGCTGCAGTCCAGCCACTATCGCTCAGAGACCAAGCTACCGCACAATCGCCTTGGCCGGCCGTGACTTGGAGTAGCGTGCAGGGGCTCAGAACATTTGTGGTTGAAACCTGGTGACAGTGGTTGTTGCTAAAGTGTGACTTGGGCATCTGCCTTTTTCATCCTTTTCCCCAAAATTGACCAAAAGGGTCTTCCTAAGGATAGATTGCAATCATACTATTCTGAGGCCATTCGGCCAAATTGGCGATTCCCTCGCCAATTGAGACTGTAGAACCATGTTTTTTCCATGCCTCTTGTGACCAAATATGGTCAATTTTTATATCTGCTGCAAGCCAAGCATCTTTCCCAATCTACTTCAGCTCCACCAATCCAAGCGGGAGCGGACAAGTTTCTTGTTGCCTCCTCCTCCAGGAAGATCCTTAGCATGCCACGTCCAAGCCCACAGTTGGCAGCTAACAGTCAGCAGCCGAAGCCAAGTGTCTCAGTGTTGCTGCCATCCTGCAGGTTCCAAAAGAACAGCGACCGCTGGGCAAAACCTCGACTCAACTTGCGAAGTTGAGAAGTTTCATAGGATGGTGCATACTCAGCGAACGGATGCCAAGCTGAAGTCATCAAATCCTGGGTGTACAGGGTGTCCTGTAAGAATTTGAAACCTTCAATTTGAGAAACCATGTCTGTTTCGTGTATTTGCATCATACCCCTGGTTCATGAAATTTTAGATTCGAGATGATAGATTTGTTTTTTCCCCAAAAGCCGGTGCTTAACCATCATTTCTCTCATTAAACATCGCCATTTTGAGGGACAAACCCAGCTGCCAGGTGGCTGTAGCTCAGCGCTTTTGATTTGCTCCAATCCACGTGCCTCGGCTTCAGCTTGATTTTAATGGGCCCGGCTTGGGTCATGAAAAACTTGTGATTTTAACCATAAAAAATGGTGGCTTAATGGGAATACAATAGGAAATGCAATATGTGATATATATATATAGTACCCACCATACTCCACCATAACTATGATCACATATCCGAAAATATGGTGTAGCCCAACATTTGTATATTTTTTTACGGAAAATCATGATAAACCATAATTGGGTTTCAGAGAAATGTGTCATATATACATGTGTCTGGGACAAACATGCATGTTGTCATGGGTCAAAAAGTAAGCCTCGGAGACTCAAGTATCGTCATGTTTATATACATAGTTTTGTTACTTAACCGACCACCCAATTTGTTTTTGGCCGAATTTCGATCCATGCCCCTTCTACAAAGGAAGGGCGAAACATGACCAATTTAAACAGGGCAGGAACCTTCATGAAAATTCTGCGAACATGTGCCAGGTTCTATGGTCCAAGTGTGATGGGTGAGGGTCATTGGTTGCTTATGCTACACAGAGATGGTTCGGTAGATCTTAAAGCGTTGAGAATATGTATGAATATGTTGAAATGCAGCTAGCCTATGATTTGTGTTCGTCTATTCTCCCTGCCAGGTACGCAGACCACACAGGGCCCACATGACCGCGCAATGTACGCAAGCACGTCCGTTCCTGACAGGCACTGGAAGATGCCAGTGTAGTCAAATATCCACTGACCGCCACTGACTGATGTTGGGTTCTCGCGGCCATGTAACAGAAGTCATCAACTGTTATATTTTGATTCTTTGGGGATGGGTTATATCAATTCGTACCACTGATCTAAATTCATTTATGATTATTTTTCTGGATTGTTTATGGCATTGGGTTTCCCACATTCATCTCGGATTTTTTACAAAAGGCCAGGAAAGTGGGTCAAAGGACAGGAAGAAACTTCAAGGACTGCTCGACCTTGCTGACAGCACAGATTCACTCAACGAGTGGTGCTAGTCTTGCACCATGTTTCATAGAAAAAAATTACAGATATTGCCAACAGCCCCTGTGAACCAATTTTTTTGCAACATATTTGCAACATTTTCTCCCGCATTATCACACTTTTTTGTTGATGCCAAGCACATGTGTCACATGTTTCCGACCAAAGACCCCCCCTGCCTTGAGATCCCAAAGCTTCAAGGTGGAATCATCAGCCCAGCTCAATGCCAGTTCCCGATCCCAGGAGACCTGCAAGCTTCGCCCAAAAGGCTCAAATTTAGTCCCAAACAAAATCCCGAACCAACTGCTTTCTGGTCATCCATGCGTCAGCACCATCCAGCATCCAAGCATATTCCAGACCCTCAACGCCTCAGCTTTGCTAATCAAATTCGTGTGTCCATTGAGTACGGCCGCCCGCGCTGTGGCACAGGGGTGCCAAAGCTGCAGCGTACATTCGCCATAGCTGAGGCATCGGAAAGCAGGCTCCCAGGTGCACACAGCACCGGTCACCTGACTCATACATGACATGATCATCGAATGATCATCGTATATCATGATATACTTTGTATAAAATTGCACGTGCATGCTCTATATGTATAGGTATCTATATACACAAATAAAAAAGAGCATATACACATATCCATCTATCCATCTATCCATCTATCCATCTATCCATCTATCTATCTATCTATCTATCTTTCTATCTATTTATCTATATATCTATCTATCTATCTTATCCTATCTATCCTATCTATCCTATCTATCCTATCTATCCTATCTATCTATCTATCTATCTATCTATCCCTATCTCTCTATTTCTATCTCTCTATCTCTCTATCTCTCTATCTGAATCTAGCTATCTGAATCTAGCTATCTGAATCTATCTATTTGAATCTATCTATCTGAATCTAGCTATCTGAATCTAGCTATCTGAATCTATCTATTTGAATCTATCTATCTGAATCTAGCTATCTGAATCTATCTATCTATCTATCTATCTATCTATCTATCTATCTATCTATCTATCTGAATCTATCTATCTATCTATCCATCTATCTATCTATCTATCTATTAATTATCTGAATCTATCTATATGAATCTATCATCTATCTGAATCTATCTATTCGAATCTATCTTCTATCTGAATCTATCTATTCGAATCTATCATCAATCTTAATCAATCAATCTTAATCAATCAATCTTAATCAATCAATCAATCAATCAATGTATGTATGTATGTAAGTATGTATGTAAGTAAGCATGTATGTATGTATGTATGCATGTATGTATCTGAATCTATCTATCTATCTATCTATCTACCTACCTGTGCGTGTAAAAAGTATGCACACTTGTACAGAATATATATATATATATACATACATATGTGGCATATGTATATATATATATGCACAGTTATATGGTATATTTATATGCATGTGACATGCACCAGCAGCCTTCGTGGATTCGGGATGCCATGCCGGCCTCTTGATGTCCAACCATCTTTTGGAGCAATTGGCCATGTTCGATGTCCCAAAGGAGTATGCAACCATCTTCACTCCAGGAGCAGATCTGCTGAGCTTCCCAGTTCACCTACAGAAAGAGTCTTTGGAGGAGAGCAACGGGGCATCTCAAAAATCATGGAGTCAAATAGTCCCACTCATCAGTTTGGAGCTACATACATACTGCATATGGGAGCTGGTTCTGGATTTCACCTCTGGCAAGTCCGGCCTCGTAACCACTGATATCTCCACTGTGGCCACGCAAGACCCAAAGAAGTTGCCTCAAACGCCGTAGTGTGGAGAAGGCTGCAGAGGAAACGCCAATTCCAACTACCGAATCTACCCGAATCTGATGATTCATGGCCAGATCTAAAACCCAAATGAGCAGTGATTCTGAACATGTCTCAATTCAAAAGAAACATTAAAAAACCATCCACTCCAACCTCTCCTCAAAACTGGCGCATTACTTTTGAGCTTAGAAATCTTGGGGTTGCGTTGGATCACAGGGGGAGGACAAAAAAGGGATGCCTATGTTTGAAGGATTTGAAGGCCATTGTCCAATTTGTTTGGCAGCAACTTCAATCAGAAATACTGCTGGGTGCTTTCAACTCTGGTTCCAACTACACTCACTTGTATAGCAAACCATCCGCATTTGGAGCGTCTGACACTGCTCCTGGATGCGTACGTATAAATCGCCGATTGATAGTATAAGTTCCTGCTAAGATGTGGTAGACTGGGAAGTCCAAGTGGCCGCAATATTTAAGAAACGGAGAATAGAATATAAAATCATATCGCTACAATCTATCAATATGTCATAAATACCATGTGCATATCTATCAGTCTATCTATAGACATGTACACCTCGAAATTGAATGACCCGTAAAGATCCATAAAGTGGAGCCCAAATTATCCAAGAGAGGGATCATTTAGTTTCTATATCCATATCTTGTGATTATTGTAGAATATTGTGAACTAAAACTGTTGAGAGCTTCAGACCGAAGCATATCACCATCACCACATATCACAGTCCCGACAGGTTGCCCCGTCTGAAGGTCCCAAAGGTGGACTGCCATACTCCTGGCCAGAAGCTTAGGGGAAATACACAGAAATCCACAATTCGGAGCTGGTTTCATCGGTGAGACATCTACAGGAAGACTTGTTCAAAAGTTTGTTCATGTTTTTTTCTTATCACTCAAGATGGGAGCTAGAGGCTGAACAAAATCTCTTTTCCATGACAGAATTTTTGGGGTGGGATCATCCTCTCAGGCTTTGGAAATAAAATGACACGACATCACCAAGCAGATTAAGACATAGAAATTTAGGTCAGATTAATAAGGTCAGCACTAAGTAATTACTGATAATTACTGTACAGGCCAATCCCAAGCCCCAACATGTGAAGCCGAACAAGGGAGGCAACAATCCCAGTCCAGCAGGCAGCCAAGCGATCATCATTCCAAGAACACTCAAGGCCGCAGTCCACAAGATGCTCTATGCGACATAGTCCTACATCAGCTGCTGCGATTGCTGGAGCATCTTGGCCCAGCATAAAAGATTTATATATATATAAGGATGTAAAAACATATATATATATATATAAGTATGTATAATTATCAAAAGCCGTTCCTGGCAATCAGGTTGGTGGTGTAATTGTAACCAGCCCCCAAAACAATCGTGAGGTAGGATCCTAATCCATCCTAATCCCAGCATATCCCAGCTACTAGCGAAGGGTTTAAGTCACATCAGTTGGGCAGAAGTCACATCAACCCCATGTAACAGCGAGTTGGAAGAAAGTCACATCAACTGGGCAAAAGTCACATCAAAATATCAAAATCCCAATGGCACACCGGCTTTCAAGGAATGTTGTTATATCTCCAAAAATGAAGAAAACATTGCGCACACTGAGGTATTCACATATGTTTAAACTATGTTTTCAAAGGATATATTTAGGAATCACCATGGCACACGGCCTCCCAGATCTTTAACTTTGTTTCCTAACAAACATAGATTTCCATGTAATAGCTATGGGCAACATCATCATATCAACAACGTTAAAATCTGAAAACCCAGTGGCACACCGCTGTCAACATCCGCTTCCGCTTGAATGTTTCATAAGTTCTGCCTTCTGTAAACATTCCCTCTCTCTGCTGGCGTCTCCCGCCGGTATCTCCCGCCAGCGCCAAACAAGGGGACCGAGACTGTAATTTTCTTTTTCGGCAAAATGTTTGCACCAGCGGCAGCAGCAGCAGGAGGAAGCAGCAGCAGCAGCAGCAGGAGGAGGAGGAAGCAGCAGCAGCAGGAGGCAGCAGCAGCAGCAGGAGGCAGCAGCAGGAGGCAGCAGCAGCAGCAGCAGAAGGAAGCCGCAGCCGCAGCAGCAGCAGGAGGCAGCAGCAACAGCAGCAGGAGGCAGCAGCAACAGCAGCAGGAGGCAGCAGCAACAGCAGCAGCAACAGCAGCAGCAGCAGGAGGCAGCAGCAAGGAGCAGCAAGCAAGCAGCAAGCAAGCAGAAAGCAAGCAGAAAGCAGCAACCAGCATTTGCCCCGTTGAAAGAATAATGAAATATAATATAAGTTTTATAAATCAACGCAATACAAAAATTGAACTTCTAGGCGCACGGCCCCAAACAATGAAATCGTCCAATTACTAAAAGTTGTGGTGATGCCAAATTTGAACTTTTTCCAGGCGCACGGCCTCCCGATACAACTTCTACGAGCTGATACGACTTAACGCTAGGGCTAGTAGGGTCAAATAGAATCATGTCAACAAAACATTGCTCACAGCGATGAAAAAGTCAGAGAACGAGCAAATGTGGTGGATTTTGATTTTGCCACTTCATGCCACTTCCTGCCACTTCAAGTGGCGTATGCCACTTCGAGTGGCATATGCCACTTCGAGTGGCGTATGCCACTTCGAGTGGCGTATGCCCTTTCGAGTGGCGTATGCCACTTCGAGTGGCGTATGCCACTTCGAGTGGCGTGTGCCACTTCGAGTGGCGTGTGCCACTTCGAGTGGCGTGCTGACTGTGTAGCCTTCGCGTTCCGAGTGGCGTATGCCACTTAAAGTGCAAGCTTTGTAGTACAAAGTAGTACTGCTGGTCCTTTGTGCAACTTTTGTAGTACAAAGTAGTACTGCGCAGTGCTTTGTGCAAGCTTTGTAGTACAAAGTAGTACTGGGGAGTGCTTTGTGCAAGCTTTGTAGTACAAAGTAGTACTGGGAGTTGTTCTGCGCAACTTTTGCAGTACAAAGTAGTACTGGGGAGTGCTTTGTGCAAGCTTTGTAGTACAAAGTAGTACTGGGAAGTGTTTTGTGCAAGCTTTGTAGTACAAAGTAGTACTGCGGAGTGCTTTGTGCAAGCTTTGCAGTACAAAGTGGTACTGGGGAGTAGTTTGTGCAAGCTTTGTAGTACAAAGTAGTACTGGGAGTTGTTTTGTGAAACTTTTGTAGTACAAAGTAGTACTGGGAGTTGTTTTGTGCAACTTTTGTAGTACAAAGTAGTATTGGGAAGTGGTTTGTGCAATCTTTGTAGTACAAAGTAGTACTGGGAAGTGTTTTGTGCGAGCCTTGTAGTACAAACTAGTACTGCGGAGTGCTTTGTCTTTGTAGTACAAAGTAGTACTGGGAAGTGGTTTGTGCAAGATTGTAGTACAAAGTAGTACTGCGGAATGCTTTGTGCAAGCTTTGTAGGACAAAGTAGTACTGCGGAGTGCTTTGTGCAAGCTTTGTAGTACAAAGTAGTACTGGGAAGTGTTTTGTGCAAGCTTTGTAGTACAAAGTAGTACTGCGGAGTGCTTTGTGCAAGCTTTGCAGTACAAAGTAGTACTGGGAAGTGTTTTGTGCATGCCTTGTAGTACAAAGTAGTACTGCGGAGTGCTTTGTGCAAGCTTTGCAGTACAAAGTAGTACTGCTGGTCCTTTGTGCAAGTTTTGTAGTACAAAGTCGTACTGGGGAGTGCTTTGTGCAAGCTTTGTAGTACAAAGTAGTACTGGGAGTTGTTTTGTGCAACTTTTGCAGTACAAAGTAGTACTGGGGAGTGCTTTGGCAAGCTTTGTAGTACAAAGTAGTACTGGGAAGTGGTTTGTGCAAGCTTTGTAGTACAAAGTAGGACTGGGAAGTGTTTTGTGCGAGCCTTGTAGTACAAACTAGTACTGCGGAGTGCTTTGTCTTTGTAGTACAAAGTAGTACTGGGAAGTGGTTTGTGCAAGCTTTGTAGTACAAAGTAGTACTGGGAGTTGTTTTGTGCAACTTTTGTAGTTCAAAGTAGTACTGGGGAGTGCTTTGCGCAAGCTGTGTAGTACAAAGTAGTATTGGGAAGTGTTTTGTGCAAGCTTTGTAGTACAAAGTAGTACTGGGGAGTGCTTTGTGCAAGCTTTGTAGTACAAGGTAGTACTGCGGAGTGCTTTGTGCAAGCTTTGTAGTACAAAGTAGTACTGGGAAGTGGTTTGTGCAAGATTGTAGTACAAAGTAGTACTGGGGAGTGCTTTGCGCAAGCTTTGTAGTGCTAGTGCAAGCTTTGTAGTACAGATTAGTACTGGGAACTAGTTTTTGCAAGCTTTTGTAGTAGACATCATTACTGGAAAGTACTTGACATGAAAATAGCCAAGAAGAACTTAGCTGACATCTGGGAAGACATGGAATGAGATGAGAAGAGCTCCGATGAGATGAGTTGAGATGAAGTGCAAGTGTGAAGTGTGGAGTGTGGGGTGTGAAGAGTGCAATGTGAAGTCTGAGGAAAGTGTTTGCATTGCACCGGTGTCGCGCGCAGGTCATGTTCTTATGTTCTTGGCCACAACACTACAACAGCTTCGCACAGCTTCGCACAGCTTCGCACAAAGCACGCACGCACAGCCCTGGCTGGAGCACGGCGCATGCAAGGTGCTTAGTCGTAGTACTGGGAAGTGATTCATGGAAGCTTGCGTGACATATGAGAAGAGATGAGATGAGAAGAGATGAGCTGGGTTAAGGTGAGAAGAGCTCAGATGAGATGAAGTGTGGAGTGTGAAGTGTGAGGAGTGCAGTGAGAAGTGTGGGGCGTGAAGAGTGCAGTTTGAAGAGTGAAGTGTGAAGTGTGGACTGTGAAGTTTGAAGTGTGAAGTGCCAAGTGTGCAGTCTTAAGAGCGCCGGGTGAAGTGAAGTCTGGAGTGCGAAGAGTGCAGTGTGAAGTGTGAAGTGTGGAGTGTGAAGAGTGCAGTGAGTAGTGCGAAGTGCGAAGTGGATCTGCAAATGTGACTTGCGATGGAGTCAAAAGATCCAGCTATCATCATCGCTGCTGGAGTCCTCAACAACGATGGGCGCAGCAGTCGACATTCCATCTGTATCACGCTGCGGTAGCATTCCGGCCACCCTTGGCAAAAGGTTGGCTTGTAGGGCAATGGATCGCTCATTTCAAACTGAAACAACACAAAACATCTCTATCAGAGATAACTGGCAGATGATGTTTGAAACGGCGGCTATAGGGATGATGGTGATGATCATGATGATGATGATGATGATGAGGACCGTTTTGTCTGTGCATCAGTCCGTCCTCTGTCCATCACACTGTCACATCTCTCCTATAGTTTTTTTGGAAACTTCTGCCACCGCCTGGTGCGGTTCCTATGTTAGCGCCAATGGTGTAAATGATGATAATGAAGTCGAAGCTGTTGAACACGTATTGCTACGGCCAAGATGTGATAGGTAAGTCTTGTAACGAATTTTCGTTCACATTGTTGTGAAACTGGTTTGTTGTCATTCTTGGGGTCGTGCCCACAGTTAGGCAACCGTTTGAAACTGGAATGTTTCTAAGATCTTTGCGCGCAATATGTGAAAAACGTGACTACATGTCAGAAAATCAAACGGCAGCAGCAAAAGTTTTCACAAAGAGGTATCAAGGCACAGTGGTGGCCCATTGTCGAGTGCTTCCAGGCATTGCCATAAAGCTTTGGCGGTTTTAACACGAAGAACCATCCCATATATGTACTTTGACTGCCTTCTCAAACCCATTCCCCAGTATGCAACCACTTGTAGAGATTCGTGGTCAAAGAGACACTAGTACAAAGTAGTACTGCGGAGTGCTTTGTGCAAGCTTTGTAGTACAAAGTAGTACTGCTGGTCCTTTGTGCAACTTTTGTAGTACAAAGTAGTACTGGGGAGTGCTTTGTGCAAGCTTTGTAGTACAAAGTAGTCCTGCTGGTCCTTTGTGCAACTTTTGTAGTACAAAGTAGCACTGGGGAGTGCTTTGTGCAAGCTTTGTAGTACAAAGTAGTACTGGGAGTTGTTCTGTGCAACTTTTGCAGTACAAAGTAGTACTGGGGAGTGCTTTGTGCAAGCTTTGTAGTACAAAGTAGTATTGGGAAGTGGTTTGTGCAATCTTTGTAGTACAAAGTAGTACTGGGAAGTGTTTTGTGCGAGCCTTGTAGTACAAACTAGTACTGCGGAGTGCTTTGTCTTTGTAGTACAAAGTAGTACTGGGAAGTGGTTTGTGCAAGATTGTAGTACAAAGTAGTACTGCGGAATGCTTTGTGCAAGCTTTGTAGGACAAAGTAGTACTGCGGAGTGCTTTGTGCAAGCTTTGTAGTACAAAGTAGTACTGGGAAGTGTTTTGTGCAAGCTTTGTAGTACAAAGTAGTACTGCGGAGTGCTTTGTGCAAGCTTTGCAGTACAAAGTAGTACTGGGAGTTGTTTTGTGAAACTTTTGTAGTACAAAGTAGTACTGCGGAGTGCTTTGTGCAAGCTTTGTAGTACAAAGTAGTACTGGGAAGTAGTTTGTGCAAGCTTTGTAGTACAAAGTAGTACTGGAACGTGTCTAGTGCAAGCTTTGTAGTACAGATTAGTACTGGGAACTAGTTTTTGCAAGCTTTTGTAGTAGACATCATTACTGGAAAGTACTTGACATGAAAATAGCCAAGAAGAACTTAGCTGACATCTGGGAAGACATGGAATGAGATGAGAAGAGCTCCGATGAGATGAGTTGAGATGAAGTGCAAGTGTGAAGTGTGGAGTGTGGGGTGTGAAGAGTGCAATGTGAAGTCTGAGGAAAGTGTTTGCATTGCACCGGTGTCGCGCGCAGGTCATGTTCTTATGTTCTTGGCCACAACAATACAACAGCTTCGCACAAAGCACGCACGCACAGCCCTGGCTGGAGCACGGCGCATGCAAGGTGCTTAGTCGTAGTACTGGGAAGTGATTCATGGAAGCTTGCGTGACATATGAGAAGAGATGAGATGAGAAGAGATGAGCTGGGTTAAGGTGAGAAGAGCTCAGATGAGATGAAGTGTGGAGTGTGAAGTGTGAGGAGTGCAGTGAGAAGTGTGGGGCGTGAAGAGTGCAGTTTGAAGAGTGAAGTGTGAAGTGTGGACTGTGAAGTTTGAAGTGTGAAGTGCCAAGTGTGCAGTCTTAAGAGCGCCGGGTGAAGTGAAGTCTGGAGTGCGAAGAGTGCAGTATCACGCTGCGGTAGCATTCCGGCCACCCTTGGCAAAAGGTTGGCTTGTAGGGCAATGGATCGCTCATTTCAAACTGAAACAACACAAAACATCTCTATCAGAGATAACTGGCAGATGATGTTTGAAACGGCGGCTATAGGGATGATGATGATGATCATGATGATGATCATGATGATGATGATGATGATGATGACCGTTTTGTCTGTGCATCAGTCCGTCCTCTGCCCATCACACTGTCACATCTCTCCTATAGTTTTTTTGGAAACTTCTGCCACCGCCTGGTGCGGTTCCTATGTTAGCGCCAATGGTGTAAATGATGATAATGAAGTCGAAGCTGTTGAACACGTATTGCTACGGCCAAGATGTGATAGGTAAGTCTTGTAACAAATTTTCGTTCACATTGTTGTGAAACTGGTTTGTTGTCATTCTTGGGGTCGTGCCCACAGTTAGGCAACCGTTTGAAACTGGAATGTTTCTAAGATCTTTGCGCGCAATATGTGAAAAACGTGACTACATGTCAGAAAATCAAACGGCAGCAGCAAAAGTTTTCACAAAGAGGTATCAAGGCACAGTGGTGGCCCATTGTCGGGTGCTTCCAGGCATTGCCATAAAGCTTTGGCGGTTTTAACACGAAGAACCATCCCATATATGTACTTTGACTGCCTTCTCAAACCCATTCCCCAGTATGCAACCACTTGTAGAGATTCGTGGTCAAAGAGACACGCTTCAGGCCTCCAGGATCTACAAGTCTGCGACAGAAATATGGTTGTGTCCAGCAAGACTTCTTCGGCCTTGTGTCGCCGAATAGATAAAGTCCAGGTTGGTTGGCGGGCCAAGACAGCTGAGCAGAACGACTCTGGTACATTTTCCCAATCATCCTGGTCAGTGTCTGTCCGCGCAAAAGGGATGCCAATTGTGAAGGAATTTTCCCTTTTTGGAAAGATGTCCTGCAGTCTTGCTTCTGTTGGTGCTCAGACACGAAAGTAAGACACTTCTTGACATAGCTATGTTTGTATTCTGAAACGCTTTCCTTTCTTTGCTGATACCATCGTACTGTTTCACAAATAATGTCCTCTACCAACTCTTCTCACCCAGCTCTCCTGTGGTGCCATGAGCCAAACTGCTGTATGGTTTTATTTCAAAATGCATTCCTCATCTACTGTATGGTTTTATTTCAGTAAATCCATTGAGCACGCAGGAGGTGCGTAAACCGATTTCGCCACTTCACGCCACTAGCAGTAGTAGAAGTAGTCGTAGCCGTAGTCGTAGTAGTACAAGTGGTAGTAGTAGCAGTAGTAGAAGTTGTAGCCGTAGTCGTAGTAGTACAAGTGGTATACTAGCAGTATACTAGTAGCAGTAGTAGAAGTAGCCGTAGCCGTCGTAGTAGTAGTAGTAGTAGCAGTAGCAGTAGCAGCAGCAGCAGCAGTAGTGGTAGTGGTAGTGGTAGTGGTAGTGGTAGTGGTAGTGGTAGTAGTAGTAGTAGTAGTACGCGACGTCGTAACAGAAGTCGTAGTCGTAATGTCCCACCGTGAGCATGCCACTTCATGCCACTTCAAGTGGCGTATGCCACTTCGAGTGGCGTATGCCACTTCAAGTGGCGCATGCCACTTCAAGTGGCGTGTCGCCCCGTGAGCATGCCACTTCATGCCACTTCATGCCGCTTCAAGTGGCGCATGCCACTTCAAGTGGCGTGTCGCACCGTGAGCATGCCACTTCATGCCACTTCATGCCACTTCAAGTGGCGGCCGCACCGTGAGCATGCCACTTCATGCCACTTCATGCCACTTCAAGTGGCGGTCGCACCGTGAGCATGCCACTTCATGCCACTTCAAGTGGCGGTCGCACCGTGAGCATGCCACTTCATGCCACTTCATGCCACTTCATGCCGCGTGAAGTGGCGTGAAGTGGCGAAATCGGTTTATGCACCTCCTGCGTGCTCAATGGAAAAAGTGTTCGAATCAATAACCCATCAAATAAAGAACTATCAAAATCTATACGAAACACTGCGCGCACGCAGGTGTGATACGACTTCAGGTCGATTGATACGACTTAAGCCTAGTGGTAGTATAAGATGGAAAACATTGGAAAAAACCATGGAAAAAACATTGGAAAACAAACAAAAACAAACAACGAAAGCATCAGCCCGAGCCCTGATATCCCTGATGTTTGCTGATCATCTTGGGATATCTGGGTGGAATTTTTCACCGGCTGCCCTTTTGCCTCGAAGATGCCATGTCCACAGCTCCTGCCCTTGGATCCAAGTCTTGATGGAATCCTGACCAACACTGACCTGGGGCAGTGAGGCTGGCAGAAACCACTGCCATAACATCAAGACTCAAGACCATCAACTAGTAACTAGAAGCAAGGTGTTGGAGCATTGGAGACACTTCATGTCGGAGAATGTGTCTTAGGAGTCAAGTTCATTGAGATCATTGAGAACATCGGTTCTATAGAAACAGGAACGCTGCAAGCTGCTCAGTAACTGATAAATCAATTTGTTCCCTAATGTTTACAGGAGTTGGCGCATTGATTCCACGGAAACAACAGTTCAATTTGAAAGGTGTATCTTTTTGTTCAGAGGGGATAGCGCTTTTGATCTCATATCAGAAGAAGTGCTGTTGAGAGAACAATTTCTCCTAGTCCTAGTCCTATTGATTCCTATTGTGACATGGTTGACCCTTCCTTGCTTGTCTTCCGAAGATTATATGTCGAGGTTGCTTCCATGGTTTCAGGTCTGACCTGTTCGCTCAACCACAGATCTCTGTCGGACATGGTGCAAAAAGGTTGTTCCCCAGACCTCCCTGCATTCGAAATAAGGTCAAGCGGCAGAATAGCTTGGACTAAACCAAAATCCATAGCGTGGGAGCAAAATATAGTATCATGAATTATCATGATGTGGGATTCTCTCAAGTAGTGCGCCTCCAATTTTTATGAGATGTTATGATTGATCACCCCGTTCCCAATTAAATTGGGAAAAATGGGCATCAATCGATCCATCAATCCCCCATTTTCAGACACGTCCATGCATTTACGAGCTGCAGCTGGGACACGAAGCGGAGGTTGGCCCAGTCGGCCTCAACGTCGTGCACGCCACCTGGTCGGTGAGCCACCAGCATCACCAAATGATGTCGGAAAAGAACATATGCCACAAATATCCGCAAATCGCATTGCTCTCAAGGCACCCAACCTGACAAAATGCTGGTTTCAAGGACACTCCTTTTCCTGCAGCCCAACACGCCCATCGCCGCAGGAAGATGCGCACGTTGGCAGCACTAAGATCCCAGGGCTCACCTGGAAGGAAACCAAAGCCTTCATCACTCGGCATTCCACCGTCGACATTCATGGGCGATTGTGACAAACTGTTACCCATTGCGCTAATGCAAAGTTTCAGGCTGAAGATCTGATTTGAAAGTCTAGAACTTTGAACCAAAACAGGTACTTAGATGAAACTTAGATGAAACTTAGATGAAACTTAGGTATTCGACTGTTGAATATATTGGAGACCTAGGCTTTGGTCATTCTATGGGCCGTGCTAGATCCAGATGATCCAGGCACCAAATGCACTAGCTTCGGCCAAGTGCGCTTGGATGCGCTTGGATGCGCTTGGTGCGGGAAATCCACGGAGAAACGGTGAGAAATCCAACCATTCCCCCCTGCTCCCATAGGTTTGATCTTTTGGGAACTCTGCAAGGAAGCTGCAACGCAATGGAACGCAGACCCTGAGACCTAGAATCTGTAGATTCTCATGGAAGCTGATTGCAAACATTCCGGAGGACATCTTTGAACACCCAGAAATTTGGCGGTTCGAATGGTCTCCTTTTATTGCAACCAGCTTCCCCTACTTCCATGAATGACATACCGTAGTCATGGTATGTCATAGTCATACTGGCTTCTGTGGCACGCAGCCTCTACGAAACCATTTTACTCAAACGCTAAGGGCAGTCACAACCTTTACCTTCGGCTCAAGCTCAAACTTCAATCTATGGAAGTCGTGCCGTCGGGAAGCATTTACTATCGGTGTTTGCCGCTCGACCTCCACCAAGCTCCACAGATTCTGGTTGCTCGGGGGGAACATCTCCCCATGGATGTTGACCAGCTGCAAACTTGATCTGGAATCCATTTGCTCCAAATCTGCCACCTCCACCTCACACTGTTCGGTGTCCATGGTTCAACGCAGTTGGAAATGACAAAGGGGTCGAGCATGAGTACAGTTGATATCTGATATGTAAATTCAGAACCGACCGTAATTGTATGGTCGGTGGTTCTCCCAAGTAATGTTTGCTCCCGATTAGTGTGACGGTACCCTATTGTGAGAATTTTTTGCTTCCGAATTCAATATCTTGGTGTTTGTGGGGGGGGGGGCCTCTATTATGAGAAGTGTTTTTCATGTGTTCATTTTTTTCAGATTGTTTTTTCTCATCCATTTTTTTCAGTTTTCTCCTAAATAATTAGATGCCTTCTTAAACCCTTTTAAAAAAACAGCATCCAAACAATTTTTCAAGGGGGTACCTCATGAGTGGATCAGATACTCAATAATATAATTGTTTGGATGGTACTCTATTGTGCACACCAACTTTTGGGAGTAAAAAAAACATTTCTCCACCTTTCTTCGGGTAAAGCTGGTCCCTTTACTTTAGAAAGTAAATTGAAAGTAAATTGAAATCAATTGAAAGTAAATTGATTTAAATTGAAAATCAATTGAAATCAATTGAAAATCAATTGAAAGTAAATTGAAATCAATTGAAACTCAATTGAACGTAAATTGAAATCAATTGAAAATCAATTGAAAGTAAATTGAAATCAATTGAAAGTAAATTAAATTCAATTGAAAGTAAATTGAAATAAATTGGAAATCAATTGAAAGTAAACTGAAATCAATTGAATGTAAATTGATTTCAATTGAAAATCACTTGAAAGTAAATTTATTCAATTGAAAATCAATTGAAAATAAATTGAAATCAATTGAAAGTAAATTGATTTCAATTGAAATCCTTACTTAAGTTGACTATCCTAAAAAAAATTGAGGGGTGAGCAAAAAAAAATGCGAGTTATTCAGTATACTCAAACTGTTTGAGGGGGGGGGCACACTAATCAGTAGCTCACATTAGTCGATTTGGACAGTCTTGCAAGTCACCGGTATTGAGAAAATAACACTTTCTTGGAACTACTGAACAAATATGGTTAGGTTAAGTAGTTTCAAAGCAAATTCCAGTCACGAACCTAAGGCTGATCAGCTTATGATGGTTATGTGGGCCAGGTGCTTGGGAGCTGATCTGCTGATTGTCATTTCAAAAGAACAAACTCTGGGACCCTAGGATGATAGGAATATGACATCTGTTTGCATGACATTTGACCATGCCCCGCACCCAAAAATGGCAGGCGATACAGGACAAAATCAGCATGTGCAACCATCATCTTGACCTCCGCTTGAACGCATATTCATATTACTGTAGTACCCCCTTCCAACCCAAACTGTCACCAGGGCACCTGTCTACGTGTGGTACTCATACCTTCCCACAAGGCTGAGAGTTGTCGCACGGTGCGTTTCACACGGCTAGTAACTGTGCTCACAGCACCTGTGGCATTCACCTGAACGCGGTTGGTGAAGGATGCATCCTTTCCAGAGGCTCCAATTCAAGCATTGATTGGTGCTGAGACTTCTGTTGTTGTGTGGTAAACCCAATATTATTATACAACCCGAAAGTAAACCATCTCCAATAATTATATATATATATATAATTAGTACCCATAAATGGCAGGTACTAAGTAAAAACATGTAAAAGCTATCCCCAAATGGTCATTTTATGTTGCGTTGACCGTAAAAGCCGCATCGAATCCAACCTGTGTGGGTCTCCATGCCTGGTGTCATGTTCCCGTCGTTTCGCGATTTATGATCAACGCAAACATATCTTACACATAAAATCTGCACATATGTCACATATGTGTGCCTATATATATATATTATATTTATATGCATTATCTGTTGATATATGGAAATATCTGTGGATAAAGCACACAGTATCTCTTACGTGTGTAAAAAGCTAGAGAGAGAGAACATTCAAATGTCCCCACCACCATTGCAAAACAAATCTGCGGTCACGTTTCCACCTAGAAGTTGAGGCCTTGGCATCCCACATGAACAGGCTCCCAACATGCAGAGCAGTATAACTTTACATAATGGCATACATGCTCTAAAAACGTGCATGTTTGGCACTATACTATTTGCCCATTCTATGTCCATATGGATATATAATATATATTTATGCAAAAGTGTAGCCGCAGTGTGTAGCCTGAAGCATCACTTCAGTCCAAGGGGCTACTGCTACGATCTGTGCCGTATCATCAGCTTTGTTCTTGTGCAGCCTCAATGAGCGCATCGCTGCTTGCAAGATGCTGATATCGCTTTTGGGCCGTGTGTCAGCCACCACAACGGTACGCAATGGGGGAATGTCCTCGGTCTGGGGCAAAGTTCCATCTACTGGAGGCACATGTAAAAACACCCTCATTGAGTGACGGAATGAGGGTGGGGAATCACATTATATTGTTGTTCCTAAACACAATCAAGATCATGGAGTGGTCAACTGACTTTTCCGAAAACCATTGTTTTCCCAGAATGGGATCTGTTCTGCCTGGTCCAGGAATGTCCTGAGTCCAGCCCCAAGTTCCCACCTGTTCCCATTAGCAGCGGGGCTCTACAAGACAAAATTGGGGCCCAATGAGAAAAATGTTCACCAAACTATGCCAAGTTTGCTTTTATTTTTCGAAATACATTCTTGTGAGCAATCCTCCCGTCGGGACTTTTGATCGAAACCTTTCATAATACATCACGCATCATCACGCCCTTTGCCAACTATTAAAGCTGCTTTCTTTACAAGTCTCAGTTCCTTCATTGAAGAGCCGAACACAGCACAGTGCCTGCACGGCTCTGTCCGGGAAGCATGATCCGTATCAGTTTTTTGTGCACCCCTTTCCTGCAGCCCCTTCGCATTCACTGGTGTATGATGTTTGTGTGCGAGAAACTCCGTGCATAAACACTTTCTTAAACCTAGCCAAACCATGCCAGCAAACAACCTTTTCTGGAAGAACCCGATGCTTTCCCGTGGGCATTATCAACTAAAACTTAAATATGATTTGCTGTATGTAAAACCTTGTACAAAGATTCAAATTGACTTTGAAAAGAGGCGAACTCGAAACTCTCATCCAAATACCTTCCGACAAATCCATACAAATCCCACAAATCCAACTTGCCAAAAGGATCCAAAATGCCAAAACTTGCCAGTTCCAAACATTCCAAATCAATGATATCAATTCACAGAGATTAGCATATCTCAACATGTCTTAGTTGTCATCTCCCACCTGGATACTGCCCTCTGCCAGGTTTTTGCGGCACATCTCTCGGTAGGTCTTTGGATCTCGATGTGCCAAAGCTGCCGCGCGGACCTGATGTTCTCGCAACTTCATTGCGAAGGCTCGGGCATTTCTGAGCCTGCAAGATGTCAGGAGAGCCAACCAGGAGCACGTTGAGGAGGCCACAATGATCCACCATGTTTACCAAAAACAAAAAGGGGGGGTTGATGCATGTTGATGCTTTAATGCGAGGAGGCTTGGTGTTTCTGTACTTCTATTATTCTTCTATGATCACATTGGAGCTGGTGGCTGCAGGGTTGTTGGCACTTATGCTCAATGCGATGAACTGCCACATCTTGAGCTTCCTTCTCGGTCCACCAACGTCATCGTCATCATCATCATCATCATCATGATCATGATCATGATCATGATGATGATGATGATGATGATCATCATCATCATCATCGTCGTCGTCGTCGTCGGGTCGTGGTCGTGGTCGTGGTCGTGGTCGTGGTCGTGGTCGTGGTCGTCGTCGTGGTGGTCGTGGTGGTCGTGGTGGTCGTCGTGGTGGTCGTGGTGGTCGTGGTGGTCGTGGTGGTTGGTCGTGGTGGTCGTGGTCGTGGTCGTGGTCGTGGTGGTCGTGGTGGTCGTGGTCGTCGTGTCGTGGTCGTCGTCGTGGTGGTCGTCGTCGTGGTCGTCGTCGTGGTCGTCGTGGTGTCGTGGTCGTCGTGGGTCGTCGTGGTCGTCGTGGTCGTCGTGGTGGTCCGTCGGGTGTCGTGGTCGTCGTCGTGGTCGTCGTGGTCGTCGTGGTCGTCGTCGTGGTCGTCGTGGTCGTCGTCGTGGTCGTCGTGGTCGTCGTGGTCGTCGTGGTGGTCGTCGTCGTGGTCGTCGTGGTCGTCGTCGTGGTCGTCGTCGTGGTCGTCGTCGTCGTCGTCGTGGTCGTCGTCGTCGTCGTCGTCGTCGTCCTCATCCTCATCCTCATCCTCATCCTCATCCTCATCCTCATCCTCATCCTCGTCGTCGTCCTCGTCCTCGTCATCGTCGGCATCGTCATCATCGTCATCGTCATCGTCACCGTCGTGATCGTCGGCATCGTCATTGCATCGTCATCGTCATCGTCATCGTCGGCATCGTCGGCATCAGCATCAGCATCAGCATCAGCATCATCATCATCATCATCATCATCATCATCATCATCATCATCATCATCGGCAGCAGCAGCAGCAGCATCGCCGCACATTTGTCATACGTTCAAGTTCTTTTGCCGTAAGTATCCATATGTCGTGTTCTCCAGGTGTCTTTAGGATATACGTCATAAGAGGTAATCTCTATCCTGGTGGTTTACGTTGTTATGTTACTCAAAACACAATCGTGCTGACGACCCATCCCGTGGTCGCCCTGTTTGAATTCCTAGCAAAGCCGAGCCGGCCTGGCTCAGTGACTTGAAGCAGAGCCAGCATGAGAAGTCTGATGCGTTTGAGTGTCATACGTGTCATATTTGTGGGGAGCACCCTATCATATATATCATCAGAATCCGATTCATCTTAGAAAATTCTTAAATCAAGGTCGGCAGCAAGACAGACATTAGCCGCCCAGAGTACATCCCATGGTTCATCCAATGAATGTCACCACATCAAAACTCCGCAGTTGTAGCAGTAATCTTCGTGATCATCATTGTGCGTAACCTGATATGCTTACTCAAACGGAGCAAAGAGTGGAAATGATCACGTCATATCATATCCATGATGGATGCCAAATCAACAGAAGGAAAATCTGAATAAAACCCGTGCAAAAGCCTAAAAGGCAAAGCATCATGAGGGAACCCTTTCCCATGTAGTTTTTCCATGTAGTTGGGGGCCACATTAAAGGCTGCCAGGCAACTTGTTAAAGAGAATCAGCATGGGTGACCACTCGGCACTCTTCAAACTGATGAATTCCGCAAGCTTTGACATGCGCTGGTCATTGCAGGCCAGTGGCAAAACATAGCCTCGACACAAACACATGGTGGCATTGAATGCAGGATCGTGGCTCTCCATTAGATCTCTTTATGTTCCTACTGGGTCAAATATGAGCATCTTTATGAAAAATATAAATTATATTCTAATAATATTTTAATTTCAAGGGTGGTAATGAACATTATTATTATTATCACTATTGATATATATATATATATAGGCTATCATAAATTAGAAAACAGTTTCACAAATAGTTATAATAATAATACAAATATATAATAATGTATTTATACAAAATGGTTACTGGAGTACAACTCGAGGAGGTCGAGGGCAAACTTGAGGGACTGGATCCTGGGGACGCACTTGCTGGGACGGCTACTGTGATGTCCACATAGGCTGCAGGTGTGATGAACAAGGAGCTGGGCAAAAACAACTAGGAGGCAGACTCCAACAAGTGCGACCAGCCAAAAGGTCTCAGAAGCTACGGAGCAGGAGGGATCTCAGTCAAGATCTGCGAGAAGTGCGGCTATTTTGAATTGAATTTTCATTGCTGTTTCAACTCGTAGTTTCAGCATGTAAAGATTGAGAAAACGTAACATACTATATCCATAATTTTTAATCGGTGCTAGAATTAACATTTCAAAACCAGGCGAATTGTTAGTGATAGATAGTTCTGTATTTGTTCATCATCAGTTGTTAAAGTTTTATAATTAAATATATAATGGTACGGTTTAAACATATAGTTTATCACTTTTTGTATATATTGGCTAAGGCGATTGCTTTTGCAAAATCCATTGTTCTTGACATAGTTTATATTATTTTGTTAAGTTATTTAACAATTCTTTGTGTTCTTCATCAACAAGTTCCATAAACTCATTATTATTGAAAAACTAATTCATTCCTAAACGCCCGTCATATGCGCCCTTGATCATGGCATTGCCAACCCCATGACCCCCATGTGCGTAGCATTGAGGAACACAAAGCACCCTCAAAAAGGAAGGAACATGATTTTCTTCGGAATTGGCTCTCTACGTTTCAGTATGTTTCAATAATAATGCTATCCTGACACCCGAAAGCGCCCTTTCCTCAAAGCTTATAGTGGTCACATCTATAGGAGGGTGCGGAAAGTTTGACCTTGGCGAAGGGTCAAAGTGCTCAACTTGCGGATTTGCCAGGCGACTATTTAGATCACAAACATAGCCATCATGAACCTCAGATGCTGAACTGCGAGTTCTTCCACGAACGCATGCACATATCTGCTGGCTCGGGTTGCGAATCACCTACTTTGGAAATAATGCCTGGTTATTGTTCATTGGTCTTGGTGTCCCCTCCTGTAGGGGTAGTGCTCCTACTTGATATGAATCCAAAGGACATAGGATTCCGTAAGGCATGGGCAACTAGGCCACTCAATCATTGCCTTGTAGTATCTCCACCTGTAAGATCCTGTAAGCATCGCTTGAATTGTTGCCTTTCTGCCCTGGTGGTTACGTGGTATCCTTTAAAATCCTTTTCATACAGGGAGACAGTCTCCAAGGAACTGCTTTCTGGAATGAATAGAGGTAGTCCAAATCATCAGAGGATTCTCCTCCAAACGTGGCAGTAAATTCTGCCTCCAGGTCTGCAGTGATGCCATCGCGGATCAAGCTGGTATGGAAGCCATCACCCTGCAAGTGGTGCGCTTCCTGAGCTAACACAAGCAACGCACGTACATGTGTAGTTTGTTTTCAGCAGTGGAGGCCGGCTCTACCTGTGTGGAGCCAAGTGTCGTCGACAATCTTCACACGAAAATGCTGACCCCTCAGTATGGGGGCGCTGTTGTAGACGCAAACCTGAGTTGGCATGGATGGAATGGATGGAATTGATGGCAAAGTTCACAACATCTGCGTGTTTCCCAGCCTTCCCAATCTTCCCATCTTGAATTTATATCATCGACGATCGACCTCAAACATTACTGAAACTGCTGGAAGACCCGGAAGCTTTGTCTTTAGATGTCTTTGGAGGATTGACCCTAACCATCCTAAGAGTTTGAAGTTTTCGATGCCACGCGTGCCCAGTGGCGACCACTGAAGCAAGTGGATCGATGACATTTTGCCCATCACCCAGCATGGAGGTATGAAACCCGCACCCCCGGAGTTTCCTGGGGCGGCCGTTGTGACAGATATAGCAACGCGCATGGCTCTTTTTTAAACAACCTAAATACAAAATGCACCTAGACTATCCGCCTTGGAAAAATGAGGACTTCATTCGTCCCTGGAAAAAAAGGCCATGTGGCCAAGTATCACCAATGAAACAGGGTTGGGAAAGGCAATGAGATAATATGAGAAACCAAATTATATATATATATATAATTATATACGATTATATACGTATATATATATGCGCATAATTGCAGCCGGGAATGGGGCCAAAAAGACTCAGGTCACTCTTGTTGTGCAACTCGGAAGTACAACCTTCTAACCCTTCTATTCTTTTCAGAAGCACACGAGAATCTACCCTGTTTTGAATTGAGGCCGTCTGTGGCATCTGTTCACATACTCGAGGTTTGCATAAATCAGCCAAGCATCTGACAGGTTTGAACCGCCAAGGGGCGCCAGGGTACAAAGATCACCACGCGACTGCTGGGCTGCTCTTTTAAGGATCTTGAAACAATCATGGCATAGATATGCGTCTTCCTTGCACAATGGCATAGCAAGCGAGTCCCTACTGAAATGAGGCGGGAGTTCCACACCTGAGTAATGTTTTTATCCTTGTCTTTCGATGACCACTAGCACATAGTCCACGCAACTGTCTACGCAGAGCTTGCGCCATTGCATGAGGTAGCCTATGCTGGGTATGTTTTCAAAGGGGTGCCTACGCGAGCCTACGCGGTACAGGCTTTGCCTACCCGGCCATGTTTTCTTTTTGTTCTCGATTGTGGCGTGAGGTTTTGGAACCACAAACCACAAACATCACAACTAACCAATGAAAAATGACGCAAAATGAATAAGTTCTAACTGTTGCCAACGTGTGTCTACACAAAGCCTACGCGGTGTAGGCAAAAACGAGCCTACACCAATGCCGACGCAATCTAATTATGCCGTCTGCATGGGAGCCTATGCCTGGGCATAATCTGTCTTGTGGAGTTCCCACTTTATCGATTTTCCTCCATCCAGACCCCCCCAAAAAAACGCTACTCACCTGAGTCTGATATGGTCAGGCGTAAAAGGATCTGAACAAACTGTGTTAACAAGTGTTAACTGCGTTGTTTGAACAACCTAAAACAAGGCCCAAGGCACAATAAGGCCATTTTGGAATATAGACAAGTGGGACAAGCGTGTGGGGGTCAAGCAGCTTAAACAGTCGGAGGCACACTCTATTCAGCAAACAATATATAATCAGCAAAATATCCGGGTTGAAATATCCGGGGAGCCCTTGTGCCCCCTCATTTTATAGTACAAACCTTGGGCCTTACCCTGGTTTGCTACAAAATGAACAACCACCATCAAAAACACCTAACTACAAAATGAAAACCCAGGGTCCAGTGGCATCAACATAGGTTTGCTACAAAATGTCATGCCCAAGGGCTTTATTTCTAACTTCAACATCCAACATGTTACCTCTTGCTTTGTTGCAGGTCATTTTGTAGCTATTACATCCTTCAACATCCTTTGTTATACAAACAAGAGCAGCTACAAAATGGATTCACGGCCTCACCATATAAACCCACACACAGCCTTAAAAAAGCTACTTTGCTACAAAATGGTGGCCCTGGGTGCATCTTTAAAACCCTGTTTTACTGATAAAATGGATTAGGTTGTTAGGCCAGGGCCCTTCAATCTGTAGCTGAAATTTTAACGCGGATAGCAAAATGACCAACTGCAAAACTGCATTGCAAGGATCTAACATCATCCAACATCCAGAAATCAAACATGGCAATGGAAAATCCCCCAGGTATTGATGATTTGCCCCCCCCAAAAAAAAAAACTATGGGGGATTTCCTGGCTACCAATGTTTGATACAAAACGGAAGGATTAGTTGGCCAAGAGTCCCTGCACCTCCCACCAATTGCAAACGCATCGGCCTAGACTTCTCGTTTCCTTGGTGATTCATGTCTGCCTTTTGCCTGCAAAGGTCTCTTCCAGGGGTTGCTTTTTTAGGCGCCCTGAAATACACCTCAATGAGAACAAAAACAGTACCAAACATCCCAGTTTCTGATGCTCCGTGCCCGTTGAAAAAATAGGTTCACAGCTTCTTGCTGGTAGTAGCGCGGCTCCACACCTCCCAAACGACCTTTTCCTTTGCGACTTTGGCGAGGTGGTCGGCCTCTGACAGCGAATGTCTGGCAGAAGATAGAGATCCTTGGCGGAGTTTGAGGGGGAGCCCTGCCAATCCTAGGAGCATCCCATCCGATTCCTTCATCATCGCCCATCCGCTACCAAGCTTGCGACGCTGTGCCCCTATTAATGCATTCTAGAGACCCAAGCAGAAGTACCAGGCTCAGCAAGCAATGGCGCACTCTGGTCATGGCTCACATTGGCTCACATCACATCGCGAAAATCAAGCGGATCCACAAGGACCGAATGTGGTAAATCCAATTGATCACCCTCCTTTGGGGGATATTTTTTTAAATTCTAAGCACATACATGCAAATATCAAATAGAAAATTGGGTGTATATAAAGGGTTCAAAGAGGTATGCTTGGGCATACCGTAGTCCATTAAAACGTTGAAACGTGGGGTAATACCATGACCGCACCGCTTCCATTGGCTGCCTTCTTACTGATCCTACTGGGCCGTCATGCTCTTCTCTCCGCCCCTCTCATCGTTTACCTTGACGTCCAGGTCGGGCAGCTGGGCAGTGGAAACCACCCCCGAAGTGCTTTATGTACATTGCACTAAAAGAAAGCTGGAGCCGACAACGTCATGCAACAATTCCGGACCTCTGAGCCGTTCATCCATGGCAGTTTAGCTATATGGATGGCTATCAAATCTAATCAGCTTTCCACCTCCCATGTTGTAGAATCCCATCATCAGCTGATGTTGAGTCTGGCAAAATTACAAATAACTACAATATACATGTCCCAAGCATTCCTAAGCCTGAAACATGGTGATTTTGGGGTGGGGCCCCTTGCCCACCATACTAACCAGTATTTAAATACTATATATATATATATTATATATATATTTATTTATTTATTGTGTTGTCATGGTGTGTCATGGTGAGGTCATAGTGAGGTCGCTCACCATAAGCCCAGATGGACTCATCTTGGCCGCAGCACCTTCGTGAGCAAAGAGCCTCGGGGCTGGGCCCCCGTTGGTTTCAGTGTGGGATCAACAGTTGAAACTTGAAACCACCCATCGGACCATTCGGCTAGGGTTGTCATGATGTTTTGATGGATTATATATATAATGCTTATATAAAGGAATGATGCTTAATTCACACGTTGACAAGTCGATGGGATTGTTGCCCCCTGTTGCCTGACAAAGAAACTGCATGTAGGCATAGAAAGGCATTTGACGGCGAGATCTAAATCAAGTGGAAACTATCACCAAAGAATGCGTGCGTTTCGCTGCCACCAGAGTTGTTTCAGTGTATGAGATCACCTGCGTCAGAGTTGATGCCCTAACTTCAACAACTTTTATCATCTTCACCTAATCTGTACTCCGTGTTAAAGATCTTCGCTCCACCCCGCCATCCCATCCTCACCTTTAGCCATGCAACAAATAGAGTTGGTTTCCAGTCTGCAAATCCCAGCAAATCAGCAAGCCAGCAGCATCATGCGTCACAGCCAGGTGACGAGTCCAATCCACCGCCACCTGGCCAGAAACGGCCGACGGCCGGCCACCAGCTTTTGGAACTCTTTGGGCCAACATAGGCCAACTGCTTGAAAGTGCGCCCTCTTCATCGGTTTTCCATTCATAGCCAGTTTGATCCTCCATCATCTCATCAATTGTTTGCGCAAACTTGGAGTTTCCCGGACGCGAAGCCGCTGAGCTGCTAAGTGCAAACAAGCCACTCCTCTTATTGTAGCCGCATGTCCGGACATGATATACCTGACCCCAGGTAGCCAAGCTGGTTGCACAAACGGGTCAGGGGAAAGTTCATCTAACTTCAGTTGGGTGGTTGGCCCTTCCCATCCCCAAACCACGTAGCCAAGACACAAACACTTGCCCTGCTCCAGGTCCCATAGCCGAACGTTGTGACACAAGTCACCTGACCATTTTACTAAGGTGTCAACGTTGATGCTTGTGGCACGAGTACGGGATTGGGACTTGCCGATATTCCATGGAACAGTCTTTGGCGCGTGCATGTGTTTTTGTGTGTTTGAGACGGGGTGCCTGGAACACTGACAAGGGCTTTGGGCATAGAGAGACACATGATACAGTAAATCAAAATCTGAGAACAAATCTCTTCAACTGAAACTTGAACAACCTCCGCCAGAAAGTGGAAGCCATGTCTAGCGTGAATCGTGAGCATCCATCACATCACGACCGCTAGGAGCATAAACAGGAGATCCCACCAAAGCATCAAAAAGACAGAGCCGGCTGAGCCAAGGAAATTTACAGCCACCGGGCTAACGACCCGAGAGAAAACCTTCATCTAATTACATCTATATTATATAATTACCACTCTTCAACCTGTCCATCTGCTTCCGTCGCTGTAGGTGTTAAAATATGTTAAAATGCGCTGCAGGTTCACGGCTCATGCTGGCTGATGTTGAAATCCTTATAACGTTCCATCGTGTTCCGACCCTAGTAACGTTCCACCATGTTGAAATCCTAATAAGCTTCTACCATGTTCCAACCATTTCCAACCCTAATATACCATAATATAAAAAATCGTTAATATAACCTTCTCACATGTTGCAATTGTAATACCCTTCCACTATGTTCCAACCCTAAAACCGTTGGGTGCATGTTGCAATTAGATTGCAATCCAAATATGTCCCACCACATTCCAGCCGTTCAGTTCATGTCGCAATCCGAATATGTTCCACCATATTGTGACCCCAATAACGTTGACTTTGCATGACTTTGCACTCTGCGTGGCCTGCCATGTTGGATATTGCCCAAGATCATCTATCTATTAAGGAAGGATGCTTTTGGCCTGCAGGTGGGTGAATGTCCAAAACCCAAGCAAGAACAGGTTCTGATCTCACAAGCCCAAGGGAAAAATGGGACAAAGTGCTTTGCCCACAGTACGATGTGTGCAAACTGTCCAGGGCCACTACCACGGCATCACCTTATCTTAGCCCCCGAAAAAATTGTTGGTTCAATACAAAAATATACAAAAATCATCTAAAATCCACGAATTTTATAGGCCCCTGGGTACCCCATTCCCGCCTGAGAGAGCCCGTAGACCTGTCCAATCAACCTCCAAGCCTGCCCGCTGCGCAGGATCCCTTTACGTAGCAACACTCGTTGATCAGTCACTTGATGCTAGTGGCGGCCTGTCACTTGATGCTCATTCTCGGTGCTATCCTTGGCTCCTCCCATGGTGTGGATACACCGGCCGTCCAAATCCCAGAGTTGCCTCGGCTTGGTGAGGGCGATGAGAGGAACCCCAGCAATACCAAGCGAATCTTACTGTGTCAAAACACTTCAAGAACTCAAAACTTCAACCAAATATACTGTAATATCTTTGTTATGTATCTTTATGTATTTTTCATTTTTTCAGATGTTGAATTCCCTTTGGAATCACAAATGTATTCTTAAAAAGAAACGGGGATCCACTGAAGTTGATATGCTGGGACACTCGATGATCAGACCTTCGAGCCACCTAGGATTCTTTTTCACAAGTTCCCAGTCCGTACTTAATCCTACTTGTAGAGTCTTGTAGTCTTGTAGTATAATGCCATGGCACCCGCCACATCTCGCGACTCATGACTGCTGACGACTCCATCATCTGTGAATCTATGACATTTATTGAAATTTATTGACATTTTGTGTTTGCCGCCCCGGGTGAACGCTGGTGATGTCCGAGGTGCAATGATCCATTGCAGCGACCTGTGAGCGCCAAGGCCCGTGGGGAACTTCGCACCAAACTCAAGGTGAGCTCTCTCGCCTCTCTCGCCTCTCCGCTCGCCTTGCCTGAGCTGATCTTCGACAATTGCCGAGCACATTGCTTAGTGATTTGCCATTTCAACTTTCATGGAAAGGGGAAAAGAGTGTTCACCTGAAGAGGTCCCTGGCATAGAGTAGAGAAAAACCTGATAGAAACCACGAACCCGAATGCATTTTTTGAAGATTTTTAAAGCTCACGTAGAAGAAAGGTTCCTACAGAACAACAAAAAGCGAACAGGAGATGCTCGATCGCATTAAAAGCCACTCTTGCGTGACACTCTTGTGGCATACTCTTGGGAGACACTCTTGTGGGACTTTTATGGGAACTCTTGTGAGACACTCTTGCCTGACACTCTTGCTCGACACTCTTGTGGCATACTCTGGTTTTCACACTCTAGTAAGAAACTCTTGTAAGACACTCTTGTTGGACACTCTTGAACACCTCGCAGTACTACTTTGTACTACAAAGCGTCCACACAGTACCTCACAGTACTACTTTATACTGCAAGTCTTGCACAGAGTAATTCCCAGTACTACTTTGTACTACAGAGCTTGCACAAGGCACTCCCCAGTACCACTTCGCATTGCAGACTCCACACTCCACATTTACCTCTCCACACTTCACACTCAACACTCCACACTTCACACTCCACACTTCACACTCTAGCTCCACACTCCACACACACTCCACACACTTCAGACTTCACACTACTCCACACTTCGCACTACGTCACAAAACATCACCCTTTCTCACTTTCCCCATAGAATCCATAGACAGGGCGACGACGCGATTAGAGAACTGCAAAACGAAAACGACCCGCAAACAGTCCACCACCCCCGGCCCAGACCCCCAAGAAAGAAAACAAGAACCCTTCGCTACGCATTCGGAAAACATGCCAGTCAAGTCCATTTTTCAATGAACACATCATGTTTGTTCCAGTTCTGGCTGGTTTCTCAAACAGTTCCATCAATTGCCACTCTAAATGCCACAGGTCTCACACCTGGCCTCCATTCTTATCATTCTTCAAACACAAGTCTTGAAGCCGCAAATCCTGAAGGCTCAACGGCTCAACCATGGTCATCATGGTGCTATGCCATTATGCTGATGGCGCATGATGGTGCTTGGGGTGAACATCCCAGCCGCCCAGCCCCTCTCCTCAGTGAGCTGCACGGAATCTTGGAAGAGACGCAGTTGCCAAAATGCTTCCTGCCATGGCAGATTGCTCCAACATTTTTAGGGGTATAAAAAACCACGAAAATGGTGAAGTTCACCATGTTTCTCTCCAGCAGTTTTCAGCCATTGCGCCAATGATCCAAATGAGGCAGAACCGAAAGTTATCAGCCACAGGTTCGTTAGGTTCGTTAAATCATCGGAGATCATCTGTCGCGCCTTCGCTCCCAAGGCTGAGATGACCGCCTTCAGTGATAGGACTGGATCGAATTGACGTTCCAGGACGCTCTCACCGGAGATGGTGCAAACCTCACCAAAGGCCAAGGCCAAAGGGTTGAGCCGAAACAAGCTGGAGAGCTAAAGTGATACCATATTGAGTTTCATATAAGTCAGCCAAATAGAAAGTTCATGGAAGTCCTAGATATTCCAAGAATATGTAGATCCATGGATATTCCAAATTTTGGGAATCCAATGGGGTGATCACCGGCGTCAGCAGCTGGGTACCAGCCCAAGGCCCCGGGCACGCACCAAAATGCTCTCCCTTAGCTTTCACAACTTCTAGACGAAAGAAACACTTTCGAAACGTTACCATGATGTCAAAATATGTCACGTAAGAAGTTGTAACTGAGTTGTAGCAAATCAATGTAAATCACCTCAAATTCTCAGCCCATTTCAGCCCCAATAAATATAATCAATTCAATCATATCAACTCAACCATTCCTTGAAACCTTCGGCACCAAGTGTCCCAGGACTTCGACTCCGCTCGCTCCGCTCGCGGCTTTCCATCAATGGATGAAGTCGGTGATCGGTTTCCGGAATCGGTCCCTTGCCATGAAAATCTTTGGTTAGTTGATGTTAGTTGGGATCATGTCTGAAGTCAGTAGATTAATGATGACTGGTAACTGGATTGGTTGACGATATGAAACCATAATTAATTAATTAATTAATTAGCTCTATCTTGGGGGGGCCAAGGGACCAGGATGAGTGAAAATCCTCATTCATTGTGAGCTATAGGCTATAGGGCTGGATTCTGATAAACTTTGTTGGAAGCTGAGGTCACCTCTGATGGTGAAACCTTTCCAAATTCCTGGATATTAATCACCACACACTGATACGACCTAGTTGAGCATCGTGAAAGATTCTGACTGCTCCTGTGGGCCAAGCAGCTTAGGCTTCATGGATTACCGCATGTTGGATTCACGGATGGTTCAGGGGAATCTGCATCCACTGAGAATATTCTCCTGGTGTCTCCAAAAGATGGCTTTTGTTCACCTCAAGCCTCAGGTGATCAGATCATCTTTATGCCCTGATGGCTTGAGTAGAACTGAGCAGTGTCAAAAATTAGACATCGTTGCTTATTGGGGGTTCCCAGCTGGATTCGGAAAATCCTAAATATCTGGCGTAGTAATTGGTAGCATAGCCCATTGCAGCCATTGCAATCATCAACTCACTGGGTTGTTTGATGTTGTTTGAGGCATCGGGAGAGTGGTGACCAAGGTTTGGAACACAAATCGCCCACCCGAAAAAAAATATGATTCTAGTTATATTGGGGGTTCCTAAAATAGGGGTGCCATGGGGTACCCCAAATCATACAAAATTGGACCATGTTTAGTATTGAAACCCATGGTTTTCGGGTACCCCCATTCTAGGAAACCTCCATATATCATGTAAAGTATTCTTGCTTGAGGCGCAATGGTGTAGCGGTCTTGGACCTGTGAAGACAATTTCAGTCTTGGATATCGAACTCGACTTCACTCAATACTTCAATGAAGTTGGTGAGCATTTCGTGAAGATGACACCGCAAGAATATTAGTTCCATGCAAACCTTTGAACTTGGACATGTAGCGCTCAAGAAACACTCTTGATGTAAGATTTCGAATCTGCAAGGTTCCGTCTCCGCCATGTGTGAAAACATCTGTTCATAACTCCAATTCAGACTGCTGGAATACATCTCAAACTGCAGATTTGGTCAGGTGCCTAGTTCTGCCTTCATTACTGCCAGTGAACAATTGCGACAACGGGCCCAGTATGGGAGAATTCGCAGACTGGATCCAATTTTGATCAACATAAAAATTCTACATGACATACATGCAGCAGTATATATTATACATATCTCATTCATACCTTGAATATCTCGAAATGATTCGAAATGTCTCCATCTCTCCTCGATGAGCTTGTCCTCTTCGCCCAGTTCCTGACAGGCCAGAGAGACCTTTGATGACTGGTGGTGATGATCGTGGCTCTGGAGTTAAGACAAAGAGTATAAAACAAAGCGTATAAAACCATCATGTCCCTGGAGGTTCTCATCACAAGCAATTATTTTGCAGAAACTGGTTCGTAACCGGCTATCGCTACACGTCAATACCCATCCAGTCAAATTGCCAGTCCAAAAGAACCCCTGCCTTATGAATTGTTATCACTGATCAACCCTTCCTCGAAAGCCTTTCCATTCTGAAATCACAACATGTGAGAGCTTCGTACTACAGCCTTTAGGGTTTTCTCAGGGAATTGGGTACAGGTTTGGGTGAATGTTCCATAGCCCTGTCATGCCCTGTCAAGGTGTTTGGTAAATTGGCACTGGAGAGGGCTTGGGGCTCCACGTCACATTCAAACCGGCCCACCATCTCCCACCACCCCAAGCGCTGTTTTGACCTTTTTGTCCCTTCCAATGCGCGCGGGCAACCCGCTTCGCCATCTGCGCTCATTCCACAACACATCTCCTTCCCTATCAGCGCGCCCACCTGAACATGTTTTCTTTCGGGGCAAGGTTTGCCTTCCAATCCGTGCGCAAGTCAAATGCAGCAGTCATGGTGGCAGAGACTGTTCAACACCTGGATGTCGTTGCAGCCACGGATGTCCATCACAACCTCACGAAGGCATTGTGGGCGGAGGAAGCCGCATCACCGGCCGCTGCCCATTCCGTGGCGGTAGCTTCACCTGGACCCAGGCCAGGAACAAATGAGGATGGGCAGTTACCGGGGAGTTGTTCGGAACCCATCCCCCAAAAGAAAACATCAGCAAACAGTACCCCGGAAATCCTGGGAGATTCCCGGAGTTCATTGACTCTTGCAGCAATTTCTGCTCACAAACGCTTGCCACTGTAGATTTGGATAGATTTGGTGCCTAAAAAAATGGACTCTTTAATTGCAAACCAAGAAAATGAACAAGCAGGAAAGTAGGTAAGCGGGTAGACAAATCGGCACGCAAGCATGCAAGACAGGAAGAAGGCAAAAAAAAACTAAATGAAGCACACGGTGTTCAAAACAAACCCACATGCAGGATGCTCAAAAGGGAAGTCCCGCTCATTAGGGTTTCATCACAATTCAATATGGTGGCTTTTGACCGTCTACATACCAAGCTTGGGCAAAATGTGTAATCCCCATCCCCTGAAATGGCGCGGCAAAATGTGCTCTCCCCAAAAGGGTGCGTCTGAAACTTCAAAAATTTGATTCTTCACTCATCCTCATTTAATTTCAAATGATTCAAAAACTACCGTATCAACTTACAACATATATGGCAAGTATCGAGTATCTACCACTTCAATGCCCTAAACTAACACAGATTTCTTAGATGTGGGAAAAAACATTGGTAGGAGGTAGATCATTTTGAGGAAACCATGGGTTTTGGGTAACTTCCACATCTATGTTACCTTACATGACTTTACCCTAGGGATCTCTAGGGTAACTTCCAAGTTTTGGCTTTGCCTCCCCCGCCTCTGTTTGGGTGACCGAGACCGAGGCCAGCGACCGGAGGTCAGCAAGACATTGCGGTCCTTGCGGGCGGCACCCAAGGCATAGCGTGCAGCTTGCCAGGTACAGCGGACAGCTGTAAGGACCTGAGGCGGATAGACCCTATGGAAATCACCATGTTTTATCATTTTTACAGTTAATCAGATTTAATCATCTATAAATGGATATTGCTGTTGGGAAAAATGCACAGAGCACCACTGCACCCCCATGAGGTCATTTTTGAAGTTTTCACGGTCGTTGAGATTCCTCCAACTGTGGCTATTGGCTCAAGTACGCCGAGCCCAAGTTGGAGTGAAAAACGTGCACTTGCATCTGCCTCTTGGTGGGGTTCTCTGGGAAGGGACTCGGTAGTGTGATACCCGTGGGTTATGAGCCCCAAACGCTGTCCGGAAGCCGTGTCGAGCAGCGACTTCACTCAGCGTCGTCGACAGGAACACCAAGGTCAGGCGGCTGCTCGTGCTGAAGAAGTACAACATGGGTCCCATGGAAAAGAAGAACGTGCTGAGACGGCTGATGAGATGCTGGATCGGCTCTTGGACGACCCTGAGCATCACATATTTCTTGATTTTGAAGGCTGAAAAATCCATAGGCTGATTACCTCGTCAGAATGAGGTTGATGTGTGGACAAGAAAGGCCGGTGAAACCGAAGACAGAACCTGGGGAGTCAAAGCCAGCCCAATCGTCTTGTCCAAGCGGCCTACTATGAAGTGGACGGAGGGCCGGAGGGGATTGGTACTGGTGGGATGGCGCCTGGGGAGACAAGTGGGAACCTAAGAAAAAGAAAAAGAAGAAGAAGTACTCGGACGCGGAATGGGAGCAGTGGTATAGGGAGCACCCGGAGGACGACACAGGGACAGAGTCGTTGGCGCCGGGCCCAAGGAAGCCGGCAGAACCAGCCCAACCACCTCCAAGACCCAGGATTCGCCCGGGATACGACTTGATTCGACGCCCGGAAGATACAAAACAGTGGGATGGCTCACATGCCGGAAGAGGATAAGGGTGGTGGAGTCTATCATCACGGCGATCATCACGGGAGAAGAAACCAGCTGGTTAACAAAACCACCACCGGTGACAAGTTTCGACGGCCAAGAACAAGCTGTGCATCTATGGGTCGTCCTGGAGGAGAACGAGTACCAGAGGAGCATAACCAGGGCACACCACCGCTGGCGTGAAAATTCTTTTCACCCTGACCATCCAACGCTGTCCAAGAACCTGGACCGACTGAGGCCCTATAGGGTCACTTTCCTGTGGAACGATTTGGGTTCTAAGGAAAGGAAGGTGATTCCCGACTACAGTTGGGAGGAAAAATGGGTGGAGGAAAAATTGGTGGGATACATGGCAATACATGGTATTCCTGGTCAAATATGATGGAGAAAGGAGGATTGAGAAAGCCCCTGCTAAAAAATAGGTAACAGGGAAAAGGACATCGGTGGCTGATGAAAAAGATCATCAAGACCCGAAGAAAAGATCATCAGCTGCTGGATCCAAGCACAAGGAAAACATCATCAGCAGCTGGACCCAAAGAACGCCGTTGGACACTCTTTGACCGTGGCGCTGGTGAGAGAAGGAATTCAAAACCCCTACGAAGTTAGGGATATAGGTTTTCAATTTTTTGGAGCCCACCCGAAGAGGAACTCCACGCGAAAGGGATGAAGAGGGGAATCAACACCAATGGGATGCTGTCGCACGAGGGTCTTCGCCCTTCTGGCTGGGGGAAGGGCGAGTTGCCAGTGAAAACTTGCCCAACCCTCGAACTTGTTGTTTAGGTGTTGAGGAACTGCAAGCAGGAGGGGGGAGTGCGGTTAGGGAAAATGCACAGAGCACCACTGCACCCCAACGAGGTCATTTTTGAAGTTTTCACGGTCGTTGAGATTCCTCCGACTGTGGCTATTGGCTCAAGTACATCGAGCCCAACTTGGAGTGAAAAAGGTGCACTTGCATCTGCCTCTTGGTGGGGTTCTCTGGGAAGGGACTCGGTAGTGTGAAACCCGTGGATATCAATGGGCCACTATGGGCCGTTTCTACATAGCAATGTCACAAATAACCACGGGGAATATATCATCTGCAATCGACATCTATCATCATCTATCTATATATAGTACATCGCGAAATCTGCATCTATCACCTGTATATTTATCACAAGATACACCTTGGGAGCTTCGATATCTCGAATCCTCCAAGGGCCAAGGGGCCACATCGCGGTCGGCACGGAGTTGCTGGGAAGCCCATTCCAGTGCCAAGCCGTTTTGGCGCACGGCACTTTCAACGATCCGCCGTTCATCCCTGCCACCAGCAGCAGCGGTAAAGGAGAACATACCCAGGAGACCTACAAAAATATGTCAAACATATCACATCACATATCACATACCCACAAATACTTGGGAAAGGGAACACGAAAGGTAGGTGATCAGGAAGAGGAAGCAAAAAGATGGACAGGAGTTCAAACGGCAACAGTGCAGGTTCGGCCAAAGAGTGTGCTTCTGTGTGTACAAGTCTCTCTGCATAAAAGCCTCTGTATGTAGAGGCGTCTGTGTGAAAAAAAAACTTCTCTGTGCACAAACCTCTCTGTGTACTAGTAAGAGCATGCGCGGATAAAAGCTGCTCTGTCTCAAGGCTACTGTGCGCAACGTTGTCTGTCTGTAGAAGAGGGTCGGCATGGACGTCATGCCATGTATAGAATGCTGAAAGGGAATCCAAAAAAGGACAAACAATTATCCTAGTGTCATCCATTAGCGTTCATTATCTGGAAGGGACGTGACAGGAAACGAAAAAAACAACAAGCTCAAATGCATGTTTGCCTGTTTTTTTGGGGGGAGGAGAGGAAAGCATCTTTGCGTAAAAGCTGTTGTGTGCAAAGGTTTCTTTGTGTAAAAGCTTCCGTGTGTGAAAGCGTCTGTGTGTAAAAGCGTCTGTGTGGAAAGGCGTCTGTGTGGAAAGGCGTCTGTGCGTAAATGCTGCGCTGTGCAAAAGCATCTTTGAACTTTGTAAAGCGTCGCCGTGTAAAAGCTTCTGCGTCTAAAAGCTTCTTTGCATGAAAGCCTCTGTGTTAAAGGCGTTTGTGTGTAAAAGCTTCTCTGTGCACAAACCTCTCTGTGTACAGTAAGAGCACGTGCGCATGAAGGCTGCCCTGTGTAAAGGCTGCTGTGCGTAACGTCGTCTGTTTGTAGAAGCGCATCGGTGTAAAACCCGTCACCCCACCAACATCTTCAAACAAAATGAAACCCAAAAAGCCAAGCTCAAATGCTTGCTGTTGTTACTGTTGTTGATAATGGCGGTGATGCGCGCAGGGCCCCAAAAGGCAGTTTGCACTGTGCTTAGCCAATGTTAAGGCCCGCGGGACAAAAAACACCGTAAATATCGATGTTTTTGGTGCCTCACAAAAACCAGGGTATTTACAAGGTGTTCTGCCCTTGGCAGCAAAAACCACGGTATTTACAGTGTTTTTGAACAGCACCTAGCAAAAACACTAGTATTTACGCAGTTTTCATCATGTTGCAAGAAGTAACTGTTACATGAAAGTCACAAAAACCCTGTGAATTACATTGAATTACACTGTTCTGGGTTTGCTTTTGGGGTGCGCGGGGGGCAAAAGGGGGGGTCCTAAAATATAGAACAACCTCCTGAGTAGTCAGGCAACGGGGCTGGCCACCCTTCCTTTACTTCGTAAAGTAAAACTCAAGGTAGCCCAACTGGAGCTACCTTTCGTGATAGTCCATGCTGCTAAGATCTCACATGATTGAGAGGTTCTGCATTGGTCTGAGTCTAAGGTCTTTCCGCTAGTTTCCGAATCTAGCAGCCCGATGAGTTCTCAAGTAATCAAGCTTGCAGCGATGATCCACCAAATTTGATGCTTTTGATGACCCGTGAATGTCAGCCCTGTTCTCGAACTGCGTTCGCCAAGCTGATTCAAGAGTTGGAAGCCTTAGCGGATACTATCGGCCTTTTGCATATTTCGCTACTACTGACCATCTGCCCATACCAGTACCTGTCCAAAAATATTCAAACATAGACTATTTTTGGCTTTCGCTACCCCGGCACAAGTCCAAAGGAATTCTTGGCCTCTTTGCAGCTGGCAAAACCTGTAGCAATCGCCAACTCCTCACAGACTGGCACTGACATGAGCTGACCACTTCCACATCGTACTTTGGGTCGGATCCACATGTCTCACCCAGCTTTCAAGAGGTCACTTGACAATCCTCTGCCTCAATGGCAGTAGCATGTGTCGAGGGCTCCACTCCAGCTAAATTTCGAATGATCGATGAATCGTGCAGGATCAAGCAGGTTAGGATGATGCCAATATATTACAGTCCTGGTGGCAACGGTATTAAATGATCTCAGGTAAGTATCGACAGCTTCAGCTGGATCAGGACCGCAGCTGGCCGCAATCGGAGTTGCAGTCCTCTGAACTGCCTTCAGACAGAAGTTGCTGTCGTCAAACAGGTGTGAAGCAGCATGCTGGTAGGCCCTCACGGCAGGACACGGCAGGACACGGCAAGACGCGGCAGGACACAGCAGAAAGCATGGGGCTGGGGGTCTTGGCCATGGATTCATGTGAATAGTGGGCTCTGAGCTTCCACAATGACGTTCCTGCACTCCCAAAAAAAGTAACTGAGCAACATGTGCCACCACCTACATCATTGTGCCATCACATGCCACTGACTTAGATTACTTTAAAAAGTGCTTAAAGCCCATGAATGGATGCCCTGACGCTCCTCCAATCTTGTTCAAGGGCTTCCAACAGGACTTCCTCATTCTGTTGTAGCTCTGGGGAGGCAAATCCTTGGAGGAAACCCTCTTGGATTTTGAAGGGCAGTTTGAAACGGCAATCGCACCGTGTATGGCCCTTCATGTTGGCCCTGCTTTCACAGGAAATGCAATGCTTTTGGGTCCTTCTTTGGGAGTTTCTGTTAGCTCCTGACATATCCCTTGATAAATCCCAGCCCTACGCGGTCCCATAACCCAGTTCTGCACCAGTTTCCAGTCATTACTACTTCCCAAACGAGCGGCTGATAGCCTGGCCTTCTTGCCGCACTGCTGCACCCACCACCTAGCACCCAAACAAAGCGATCGTTTCAATCCGTAAAACAATGGGACATGATTCTCCGAACCCTTTTTGGGGTGCCATGTTTGTTGTCCAAGGGGTGAACTAGGTTCATTTCTTTTTTTGTTCTCTCTATACCAGCAGATACCTGTGCAGTTCACGGATCGCTTCACGGACTCCCTGGTCTTTGGTGTGGCTGGTTGTCAAAGAGAACGCTGGCCAACATCGACTCCCAACCCCACCTTGGGGTTTCCCTGTAGCTCCTTGCTGGCAAACTGCAGGCAGAAACCCTGCAGCTGCACCGCTTCCAACATGAAGTGCTTGTCCTGAGATCAAGCCATGGATCTACATTCCCCTACATTGGTCCATCGCCATTTCCCCTATTAACATTGCAACTTTAAGGCCTTTTTTCCCCATTTTCAGACACACCCAATTAGCTATGATATACTATGGTGGCATATAAATCTCATGGTATATATTTCATATTACTACCCAAAATATGAAATTCCATAAATTCCAATATAAACCCCATTAAATCCCATTAAGTTGACGGTTAAATCCACCATTTTCGTCCATGAAGTGGGCACTCTAAGCACCAAGCTTCGCCCCTCAGCTTGGCTGATGCCATGGCCATGGCCCGAGCATCTAAGCGCAGCGCCGTCAACACCACCTCTCGGTCCTCACCATGGCAGGTTCACATGGGAAAGTGTTGCTTAAAGTTGCTTGATTCAATGTATTTGTATACTAATACTATATATATACATATATGCACATATATGTGTGTTTATCATATTTCCCAATGATGTTTTAATCCATGTTGATGCTTCGTGATTTCTCATGATTCTTCATTGCAACTTCCCCATTAAAAAAAATAAAAAACATCAAGAAGGTATCAAGTATCAAACATGATCAAACCACCCATGTTAAACATGATTTCAGTGCTGCTTCAATGTTCCCGAGGCCCATGCCCCAAAAAGTCACCTGGCCTCTGTCAGCTTGCTGGAAGCAAAGCGCAAAGCCTGCCAGTCTTGGCAAAGTGCTGCCAGAACCACCTGCAAGGCAGGAGGCTCTACTGGGAAGGCATGGAAATCATAGAGATATCATGGAAATATTGAAATATCTGGACTTATGACTTTAAGTGACATGCAAAGGATTTTGGAATGAGTTTGGTTTGGGTACGACTCAGGATGAGCCTTGAAATTTTTGACCTTGTGAGAATGACATAGTATAATGTGATTTTGTCATATTTCGTATGGTTTCGTAGTGATATGACTCACCTTTCCAAGTAGCTGGGTGGCTGGGCTGTTCAGCTGCCTTTTCGATCCTTTTTGCATCTCAAAGTGGCTCTCGACCAATGCTGTACTGATGGGTTCCATCCGGTGACAAATCGAGCGCAAAGCAGGAGATCTGGTCTGGCCGATGCCTATCAAATCGCACAAGATATAAGTACAGCAACACTGTGGAATGGCCTGGCTTGATGTATTTGCATAATTAATCATAACCTATATGTTTATAGATATTTAATGATTACGTATTTTCACAGTCTTAGTCCTAGTCTACACTTGGGCTTTGTGGTCCAACTTGATATTATAAGAATAAGACCTTGGACATGTCCAAGCGCAATCATTGTCACCACAGGAATCACCCCAAGCTGGACCTGAGACTCATCCAGCCGTCACAAAACGGGGCCCGGACAACAAACGCACGGAAGAGTTCCGGCACAGTCCCAGGACGTGGCTAGATTTAGTAGAGGCTAAATGGCAACCCACCCTGCAACATCCAAAATCTCAATGACCTGCTTAGATCCTCTGCTTCAGCCCCTGTCGCATCTGAGAAATTTCACTATGCGGATTCGGGTTCCCATGAGCCCTGTGGATTTGGAAACCCATCGCACACAATCCAAACTAAAATTGTTGGGCATCGCCGGATCGCCTAGAAAGCAGGATGGTTCCGGCTCCAACCTCGTTTATGTGAATGACACTGCGCTGTATATGTATATATATATCAAAGGGAGTTACATATCCAACTATAAAGTGGAAAACGCCAATCAAAACAAGAATAAACAAGACAGTCATTTCAATCGAACTCCTCTCTCTCCATGATTGTTGGTCAATCTCCCGTTGTTGCATCTTCCAGGTTGCAGCGCAGGCCATCACTAGTGCACGCGCTGGTCCTTCGGGGACCCCAAAAGGCAATCATTTCCGTGATCGAGGTGCCCTCTCTCTATTTAAATATAGTGTCATGGAGTCATGAAATCATGAAGATCTAGAGTCGTGCAAAGTTGCTTCACGAATCTTAATAGTTGTCCCCAAGTTTCTCATGATCCACGACTTCCTGTGCTTATGCTCCTAAATCATTGGCTTCGTAGAATGCTAACAACTGCGCCCACATGCCACGCCATTTCAAATGTCTCAACAAGAGGCTCCTAGGACTTCACAGCTCCAGCTTGGCAATGCGAGCTTTCAAAACCTTTGCCTCCAAATACTTTTCCTTAAACATGTGGACAGCTGGAGGCTGAGGGGGCCATGTTTGGTGCCAACTTATACAAAAATGTGGCATGGTGAACTTCATGTAACCAATGTGTAACAATGAATCCTGCACCAGCAGTCGACCATCGACCAATGAGCTGAGCCGAGCGTCTTCTTTGAGCATGGCATCCTTTTGATCTTTTAATCTCGAGATCTCCTTTTCCTTCAGCTCCTGCACCACGGAGCTGATCCTTTCACCAGCGTTTAGCCATGTTTAGCCCATGTCACATCATGCCATAGAAACCATCTTTTTCACCCTTGCAATTGATGGCCCACTTCAACCCTTCGAAGGTTTGCAAGGGTGTGTCTGAAAATAGAGTTGGAGAAATCGGTGAGGAATGGTAAGGAATGGTAAGGATATGTCAGAATCGTAAGGTCCTGGACTTTCGCCTTCAGTTCTTCTGCTTGGTCGAAGTCTTCCTCCGCCTTGGCGGCTTCCTCGCAAGCGCATCTGAATCTCAGGTGGCTTTAGGGCCCTGCACAGCGCATCAAAGTTGTCAAATGTATAGTGTAGTTGGCACACGCTCGGCAGACGGCCGCGTACTTTTGTTGCTTTTTTGCTCATTGGGGTGGGGTGGGGTAATAACGTTCATTTGCACTTCCTCACATATATGATGCTACGTTATTGTATGTCGTCTTGCACTTCCTCACATACATGGTGCTACGCTACTGTATGTCGTCTTGCGCTTCCTCACAGATATGATGCTACGCTTCTCCATGTCGTCTTGCACTTCCTCACATAAGTCGCAGGACATACCCTGATGTCAGACGACGTCAAAGCGATGGTGAACCAATGGGTCTTTAGACAAAGTCTAGGGCCTATCACCCCCATTGCCTTCTTAGAAGGGCTGAAACAACTTTTGAAACAATGAGGAAAAAAGGCTATGAAGTGCTGCTTCGCAGTAGTTTGGAACAATGCAAAATGAGGAACGTCAAACAACATTGAGTTTTTTGCTGAAAATCCCATTTCGTGCCACGGCCGTCTATCAAGCGTGTACCTAGTTACAGTGTAGTTTCAACATGATTCAACATGTTTCAACATGTCACACCCCAATTTGATATGGGATCAATTGCAAAAGGTGATTATCTTTGGACGTTCTTGGATTGTTCTTCTGTTATTGGTGGGATGAGGACCCTCGAAACTTGAAGCACTTTGTGAAGGTACACTTGTTTAGCAAACATGCGGCAAAAATCCAGTGCATATAAAACTATATACATTTATGTCATTTTATGTGTATATATATATGTTATGTGTATATATATAATTATATATAGATTATGGCATTATGTGACCAAATAAGCAACCATTCCTGGAGGAATCTTAGCCTCTTCTCGACCAGAGGCATCTAGTTCACCGTTCTTAGCCCACGCATGTGCGAGGTCGTGCGTCCACACAAGCCAGCACAAGTGACTCGGTATAGTCCAAAAGATCATCTTTTGAGCATGTTTGGCCGTGCTCAGGGTCAATAGATTCCTTTTATATAATCCCTTTTTTAAATGTTCATGGGTGCTTGGTGCCCCAGAGTTGTTTCAAAGAAAGCTCCCAGATTTTGTCGGCGCTGAACCAGCTCTTGGTCCTTTTTCTCCAGCAACTCCTTGAGCTGCTCCTCAAAAGCCTACAGGCTGCATGCCAAGCTCTACCGATTCTGGGGGTGCAAGTTATGTGGTGAACCATGACCTGTGAAACAAAAAACTCTGAAACCAACCATGACTAGGGGTCATGGCTAGGGGCATAGCAAAATTCAAAGACCCAATTGGGGATGGTTTATCTTTAGGTTTACCAATTCACCTCATTATCAAACCATATCAAACCATATCAATCTAGCATCCGGATGCTAGGGGAGCCGATTGCTAACCGTGGTGAGACAATCCACCTCGTTGCAATGCGATTGGGTGTAACACTGCAAATTGACAAGAGCAAACCGCGAATACTCTATCCATTTCCGATGTTTGGAGACCTACTATATACATCTATATGCAGCAGAAACATGCTGAAACTATGCATGAAGCACCGGGGTCAGAGTCCCCACGATCATTCGAACAAGCGATGCCATGCCCAAAGTCTTATGTTGTCAGAACCATTCAGAACCACAAACCACTGTCAGGATCTTACAATTTACAAACCAAAACAAGCCTTTGCTGTGACCTCACACAGTTCCCACATCTTGCCGATCAATCAGAAACACCCGCTGCCGCGGCTGCCTGACTTTCGCTGTCCACTTCGACTTCAGGACTTTCAGGACGTTCAGACCGGCGATCATCATCTGTGGATGACTTGGACGAAGGTTCGAAGGGCGCCGGCTTCGGCTTTTCCTTCAACTTCACGGCCTTGTCCTTGGTGTGCCGTCTTTTCTACCCTGCCTACAAGGATGCAACTTACCAGTGAATTGCCTTTCAACAAGGGCCACAGGGGAAGCTAAGGAAGTAAGATGAAGTAAGTGAAATGGTTGCAACAGAGAAATGTTTCAGCAAAGGAGAGATGTCCTTGTACTTGCTGGCCAGGGCCAGAAACATCGAGGCTTCTTTTCCTTTCCATTTCTTCCACACTTCCTCCACATCTTTAATCTCACCTGTGCGGTCAAACACTGAGAAATTATACATATGATACCCATTGGGATTCATTGCCAAGAGAGCCAATGGGCACAATCCAAGTAGAATTGTGATGATGGTAGAGCTTGACTTGACCAATGGACTTCCCCTCTTCATGTTGAACAAGCATATGTCCATCGAGCGATTCGAAGATCCCACCTTTTGACTTCCACAAGTGCATGAAAGGGCGGCAACCTTCGAATTGACCCCTGTTAACTCATGTGCCCACAAAAGGTTGCGGGAAAAAGAAAGGACCAACTGTTCACACATGTTCTCCCGCCTTTGCTGTCCAGCTTTTCTGGGTTGAATTTCTTGTAGAACGACTTCAATTTCTTTTCATTCGCATCTTGCGCCTCTGCCTTCGGCACGCACTGGCAGACCGCCTCCTGGGCTTTGTTGTAGCCCCTGCACTTTGATTCCTGGGTCATGACGGTCACCATACAGTGCACAAATGGAACAACCAATGCCAAACAGGCCCAACGCAAAACTGGTTTCGATATGTTCCAACCCAACCATCAAGCAAAAACATAACGCATCTAATCACAACTGTGGACAACTCCTGACTCTTTGCTGCACCAAGATTCCAAAGGGTCGAACTTGTCCTTGTTCTCCGAATCAAACTGGTTCTCATCGTAGGGGTCACCAGTGAAGTCAGCCACCATGGCTTGCAATTGGCAATTCTGGTCACCCTTGCAGACCTTCTGCTGACATTTTTGGTATGAATCGTGGCACTCCTTTGCCGTCATGCCACAAGTTTGCTTGCAAATATCTCTTTCTAAACAGCATTTGTTCAGATTTTTGCCCAGCTGGTTCATCCCTGCATAGGGATTGGATGGATCAAAGTCCTTCATGCTCAGCACATTCAAGCCGGCTTCCTTGCAGCCATAGCTCACAATCTCCACCTCCTCTCTGCCCACCGGTTGCTGTCCAGAAGGGCACTGAAAAGCTTTGCACACTGGCGCTGGTGGGGTGTAGCCACCAAACTGCGCTGCAACTGTGGGGCAAAGCACCAACAACCATGGCATCCACAGAGGAAGCATGTTGGCAATGATGTGTTTCATCTCGTGTGGACAAGAGGCTCGTTCTGTATATTCGACTTGCAACCATTTTCGCACATGTAAGCTGCATGTTATGGAGGATGGTGCCAAAAGCTTGGCCACTGTGGTTGCCTCCTGTGAGCCGGCAACTGGTTGGAATCTGCACAACCCTACCTCCTGACTCTACCTCCTGACTCTACCTCCTGACTCGACTCCACAACAGTCTCATGTATTGATGTGTGGCGGCGCAATTAAGGCTCTCAACCTCGAGAGTTTTCCAACATGTTGGGAATGCATACCCTTTTGACAAGTTGCTCTGTTCACAGGAATCATGTTCCTTGCACTTGCACGAGCTAGTGCCAGCTTGAACCGATATGAGCCGGTGAGTTGCCAGACATGTTCATTCGACTTCAGCCAGATCTTCTACGGTTCTTTTTTGCGCATGATGGAAATATGCAAGATTGCCAAATGCAAGACCCTGCCAGACCTCACGATCCCCTTGCAGGGACTCGTGCGCATCTGCCAAAGATTGGCCATGATGCTTCACTGCAGCGAGCACCAATTCCTGTTCAGGCCACCATGGTGAATCTGCATCATTGTCATTGGTTTCTATATCTCTATCATATTGTGTATTTCTTCATGTCACGTATTCATTTATAAATATATTCATTGCCATTTATGTCATGCGCACGTGCCATGGCATATTTATATCTACATAATCGGTATAGGTATAATAATATGCGTGAAATTCATCTTACTATATACACGAACATGCGCATGTATGCACACGTGCAATATGCTTCAGTTTCTCTTGACAGCGCAGTTCTCTCCCGGATGGGTTCCTTGTCACTGCGCAAGCTTGCTGCAGCGAACTCCAGTTTGCAAAACCCGGCGTTCAAAGCAGACCTGAAGTCAAACATAGGCGGAGCATGGAGCAAGAGGATGATCAAACAAAATATTTCCAATTACTAGCATTGATTATGTTCATTAATGATAATTTCGTCATTGCAATCATTGGTGATCCACATTTGAAGTTTCTTGCTACAATGTTTCAATGTTCAATCCATCATGCACGTGCTCAGGAACACAGCTATGGCACAATTCAATAGTGACAATGCCTGCAATACCACACCCAAAAAAACACGATCAATTTCCATCGAACACTTCCTGGCTAAGGTAACACTGAAGTAGCTGGATGGTCTCCCTATCAGATTGGGCAAGAAATAACACTACTAGACTTCCCGGAACAAAGAATGACGATTGTTCAGTTTGAATCATATATATATATGTATGTACGTAGGTATGTACGTAGGTATGTACGTAGTTATGTACGTAGGTATGTACGTAGGTATGTACGTAGGTATGTACGTATGTATGTATGTATGTATGTATGTATGTATGTATGTATGTATGTATGTATGTATTCAGTTATGTGTGTGTGCGTGATGGGGGGCTCCTATCATACCCCCTACCGTCCATACCCCCTTGGAATATTTTTAAAATATTCCGCTATAGTTGAACGTTGTTTTGGAAAAGTATTCTGATACGTTGCCCACGTATGGAATAATTTTCAGCAATTTTGCTTCCAAAAATATTCTGGCAACATGTCAACCTTTTGCTGGAAAATATTCCAGGTATATGCTGAGGATATCTAAGCTGAACTTTTAATGGGAGCACTTGATATTGAATCTCAAATGTAATTACCACGGAAATCCATGGAATAATAATCGTATCGTTGCGGAAGACGATTCCTGTCCGCCGACCTACCAACCATTCACTCTGTAAACACAACCCGACTCCGCCAATCTATCAGTTTAAAGTTTAAACCGACCACCCTACTCATCATTATGATATTCATCCCGCCGGGTCGGGAATGGAACGTGTAGGCGTTAGCAATTCACTTCTCGGCACTTATGACCCACACTGGGATTTACCAGTGATTTTGTCTCTGGCGATGATGAAAAATGTCTAATTCTGGTTGCGTTTTCTTTTTTTTGCGTGTTTTACCTCAGCGGCAAGCAAATTTTGTCAAAATGCCGTTACCTCCACAGATGCGTCTCTGGGAGCCGATGTGTCTATTTCCACAGCGGCGTGCGTTTTTAACTCGCTGACTTGTCTTGCCTACAACTTGGCCACTTGAGTGCCACACAGTTGAAACAAGTTATCATGCTCAGCATGTGTGAACTCCGTTGCCAACTGCGGATACGCAAAGGTATTTGTTTTGACTGAGAGCTGCGGGACTTTCGAATACAAGTTTTCATCTGCATCCAGCAGGAACGAAGAAACAACTTTAAAATCATTCCTATATATAAGTGACTACAAGCAACTGATGTTCGCGTTTGTCTTTCATGTATGTAACTGTGTAAACATGTACACCACCGGGTCGTATGATGTATATTAATCATCTTTAAAGAACTACTTTAGTGTGAGAATGTAGCGTAGCATGAAGTGCAAGTGAAGCTCATGTAGCGTAGCATGAAGTGCAAGTGAAGCGTAGCATGAAGTGCAAGTGAAGATCATGTAGCGTAGCATGAAGTGCAAGTGAAGATCATGTAGCGTAGCATGAAGTGCAAGTGAAGAAGCTCATGTAGCGTAGCATGAAGTGCAAGTGAAGATCATGTAGCGTAGCATGAAGTGCAAGCGAAGCTCATGTAGCGTAGCATGAAGTGCAAGTGAAGATCATGTAGCGTAGCATGAAGTGCAAGTGAAGATCATGTAGCGTAGCATGAAGTGCAAGTGAAGATCATGTAGCGTAGCATGAAGTGCAAGTGAAGATCATGTAGCGTAGCATGAAGTGCAAGAGAAGATCATGTAGCGCAGCATGAAGTCCAAGTGACGATCTTGTAGCGCAGCCATAGACACGGTTGCTATTATCCCCGCCCCACCCCACTCACTACACGCACGGTTTTTGACCCGGTGGCATATTCATGATTCATTATGAACAAATGCTTCAAGCATCTTAAAACGATATCACTCTCTTCACCGCACTCTCTACTTCTACGCCAAGGCTGCCACAGGAGGAAAGTCCTATCCTTCCGCAACTCATGGTCGATGAAGAGGATGGCCCCCCAAGCCTGGGGTGATTCGGTTTAATTTAACACCATCAAATAAACTTAGAAACAATCGGGCAAGCCAAATAAACTGTCAATTGGTATGTCAACCTGATTAGGTTTGACGACATTTTCTCTTCAGTACTGGGTTTGAGCGGTCCACACAGCGCCTGTCCCATGGCTGCCAGGGCAATGTCATGCTTGCCACGTGCTGATGGAGCAGCAAACTGAAGGGCAGTCCAATCCTGCATCATCAGTGTCCAGTTGTTCAAACAATCTCAAACAGCAAGTGACTTCCTGTTAAGTGGAACTAAGTATATAAAGTATAAAGTCGTTAACTATATAATGGTTATAATGTTAATTAATGTTATACCCACCAGCACTGAAGCGATCTCCACTGTGACCAAACCAGTCCACTGCCAGGTCCTGCTGAACTGCAGCAAGGACAATGCGTTCATTGTCCCTGGGGCCATGGAGCACATGGGCCGCATGGAGCGCATGGTACTGTCACCTTGTTTGAAAAATCAAGGCAAAAACACGAGAACAAGATAGAACAAGCAACACCTCCAAGCAATGATGATTTCTTGGATTCACTTTCACCACAAAGGGCTAGGTACTGATACTTTCTCGGCCTCATTCCAGTTGGGCATGGTGTCTACTGGACAAGCGCGTAGGACCACGCGTATGATCTTCGAATTGCACAAAAATAGATGGTATGATTTTGTATGTCCATGTATCTGTGCTACTGTGGATGGAAGAAATCCTGCACCATTTGGATCCATTTGGTAGATGGTTTATCTCCTGTAATATCTGTAATACTATAATAATATATAATAATCCCATATTATTTACCACGGGTTCATCTCATCGACGCCTGAGACTAGCAGCTGCAAATTGCAAGGCACGCCAGTCATTCTCCACAGCTGCCAGCACAAGCCTCGGTCAACCCTGGCGAACTCCAGCAGTCACGTTTCGCCCATCCATTTAAGACGGCCTATTATCGTATCCTAACCTGAGAGCAATGGAAAATCCCGATTAAAACATATTAAGACATGTTAAAACCGTTTTTTGACTATAACATACTTTAGATATCTAATGATATCTATATATTATAGATCATTGATGACCCATTGGCAGGTTGGGTTGTTTGATGCCATTGTTCAGTGCCATGTTGGATGACCTATCCATCTCTCCGTGAATCAGGATGGTCCCAACTCCCGGCATGTTCCAAGTTATTGAAAGAGGCCTGCAGCTATCAGAAAAGAAAACTGGGTAAGCCCACCCCATCAATGAAGTTGATTATATAACTAATTAAACATGAGAACTTACCTCAGCCTCTTGGTAAAGTTCATATCTGCAGCAGCATCGCTCCAAAATGGCGCAAAATGGTGGATGTTGGTGAGCCAAGCAACTCTGGATCAGCTTTCAAATTGCTGGCCGCAAACTCCAAGCTGCATCCTACATTGCTACATGGCAAGGGTGACCCAATTCGAACAAATCCGTGCCCAGAGCTTTGTGAAGTTTCCCAGTTTCCCTGTATCTAATCGTGTTCAAAATGTTCAAATCTTTTCCAGTCTTCCCGAGTCTTCCCATCCCTGCCGTTGGAAACGACCACATCAGATACATCAGTCAGGAATCCTGAGACGGAAACAGCTGCCATCACCACGTCCCTGTCTTCCTTGATATGCCCCGGTGCCTCCTAGCAGCGTGGCATCGCACCAGTATGACTGACCCCGTTTTGGAATGTGAATTGCTAAAGGGGGTCACTCTTACCAGTTCCAAGGTGTTGCAATCCTTCTCATGACTTTGGGATACCATTGAGATACCTACCCTTCAAGAATCTCAGCTTCTCCACAGTCTCCAGTCTCCACCTTCAACTTCTCCACCATGCCCTGCTGCATCTGCCAGCGCCACCTGGCTTGTTCTACTGGGCGCTTGATCAGCGTCAGCTCGGCGCATGACCTTAGCTGCACAGCTGATGCCGGAGGACCGGATGGCTAACTCCCCTGCCTTGAGAGGACATGGCCATCCTGAAGTTCAGCATCACCTGGCAGGGAGGTTGTTGGAGGATGTTGATCATGACCTTTGCAGACCCATGAAGACTGGACTGTTGGGGAAGAAAACCATGAGAAAAGGAATTAGGAATTGCTTTACAGAGCCACTTCAGGCTGCTGCCACTAGATTTGTTGAGAAGCTGCTGATGTCATTTCTGGATTCGCCATGATTCGCCAAGTCGCCATGCAAGAGCCGCTGCTGCTCCACAGGTACTTTGAGCACTTCAGATATCTCCTTCAGAGCCGCACCACTGTGGCACCACTATCCCCCAAAGATATCCAAAGATTGCTCCATTCTTGCTGTTATCATTGTTATCTAACATGCCCTCCACCTCCAGAGGCCACCGACCACAGATGACCACAGAACCAGTCACCAACATGGCCCTGGCCGAAAGCGCCAGGTCCTTCTTGATCTCAGACACCCTTGGACCAGCCCCCTGCCGCACCAGTGAAAGGTGGCACAAGTGACCCGCAACGCCGCTGACCTGCATGGGATGGGCACTGGGACATTATCTGTCAAGTTTCTTGGCTGATTTTCATCGCGGGTGTCAACATATTATCCAGAAACTTCAATCCAAAACTGCTGTCAATCCTTCGCACCATTGATCTTCGACTGAGGAGGAACAGAAAGTTAAGTTAGTCCTTCGCCAGGTGGTGACTGTGTATATCATATGTCAATAAATTATAGGGTCGAATTATATCCCTCATTTTATACTTCCACCCCTCCCCCCAAAAAAAAACAATGCCCGTTGACATCGTTGACATGGACGTTTCCTCAAATATGTACCGATGGTTACCCCAAACCATTGCTTTTCCATGCTTTTCCCATGTACAAGAACCAATTCTTCATGAATCCTCCACATTGGATTCACCCAGGTTGACAAACGAAACGGGCTGCGACCTGGACTTCAACGCTCATCACATCGCGCCCAAGGCCACGGACACGCTCGGCACCGCTGCACCCACTGGTGAAGCAAAATGGCGATGATTATATAATCGTGAATCAGGAATCATATGGATTCATCATGACTCAGTCATCAAATACCGTCAAATACCCATGAAGTATCATACAGTATCATATAGTATCATATAGTATCATATTATAGTATCATCAATCAAAATGGTACGATTCAGATCGATCAAGATCGATCCAGCATCTCTACTGAGTAACGGGTGAATGTGAGACGTTTGCTAGGGTCCCTCAAGAATGGCAAACAAAAGTATGAATCAAAATTGCAATTTTGGGGATGTGCTGGTATGCCATTGGTATGCCCCAGTTTTGAGCGAACCCATTTTGCCTTCTACCGTCATCTGCTTCCCGGGCAAATCTGCAACACTCATCAAACATACAGTATCAAACTCAAACTCCCAACATCTCCCAACATCTTGTTCCGATCGCTTTTTTTGGCTCCTTTCACAAGCTTTCGAGCTTGCGAATGTCGCCCGGATCACCCCGCAGGGACATCTCCGATCCGGGAGCGCCGAGTGGAAAATTGGGGGAGCGCCCACGGCCTCCGGGGCCATGCTGCCATGGCGCCGCGCCCCTTCGATTCGTGAGGGTTGACAGGGTTGGGCATATGCGGCCACTGAACGTTTATATATTGGATCATATTGGATCTTAAAAGCGGAAGATTGCATGTGAATGATATTATGATATGCCGCATCTTTAGCCAGGCCTGTAGGATCCATTCGCTGCCCCTGTGCCCAACCCAACCAACAGAAAACTAATAGAAACTGATGCTGAGCTCACGCGAACGGTCACATAGTTGCTACACAAAACCGGAACGGTGCTGCAGTGGAATGCAGTGGAATGAAATCACTCCATACAAACAACCTGCTGGACAGGCTGCACTAGTGAATCATGTATTACATGAGTCTTGCAGTGCAGGAGGCACGCACATACACTATATAGTGGACCATGATGGACTCCCAATACACTGAATTGCATCTCGATGCAGTACCGATGCTTTCTTTGCCCCTAGCTTGTGCCAGAGGCTGTGTTGCCAACATTATTGATCTATATCTTGGTGAAGAGAGATGACCAAAACATTGATGTGACCATGCAGGAGCTAGGTACACTTTCCGAAAGCACGGTCGTCGCTCTGTGATGAATGCAGATGAATGCACAGCAAACTTTCTGTTGACCACCTATGAGCTACTTCCACAGAACACCTTCAGGACGATGTATCGCAGAACTGTGTCAGATTCCAAGATTTCGATTGGGGCTGGTCGACCCCTTCCCAGTGAGATATGATGGGCCTCTGCTGCAAGCGGCCAGAAATCCTGTGGCAACTTCTGTTGTGCTTCCAGCCAGTGTTGCGGTTCGTGGGTGCCAGGCGCCACCACGGCACAGCCATCTATTGCTGCGTGGATCAGTGCGGTAACTCTATACTGACTGGGGAATTCAACATGTTCCAGAATGCACTGGCTCTAAAGTTAGGGTTTTACATGGCTTTACCCACTGCTACACAGAACATCACAGCACACATCCATGTCCATACATCGCATACATTCTACCATTACAGAATTATTACAGTTGGATCCATGTGGGCTTGGGCAGATTCGCATCAGAACCAGGCCAGGAAGGATCCAGGCCCATCTTCATCTGGCATCTCTGGCAGAGCAAGGTCCTTGGAAAAGGATGCCATGGGATGCCATGGGATGCCATGGGATGCCATGGGATGCCACATGGCACTGGGGATGTCTGGAAGTTTCAGCAGCGGATTGTGAAGTCGAGAACGCCAAGGAAACCAACCATAGAACTGACATGAACTGACAGTTACATACAAGTACACAATAGTACACAGTATTCCGAAAGGAGTCAAGGACAAATGCGAAAGAATAGTCTGCTCGCCCTTTGTCACATCTCTAACGCTACTCCGCTACTCTAAACATTCGCTCAATTGCCATGATGAAGGCAGTGAGATGTCTTGAGGGCAACGGTTGTTCAGCCAGATTGGGTGACCACATGGCACCAGAGATTGGACAAAAATCAAATGTTGCCGAGAGACAACTGACACCTGCATTGGAGCGCTGCTGCAAGAGGTTTTAATATTTTTAATGGAAGTCTCATTACCGGCACTCACACTCCAAATCTGAATGATGCTTGCAGGCACTACGGCAACTACCATTATTTAGAGAATTAGTTTCGCGGAGTATGCTTATGATATGATATGATATAATATCATATGATTCTTAAGATCGCCACATGTGCCATGGTCAAAACTTGGTATATTGGATATGGGCATCCCAGCATCATTGGGGATTCCTTTGTGTCTATTAAACCCTATTCATGGGGTGATACTCAATGGCTGCTTCTGGGAAAAGATCACGTGTTTTGACTGTGGCAAATGTCTATCATGATTCATTCCGTGGCGGAATCTTGCTCCAGTTGCATTCGATTCAGTAGGCACCAGAACATTGGCACCTCGCCACCCTTTTGAGCACGTGCTCGAAAGGATTCTCCCTGCTGGCAATGGATGGATCGGATGAAGACGGATAGATCCTACCAAAACTGACTAGAACCTAGGCCCCTTTGGATCCACTCGTGGATCATGATATGCTTCCACATGCAAACGACATAACGGATCATAAGTTGAATTACATTATAGTCCGCTGGACTACCTACCTTAAAGGAACATGCTTAAACGATCTTAAACGCCAAAGCCAGGATCGTTGACAACTTTTCTCTCCGACATCCAGCTTCAGAAACATCATTCCGGCACTTCCCATGACCAAAATGCTGCCCCAGGCAGTTGTATTCTATTTTGCGGTCCATTCATCAATGGTGCTTTTCCTGAAAAACTGGGGGACACAGGGACACAATGAACCATTGGAAAACGGATGCACAAAGTCTACAACGAATAGTCTAACCTGTAATGCAATGTTGGAACAATGCGTGCGGAGCAAAGCAGTAGTGACCTGAAGTTGGATTGATTGGGACTCCAGGATGCCTGAGATATCCCATTCTTGGACCGTTGCCATATTCTGTTGCCATATGTTGCCATCATTTATCCCCTGCCAACTCAGCCTTTGAGAGAGCCGGACGATGCATTACGCCGTCCAAGCGGAGGTTGTTCCCATCGTAGCGAATCATCTGGTGTAACCCTTGGCAAGGGGCCCCCTTTACACGGGAGCGACTTGATTGGATCATCCTGGTGAAACGGTGCCTGAAACATCCTGAAACTCCCCTTGTTGCAATCCTGGCTTTTCAGGTGCCACTCACATCACTCAAGTCATGCCCAAGGTCCCACATATAGACTAATTATAGGACAAACCCCAAACCATCCCAAATCCATGACAAACCCCTTGTGTGCTGCCAGAAGCTTAACTCACTCATGCAATGCCCCAGTTCCCCACAACAGCCGCTCTACAGGCACAAGGAACGATTCCGCCGAAGCCAGCTTACCCATACTGACGCTGCCTGGTATCGTCATGGGGATCATTTTCTGACGTGACTGAAGCATCAAATCAATGAGTCCTTACCCTTCAAACTCTCAGACTCCAGACCATAGGATCTGAAATTCATGGCTAAGAATCCAACTTTGAAGCTCCTAATTCCTAATGAATAATTTGGTAAAGCCAAACATGCTCACAGCCGCACACCCAATTCGCACCCAGTGCGACTTGTGATCCCGCGTGCGAACGAGTTGCGTCTCCCCTTTCCTTCTTTTTCTCTTCCTCATCTGGGTCCTGGGGGCCAAAAAGTCCCGAAACGTGTGCACCTCTAGTCTCTAGATGAGCCAGCTTGTCGCAAGTCTGGAAATAAGAATGCTTTTTTGATCTGTTCATATCTGTTCAGTCCTCTTCGTCTGGCCCTTTATCTGGGACCACCTGCATTTCACCAGGGATTGGCTGATGCACCAGTGCTCTTCCTGGGCGGCAGCAGCTTGATTTGAGTGCCATTGTCAGGTCTACCATCACAGATCATCATACAACCTGTATTATGTATGCCCCAAGTGTGCAGCAAACCAAGGGTCGAAAGGATTCTTCGAAGTGTCCACACTTGGTCTTGATGACCTTATGTGGCAATTGAGGAAGTGAATGGCGTGTGCAGCATACGGAGGCCTCTCAGGGGTCTCCAGTGTCTGAACCACCAAAATTCCGTATGAGTTAATAGCACATTCGATATTATAAATCACCACTTATTCCTATTCAATGTTTTTTTGGCGGGTATTGATTGGTCTCCTGATCATGGTCACGCTATGAAACACTGGTACACGGACACGCTGCATGAGACAGACCCATGGCACCCCTAAGCTTCCCACGTCCGAGCTATTCGCAACAAGGAACCTGCCGCCCAGGTGGGGACCGGTGGGGAAACATAAAAGACTTTGTTATTGTTTACCCTCCGGTGATCAAAGATGGCAATGGAAAATCACCCTATAAATATCTATAAATAAAGGTTTATAGCTGGGAAATTGACTTAATATGACTTCATATTTAATAGGGCTGATAATTGGGTGATTGTCAAGGAAGCCACCTTACCCGGATGGTATATTGTTTCATCGTAGATGTGACTTGTTGTATCTTATTGACTTATTGTATCTTATTGTATGTTATTGTATCTTATGGATCCTATACCAGTTGGCATCATCATCTGCCTCTTTGACCCACAGTTTGGGCCTGCGGTTCACCAAGACGGCGGCCGGCAAATGCTTTAAGGTCGAAGATAGGAAGAAACTCATGGAGCGACACTTGCGTTCGCCTACGCCACTGGCGGCATCAACTGGCAAAAGGCACGCAAGTATCAGTACACTGCCTAACTACCATAGCGTGGCAAACCCAATAATAAAGCATCCCTCACATTCGTAATGTGACATTACTAATTTTAAAATATTTTAAAAGGGGGGTAACATCATCCTCAAATGGTAGGATTTTCGTTGGCTTTCCATGTCTTTCCCATGTAGTACTCACTTTCCTCCTTGCTTCCCCATCTTGGTGCCCAAACGGCATTCGAGCGCCAAGTTGGCAGCATCCCCGGGATCCTGACAGGAAAGGCAAAAACCCAAGCCCAAACAACAATGATTGACATCTTCCAACACCTTGCGCACAAATTGCGCATATTATCGTATGTATATGACATATACACAGATTCGTCAAGGAAAATCATGCACCCATCAATCCCATCATCACCTTGAAAAAAAGTGCGGAAGGGCATGGAAGGGCTGAAGGCGAAAGGAATCGAAAGGAAATGGATCGTCATGGACCGTCCCTGCCGCACTGCCTCCGACCGGAGCAGAAAAACATCCTCAGGGTATGCTGCAGCTGCAGCAAGCATTGCCAAGAAAGCCTCGATAGGACGTCACTTCATGTCACTTCCCTTCGGACGTCAAAGAGGTTACCAGATGGACCAGGCTAGCATGTAGGTCACCAATGGTCACCATAGATTTCACAGATAACATGATCATTTGGGTCGCCAAGTTACAACAGATCCAATGTGGATCAATTTGGATTAAACCGGGCTGGATATGGTTGGAAACACAATGACTCACCCAAAGCAACTCAGCAACTGAATGCTGTTTGCCCATGGTTTAGTACTTTTTTTCGGGCCTCCGCCTTTGGCATCCAGCTCCTTTAATCTATTATCATCCATGACTCCATGACCAAAACCCACATTATCCCACATGCTGGATTTTTAAACTTGGAAATGTTATGAAAATGTTGCTAAACAGTGCTAAAGACTGGACCTTTACCTCTACTCAATGTGCTTATCAGCACATCGGTACGGCTGCCAAGAAACATCCAGCTTTGCGGCACCAGGGCGCATGAAAACATAGACCTCGGCCCAGACTCGACACGTTCCAATGACATGGTTGCGATGTGTTTCGATAGTTGAAAGTGGCATTTAAGGGCTTGTGGCATGGTGTTTCCAAAAGGGGCGGTGTACCCAGATTCGATAGATACATGGATGGACAAATAAATAGATTACATTAGCTTAGCTTAGATCAGATAAATAAATAATATATAAATAATGATAAACAAGCTACGATACGATACACCAAAAATTTGGTATTTGATCAGATCGGACAGATATGGACAGATTATGATCCATTGCAATTGAGTCTACCCTGGCACTGCGCTATCAAGGGGCGGCTCCAGACTGTCCAGGCCATCCAGTGGTCTCAAAGAGCTCTCGGAGCCTTGGGGAGTTCATCCACAAGAAATTCCGCGCCCGACAGCAGAGTTTCCGCTCCTTTTTCCTTTGGCGTCTCTGGCAACTTAGCTGTCCGTGAGGGCACCTCAGAGGGACTTGGGAAGGCGCAATGGACTCAATGGACAGCTTGGAAAGTGTGGTTGGGATTGGTTGGGTGGTTTCAGGCTTTCATGTTTCAACTATGGTCTTTGTGGCATGGCCTTCTCCGCCACCTTCAACAACTCCTGCAGCGCCAAGCGCTGCTGTGGGCTTAGCTGGGCCAGGCGTGTGGCCAAGGAATCGCCTGAGGCTGCCCCGCAATTTCATTGTCAAAATGTGTCAAAATATGTGTCAAATGGTCAAAGGATTGGAAAACAGCAAATATGATATATATATAATGATATATATATAGGACATCTGCCAGTTTGAGTGAAAAATGAAAAATGTGGAAAAAGGCTGAACGAAAGAACCTGGCAAATCCATTATATAACAAAATGATTTTGAAAAAAATGCAAGTTCAGCATGCGCGACATCTATATAGGTGGGTTTAGAGCCTTGAGATTGCAGGTGAGCACAGGCACTGCCAAGTCGCAAGAGGCGTCATTCGGCATTGATGCTGTTGCATTATCTGCCTCACATAGTCATCAGAGGAATGACCCCTTGGATCCCATTGGAACCTGACTGTCATTCAAATGAGTAGTGGGGAATGCCGTGTGGAGGTACCTGCTGAAGACAGATTGCCCGGAGAATAATTAATCATTGAACTTTCAAGAACGCCCATATATCTGAAGTGCATCTTATACCTTAAACATCCTTAAACAGTATATACATGTATATACATGTAACATGTATACGAAACAACACGCTGCGAATGGAATCTGAGACAGTCGTGGCATCTTGAGATGCAATGAAACATCAACAGAAACCAACCCAGCTTTCTTCCCATCCACCAATCCCCGACATGGTTGTGTTCTTGCGGAGCGTCTTGCGGAAGCATGTACAACATTGTACAACTATCACTGAGGATAGCATCATGATACAAAATATACAAATCAGCTTTCATCCCTCGTCATCTCTCATCCTGTGACGTATCCCATTTTCATCCCATGATCCAGTCCTGTGACGCGCTGGACCCCATTGCTTCAATGCGAATGGTCCGCTGCGGTGACAATGCGTTGGCCTCGGGCTCGAAACAGTGGGTCTTGCCCATGACATATCCATTCCATCAGGATCATGTGACACAACTAAAGACGGTGCATCAGATGGTTCAGAATGATTATGATATGATAATCTGATAGTCAATGAATGCTACATAGTTATAGTATGTTATAGTATGTTATAGTTGATGTAGTTGATTAATTGATATTCCTCCCTGATCTCCCTGTCTCAGCAACGGCGCCAGAACTTCTTGGAGGTCATCTTTCAAACTCGACTCGCTTGACACTGCCTCAGGGGCCTGAGGGCTTTTGTCCTGGCACTCTGTGGCCAGAAGTGTCTTTTGGATTTTTTTCTAAACAACTGGCATTTGGGGCTTGAGTTACCCAATTCTTGGATAGCTTTCCGGGTTGGAAGCTGACCTTTGGATCCATTTGGGTTGTTTCTGAATGTCTGTTTGACAGCTATTTAGCCACATTTCCTTGCAACATCGAGCAACATGGATTTCAAATGCGATCCCTTTTTTCCGCTCATGACCCTGGCAGCACGTCCACATACGTCCACTTCAACTTCTGACGATGCAGCGCATCATCCAGGTTCGATTCCAAGTCATCTGCGCCATGTCCAGCTTGGTCGTCGTCGCCGCCAGCGAAAGGCGGAGCATGGCATCGGGCAGGTCATCACCGCAGGCTGCACAAATAGCGGGCAGCTTCCTGGCTCCCAAGAAACTTGCCTCGGCTGACCGGGTTGCAACCTCAAAAAAAGTAAGGCCTCAAAAAAGTAAGACCCCTGAATTTGGACAATCATGGCAAAAATGACAGGAATTCCCTCTGAAAACCATGTTCAATTATGATACATTAATACGTGCATCTCTCTCTCTCTCTCGCTGTCTCTGCCCATCGCCATCTCGGAGTTAATACACATGCTTTCCTGTATCTTACACTAAGCAATCCGTTGAAAGAGAAAATTGCCATCAGTGGCGATGGAGCAATTCCAGCAAACCTTCTCCACGATACTATAGTACAGAGTTCCCTGGTTTTTAGTTTCAAAATAACTACCAGTAATGCGCGGATTTGCGTGAAAAAAAATGAAAAATCCCATTCAATTCAGCTGATTCTCCCCAAAAAAACATGAAATGACTATGAAAATGGAAATGCAGCTCATGTCCCTATACAAGCATGTTTCCAATAATATATATTTATATAATTTATATATTTATATTATATATTTATTTATAATATATTTATTTACCATCATTCACCAGCCACACACGCGTTCCATGACTCGAAATCCTTCAACTCAGCTGCTCAGTTCGCTTTCACCAGCGCCTTTCAGCCACGCAGTGCGCAGGGCCGTGGCACTGAAGTCACCCGAAAACTCCCCGGCGGCATCCACTTCCTGGGAGAAATCACACCACCGATACGGGGTGTTGCAACGGATGCGAGCCACGGGATGGCTTTTTTTAAGGCAAAACTAGCAGGCGTCGAAAAAAAAATTGAAGACCAACCAAATGGTGAAATATAGTCTTACAAAGCCCCGTTTACTCAATATTGAACGAAAATCCACACACGTAACACACAACAGTTTGGCAGGTCTCAAAAATCATACCTCGAGAAGGGGGCTTGGTGAGAATCTGACGGATGGCGAGACGATTCCTAGGATTCAACCATGCCCCTAATAGTCTCGCAGTAATATCGATAGCGATTGCATCCTTCCATGGACCTCTATATTTCGGTCTCCCCCAAAATGGGCAGCTTAATGCTTTTTCTGGGGTTGGGGATTGCCCTCCAGTAAACTAACATAGCTATGGAAAATCCACCATTCGTTGATCATTAAGGAAACCCATAGATTTTCATAGCTATGTTAGTTTACTGGAGGGTAACTGCCAGTGAAGCAAAGAAACCAAAACACTGGCCAAGTGTCTAAAACCTCGAAGGGTAATCCTGCACGTTCGCAGTGGGTCCTTGTACCAGGCCGGAAATGTCGGCAGATTGAAGATTCACAAGGGATACTCAAGCCACTCCAAGCTTCAACAACAAGAAAATGTAAGGAAATCATAGAGAATCGAAGATCCTCAATGCATATTTTAAATAAAGACTAATAAAGTTATTATTATTTTTAATCTGTAGATGATGAGAATATGCATCTTGTACAATTGGTCCAAGAATCCGCTGAGACGGGCGGTTGTGCACAACACATAGCCGAAATCTGCCTGACAGGCATAACTCCCATGTCAGTTGTCTGTCCACCCTCTTTTTCTGCGGTAGCAGACAGCCTGTTGCCTAATATGTCCATGCACAACTTTATGTCTTAAAAACTTTAAACTAATTCATACTCGGATGGACGTGCAACTCCGGTAGTTCAACGCTTTGTTTGGAGAATGAGCCATTCACGGGAAGTATCGGGAAGCAGTTGAGACCTTGTCAGAAGTTCTGCCCACCTCTTTTGGGGGAGACTTGGATGCAAACCACAAAGTTTGGACATTGAGATTCTTAGATGATAGATGATGATAGTCTGATAGTACTTCAGCATCATTCATTATCCCAATCGGGGTTGGCTAACAATTGCAAACATAGATGCCATTTCATGCCTTCTTGCAGCACTCGAGCCATCTGCTTGCTGTGCCAGGAGTTGGGGTCCAGGAATTTCTCCCTGCGATGATGGTTGCTTTGAAGGCTCACAAGGCAAAGGATGCGAGAAATCATAGACAATCATGGAGGAGCTGCAAATCAATAAATTGGTTCAAACAGAAGGCCGATGCATGATGAACCAACGACACATTGAGCAATTTTGCAATGAACGCACTTTCCACACCTGAACGAGTCTAATTCAACAGCAAAATCTGTTGCTTCCAAACACCTTTCCAGCCTGAAGCCGGGAAACGCATCGTCCCCCATGACCCATACGATCTCAAGCGACTTCAGAACTTCACCTCAGCTTGTGGACGTTCAAAACACCAATGTCCAATTCCTACCCCTCCTATCCGCTTACGGTGATCCATACTGCGACTTAAGGCTCATGCATCCGCGGAGCTTGTCAGAACAACGGAAAACATCACCAGTTTGTCCAGTTTGTCTCAATTTCAGCTGTTTCCTTCGCAGAATAGTACGCAACTGCTCAGTATGGGTGCAAACAAGCGTCCCCAGCTGCGGCAAACCAACAAGACGCATCAATTTCCAATTTAAAATGATGCACTTTTCCATACGTTTCTGCAATAAAACCATTGGGATAATTATCCCTATTTAACCATAATATTTAACCATCATTCCAGTCGCGTGGTGGTGAGGTCTTTATAATCTGTATAATTCACCGGGATAAAAGAATGCATCTAGTGATTTCATCTGTTTGAACTGTCTGTATTGGCAATGCAACTGATCAGCTGATGATAAAATCAAGCGCATCGAGTCACCAGCTCCTGAGACGTAGCCCGCGACGTGCTCCCTTGCAGCTTGCAAATTGCGGCGCAAAGCATTGAGGTGTTCGAGATTGCTGCCTTTCCTGCCAGGCCAACCATGACAAACCACGACACATTCGGACACATTCGAAAGGCATCAAGAACGGCAGCAAATGAAATAGGTATCACATCCAAACTATACCTGCCAGTTTTCCGGATTTGTAGGTTTGGGAGGTATGTACAATATATATATATGTGTATATATATAAATTATACATATATATATATATGTATATTATTTAGATTTTCACTGCATAATTATGTGTGTTTAAAACATATTTATTGTTTGAATTATTTATTTTTTCTTGTGGACATTGTGTCAAATTTCCATACGGATCCATATGGGGATTTGTCAACACCCGTGATTTTCCATGATGTGGAAAGCATTGGATTACATGGCTTTGATCAATATCCATACACCCATCAAGGTGTTTATCATTGTTTATCTATACCCTCTGGTAAACTAACATAAGTATATATTAAAAATGACCATTTATAGCTGATTTTTCCCATTAAAAATAGTGATTTTCAATAGCTATCTTAGTTTACCAGACGGTGTATATATGCCGCCCATTTTGGTTTGGCCCTAGGCGGAAGGACCAAAACCTCCCTTTTTGCTGCAACGTCCAAGTTTCCCTCGAAGGACCGCTCGGGGATCCTTGGCAAGGTGCCCTCGGTGAAAGTTCCCAAGATCGCTGTTTTACCCAGAGATAGGTTTGATATGGGTAGAGCTTTGTGATATAGATAGAAAGTGTTAGAAAATGATAGAAACGCATAGAGATGCTATAAAGTTTATGTTTATACAATACATAATATGTTTTTTCTTGATTTGTTAAAGAAAACGCAACGTAGAGTCAACTTGTTTCACATAGATCTTCATCCCCGGTCGCATGCCGCATGGAAATGGCAGAAGCACCATTGCAACCACCCACTATAGCTATGACTATGCACTGATTGGCTTCATTGAATAGTGTCTCCCTTTCGCAGAACTGCAGCACAGACTGCCACGGCCAAAACCACCCGGCTACCAATGCACTGGGAGTACCCATGCAGGGGGTATTCAGAGGCCCTTTGTCGAAAATAGAAAACCAGACATGGCAAAATCGAACTTTGTCAAGGGAAATTGACACAGGTTTGACAAAACAAACGGCATACGGCATACGCAAAATATATCAAAATATGACATTCATTGTAATGGGGTTGTGACCAATACCAATAGACCAGGTTCAATCCAGGTTCCAGCTTGTCTACAAAGCCAACCACTGTCATATGAATCATAGTTCTTCTTGAAGACTTGCAGCTTTGGCCCCAGACTTGCCGTCTAAGGCTCGACCATGACCCAATCTTCCTTCGAAATGACGTGCTCTAACATGGTCAAGCGCACCACATCTGCTGCCAAGAGGGCAGATTTGTCGTCCAACTTCCTAGGGGCAGCAGCAGCAACCAGGCTTGCTGCAATGTGATGTCATTTAACTGCATTTTGTATGATTATTTCATCTCTTAAGCTCAGGCATTTCATCTCTTCCACTCAGGTTGCGTCTTTGAATGTTGAACTGCAATGATTCGGAGTCTTGGTGTTTGGCTGTTGATGCTTTTAGGATTTCTTGAGGAGTCAATGAGGTACCTTGGAGGGTGTTTGCTCAGTGCCAGTTGAAACAAGGAGCTTGTAGGCCAAATGACCAAAGGGTTGCGGTTGCACGTACGCACCAGCAAGATGCAAATGTTCGCTGAGCTCTTTCTTGGCTGCTCGTAGGCAATTTAAGTGTCCCACATGAAATGGAGCAAAGGATCCAGGATACCACAGGATAGCCGCTGCCTGCCGTGATGTGGGGAGCACTGGTACTGTGGCACTTTGCACATCTTTGCACTGCAAACATGGGAATTATTTTCGGAATATGGGCGACTCCTGCGCTCTGGCCATCCTTGTCATCCGTCTAACGAAGAAGAATCTTTGAGACGAATCATTTGCACTCCTTGCCTTGGTTTTGGGTGGATGTTCTTTGCAAAAGGGATAATTCAACAATATTCAATATCATTCATCTCAGGAAAGACCTCTAAATCTGGCGATTTGACGCCCGGAATTTTTGCATGGCGAGCACAGAAGTGGCGCTCAGCCAAGCATTCGGCATCGGCAAGTGGCTGCGAATGGAGCCAGCCTTCTCGCTCTCATTGGGCACCAACCGGTCCTGGGGCAGAAGCAGAACTGCCCTGGCAGATGAGGTCATCCCATTTCCATAGGGAAAAGGCTTGCAGTGCTGGATTGGAGCATGAACCAGAAAGTCGGTCATGGATGTTGTGTGCTAAACGTATGGCCTACGCGCTTCGACATGTGACCCACAAGAATCACTGTACTATTCTGGGCCGGACACCCTGCACCAATGCTAATTTCGCCAGGTGAAACCATTCGTCTAAGGATGCTTGGCAGAGTTGTTCAGGAGGAAATTGCTAATCATGTGGGTTTGTCTGAAACATAGGTGCCTCCAAAGTTCGTGCTTAATCATCGTTCTTCCTATTAAAATCGTTATTTTGGTGTACATCCTATTTCAGATACACTATGTATTTCTTAGTGCTGCCTGGGATCAAAGGGTAGTAGCTGTGGCCAAGGGCCATCTTCCACACCAAGTCCAGCACAACCATCACATACCGCGGCATGCAACTGCAGGCCATGCCTGACACAGGGATGTGTGGCTAGCTGGAAAACTACTGGCAAAGGTTGGACATCTGGCTCATTCTGGCTCAGCTTGTTGCTTCAGAATTATCAAAGGAAACTCCCAGGATCCAGCCAGAATCAACTAGATTTCGACGGGCCAAATATGGCTAAATGATGTCTAATACTTAACCTCCGGCAGCCAAGGCTCTGAGAACACAGGAGAAATTCGGAGTCTGTCTTTCCAGCAACACGTGTCCAAAATATCTCGGAGGTCTCTCGATATGGATCCTGGCCAGTAAAAAAATGATAGAAAATCATGTTTCTTCCCAGTGATGATATGCACAGATGTGTAAAAACAAGGGTTTCCCGAATTTGCCTTAAACCAATTCAGGGTCATTTTTGCTCGGTGTCCCTGACCTTGAACAGGGCCAAACACCTCTACAGGTCCGCTGCGCTGTTCAGATAATTCGGTAAGGCGAATTGAAATCTTTCCAGAGAGCGGATTATCTGCACATATCTGCACTTTCCAGATGGCTAGACATCTTAGTGACATCTTAGTGACATCTTAGTGACATCTTTGGTGGTCTTGGCAGAGAAATTTATGGGAACCAAGGCCAGAACCCAAAATACCCAAACCTCCGCACTGATCAGAGTTCGTCCATCTGTCAGTAAAATGGATCCACTCAACGTCTTCAGCACATAAGCATTCTCTGCCTGAGGTCAGCCAAGTTGGAGCAATTTGGAGCAATAAATGGACTTCCATATTGCCCAACTGTGCCAGCAAAGGAACCCTGCCACCAAATAATAATCCATGTCCTAGCCACGATCATTCAACGGGGTTGTCTCAAACAGCCAATGGTTTGTCATCATTTTCCCCATCAGGCCTCAGCACCTTTCAGCACGCTGGCGCTGATCTGCCAAACAGTGGGCTGCGCACCAACTGGGGCATCCTGGATGGCATCACATGTGGCTGACTGAGCAGTGAATGAGGAATGTGTCAGCATTCAAACTGCTGGCTCAACCAGCAACACTTGGGTTTGATTCGTGGCAATTAGACTTTTGAGGGGCATCCTGCTCCGTCTGGTAATCTAACCCTGACAATGAAAAACTGACTACACATGGATGTAGATAGAGTACTTTCTGTTGCGAGGTTCCATTGACGGAAGGTCCATCCCTGCACCTGTGTGTAAGCGTTTCCAATAGATCCAATATAGCGATTACTGATGATTACTGTGTAAATGTATGTGATGGTGAACTATGGTGTAAGACTTTGCAAATGATTGAATACATGACAACTCACGGATGCTCCATAGATATGCATCCCAAATCAAGTGCATATACAAAAATATGAACAGAACAAAACCTTGCGGTAAAGGTTTATGTGTCCACCAGCGACATACGCCGCCTTGTGCAACCAGCCATGAATCCGCCGTCCGCAGGCCATGGTCACATCATAAAACTCGGTGAGTTGCGAGGGATCTCCAACAAATGGCCTTGGGTTGATCAGCTTTCCAAGCAGCCTGAAGGATCTGAAGGATCTGAACGCTAAGCGGATTCCAATGGCCGTTGAGTGTGCTGATGCCTTAGCAATTGAATGCAATTGAGATCATTATCTTATGCACTATCATCTTCAGATATTAAGTATAGCTGTCAAACTTTGGGGCAAGCCTTTCTGCAGCTGGGGGAGGGAATGACTGTACGTCACAGATGTCACAGTGGCACGTAAAACGATTTGGGGTGATCACTGCAGCCCCATTCAGACAACTACAATATTTGACCCAGTATGGTGGAACATTCTTGTGGAGGAGACATCCTGCTCCAAGCTGCCCATTGGCATCATTCCTCCTGATCACGACACAATCTGCCACATCTGCACAAATAGTCTGCACAATGTCCGCTTGAACAGTACGGCCGTTTGCGCGCACTTGGTGGAAAATCTGAAAATCAGATTCCCCACAAAATAACACAAAATATCTTGAAATTGATAATAATAACAATAATAATAATTTATATATATATTATATATATATATTAAAATAATGAAATTAAAATATTAAAATAAACAATTACTGTAATGCAAACTGAAAGAACAACACTTCAATATACCGTGATCTCCATAAGACATTGGTGGAGGAGGTCCGCTTCGTCATGACTTTGGGAACATTGCGCAACCACGTACTGCACGGCTGTCCTAAGCTTGCAGTACATTCGCACTGCCGGGGCTGCTGCAGCGAAGGTTGCGACAACCTCAGACTGAAAATGTGAATCAGTTTAGAAAGGCGAAAACGGGTCATGCGTGGGTAGGGTGTTTCTGGCAAAGTACACGTGGAATCACTTTGAGGCAAACCATAGTCTCAAGTCTTGTGTCTGCCACTGTCTGTCACCACCTTTCCTGCCAAACACCGGGCTTCGGCAAGTGGCATGGACGCCACACTTCTGTGCTGCTGCAAGCAATGTCTCTCGGTTGGTTTTGGCTCCGGCTTCGAACTCACTCAACGAAGCATCACGCTTGAATTTCTTTGCAGGCCTCTGCTGGTGCAATTCTTCATGCATCCGCCATGCCAGGGTCACCCTATTTTATAGCCCAATATATCCAAACCATTAATGAATGAAAGAAAGAAAGGAAGGAAGGAAGAAAGAGCGAGAGAGAGAGAGTGAGTGGGAAACAAGGATTACTATCTAAATATATCAAAACGTGAATCCATGTGTACGCGCCATACATGTAAAAATGCAGATGCACCTGATCTGTTTGCACATGTTTTGCACATGCATCTGTGCACGTCCTCTCTATCATGTAGTGGGTAATTATTATGGATAAACGTACGTTATCGTACGTTCATACATTAAGAGGATTGCTGCGGGGTGAGCCAAAAATCAAAAATGTAAATGGATGTAAACGGATGTAAATGGATGTAAATGGCGATGGTGCAGCTTCTGGCATTAATCAAACATACATCAAACAAACCTGGTGCTGTTGGCAACTGAAGTATCGAGGGCGCAGGCAACCTCTGCGAGAATGATCTTTTATATCTCATCCCGAAAAGTACATTCCTCAATGAGTCAAGTCCCAAGGTGATCTCTTACATGTCTCATTTTCAAAGATAAGCTAATAGAAGTTCATGTTTTGCTTCAACACATCCGTTTTTTTCAAAAATTCTGCAGATTTACTTGGTTATATCATGTTCTATATCCATTTTTCTCCATTTTATATCCAGTTATATATCCAACTATCTGTTTTGGATTGTTTTGCGTTGGTTCAAGCCCCTCAGGATTTCCACTACCCCACTGATAGCAGAGATATCGCCGAGTGGCGGGTCATTCCCCGTCGTTTCCTCCGCCGCGTCGCTGGCACGGCGCGAGGCCAAGTTGCGACGGTGCACGCTTTCTGGGGGCAGGACCAGCACCACTTCCTGCGTCACGGGGCTCAAATATGTCAAGGTCCCAGGGCGGAAAAAAACATTGTTTTTTTGTATGTAATTGGCATTGATGATGTATGGATCATGTACTAATCATGTACTAGATGATCTAGATATATTATGAAATATATCTAGATGTACTGGCAGTCTCAAGTCGTTGGGCCCAAAAGCTGTTGAAATGGGATTGTTCAACCACCAAACATCGGGGATGAACTAGCAATTTTTGAGAGGATATTGTAAGGGTTCGTTGGATGAATAGAAATGACATGAACTGGTACCTGTATGAGCCCCCAGCCATGCAATCTAAAGGCCCCAAAGTCAGTGGGTCACTTGGAAGAGTTCATCCATTCCCCACCAATCCTTCTAACCGCAAATGCATTGCAGGATTTTCTGGAATATTGGAGGTATCTAACCTATCCAGAGTCAGTAAAATCGATGGTTGGGTACCTCAACACCTCAACAGGGCATTGATTCTATGAAAGAATGATGGTCCAGGCGTGCTGCCAGCCCCATGGGCCTCTGGCCTAAGGATTTCAAGCTCCACGGCCTTCATCAAGACCTAGCAGCCACATTGAAATCATTCCCCAAGTGGATGCCTCAAAATTTCGTGCCCAATTCTACCCCCCAAGCATTGAAGTCTTCCTTCCAACCATCGGACCGCCACGGCCTCACCGCTGCAGTTGAAGGTGATCCTCTTCGTTCCACCAGGTCCGCCCGCTGACCGCAGCCACCGCATCAGCAGCGCCAGATCGCGCAGAAAGATTTCCGTGGCCGCCGAGGAAAGCCAGGCACCGCTGGACAGGCGGATGGACCTAGGCAATGAGGAGAACTCCTTGAGAAATATTGATGTGTAAACAATGTAAACTGTTGTGATTGTGCAGACTCATATTGTTGAAATCTCCCCAGTTCTTGGTTTGCATCAATTTGCATCCTCATGGTTTGCTGCTCTTTGCATTAATTTCCGATTGACCATACGTTGCTCATCTCAGCCACCACGGCACTTGTGGTAGGACGGGTGGAACGTTACATCTTCCATCACTTCTCCCTCTGGACCTTGGAGTCTGACGTTCTTTGGGTCGTGGCCGCAGGATTCTTAGAGCAGGACATGACGTGTTTTTGGACTCCAGACTGCTCACATCTGCTCACTTCATTCACTTCATCATGAACAACTCGTCCTTCCCAATCTCTTCAACAAATGGACCATACTAAATGAATCTCAATGACCAGTCCATGCCCATGCCGTTTCTGTCACAGCTACAGTAGATGGGCGCCAGCGATCGCCAGGTACTTTTCCCCGAGCCAGTGGGGGCCAGAATCAACGAGCCGGGCCAGCACTCAGCTGCCGGCGTGGACGTGTGGAAGAGGAAGACGTCCACAGTGGAGCTCGAGGGGCCGAGGGGCCCGGCGTCCATTGGTGGGGTGTGGGTCCCTTGTGGAGTTAAAATACGTGGTAAATGATGGTAAATGAATGTTTATCCCTCGAAATCTGTCAGGATTGCTCCCAACACCCCAGTTGCAAGGGATGCAAAATGGGTAAACGATGAACTAGAATGACCAATTTTCCATCTCTTGTGGATATCATTCACCTAGAACATTGCATATGTCTTGCAGGTTTTGACCCATTCCCAATCATCCCCACATATGGTAACGGCATCATAGACTTTCATCAGTTTGATGCTGAACTTGGTCCCCACCAGTGACATTTATTGCCCACCTTGAAATTGAACAGGTGAGGCGTTCTGGCGCACGAGCATCAGCTGATGACCCGGAAGCAGTTGCCAGAGCGGCATCTTCGCACCAGAAAACGAACAGAGGCACCTCATGCCATGGTTTATGCGGAAGATCGGTCAGTGGTCACTGTTTTACAATGTTTTACACATCTGAAAATCAACATTTGCCTAGGCCACCCGTGAAATTCAACATGGGCTGCAGCCTAATTGCAGCGAGACCGGAAAATAAAACAATCTCATGACCGATTCAGGATGCACCAGATAAAACACAAAAAAAAACTAATTTATGTTTCGAAACCTTCTCTATCGATCTCGATAAAGTATCCCGGTTCCACCTCCTCTACTTTTTGTTGGAATGCAGTTTGTATTGTTTGTTGGTACCCAAATGGTACACTAACATGGCGACTGAAAACCCCATTACCAATAGGCAAATCATCTAGAAGAATGGTGCAATATTCCAGTGCCAGGTTAGATTCGCAAAGGGTAACATCCCTTGTCTTATCATTTCTTCTCTAAATCCAAGCGTCAACCAACAATATCCCCAACCTTATCTAGCTTCACTGTTGAAATCTGAGTATGCTTGAAGTTGCATGGCTTAGTTGATACTGAAAAAGGCATGCCGGCCATAGCCACATCTTTTCCCTGAAACAGTGCACGTGTAAATCCCCATAGTTGATCATAGTTGTTCCTATTAGAATCACCGGCGGAGAAAAAACCTCTAGGGTTTTTTTAGCCCATTTTCAGACAAACCCATAGCATATTGGTGGTACTATATACACATATAATCATATATAATCATATATAATCACATATATAGTTACATATACGTATGCCTTGATATCACCATGAGTGTTGCATTCCGCCAAAATTCATGGCGATTTACAGTGTACCCCATGTGGGTGTATCTGCAAACAGAGTACTGTACGCCAAAATTCTCTGGTTTATCATTATAATATTTCTTGGCCATTGTCATTTTGGGGCATCCCCTATGTTGGGACAACCCCATATCATATCTCTCTCTCTCTCTCTCCATATCATATTTTTGACTGACATTTCTTCTCTAGAGATATTCCATGATATCTCCATGATTGCTGATTTCTTTATTTACCCCAACCGATGGTGATTTATAATGATTTAGAACCCATGTATACATATATATATACCACAATTATATCACCAGTTCATAATTTAATAGTATCTGATCTTCATTGTATACCAATATACAGTATCCCAATTTATACCAGCATTGCGGGTGGCTGTACAATAATCCCCATAATATCCCCATTCTGCCCCTAAGTATAAATCCTTGGCAAAATCTCCATGAATATCACTTCTACATCCAATTCCTAATATGAATATTGAAATGATCTGGGGATTTGTAGTATATCAATTATATTCAATTATCATGATTATATGGGGATATCATTGAAACATAATATCACTTCTACTATATCCCATTCCAAATCCCCATTTCCCCATGATGTCCCCATGATGTCAACCGGTCCACCCCTTCACCTGGAACTTCATCTGCCGCGCCAGGGCGAAATACGCCGCCGTGGCCGCCGAGCCCGACGGAGTCGAACGGGCCACAAGGCCTTCCTTCAACGCAGCGGAGAGGCAGGCAGAGCGAGGACGGCAATGCTGCACCTGTGGCGACAGGAAAATATGGCACTTAAATATACGCATAATTAGTTATATGATAATATATTATATATAATATGATATATAATATATATAATATACTATATATATAATAATATATATAATATACTATATATATAATATAATATACATAATATATAATATGTATATAATATATATAATATAATATACATAATATATAATATGTATATAATATATATAATATATATAATATATATAATATATAATATATATAATATATATAATATATATAATATATATAATATATATAATATAACATATATATAATATAATATATATATAATATAACATATATATAATATAAAATATTAATAAAATGTATATAATATATATAATATATATAATATATATAATATATATAATATAACATATATATAATATAATATATATATATAATATAACATATATATAATATAAAATATTAATAAAATGTATATAATATATATTTAATAAATATAAATATAATATATATAATATAAATACAATATATAAAATTCGTAAAATAATATATATATATATATATTATATTATATATATTGTATATAATGTATATAATATATATAATGTATATAATGTATATATGATGTATATAATGTATTTAATGTATATAATGTATAATGTATATAAATGTATAAATGTATATAAATGTATAATGTATATAATGTATATCATATAATAATGTATATTTATATAATATAACAAATAATATCTAATGTATATTAAATAGAATATAAATGAATATAATATATACACATGTGTTTTAGTATCAAAATAATATGTATGTATAAGTCCTTTTAAAACTGTACATTTTTTGAGTTGTATAATTATGTAAATGTAGAACTGTATTCAAAATTAGTTATATATTTAGCTGATAACTAGATTTAAACTTTCATATAATATGCAACATAATTATGTACATAACTAGTTGTATAATTAGTTCGTTATACAATTAGCCAGAACTAGGCATAATCAGCTGCACAATTATATTTAATCAGTTTGATAAAAAAAACATATCAAGTTTATATATATATATAAACTTATATATACATATATTTATATATGTGTGTGTGAGATATTGTGCCTGATGTCAAGTATGAGACGTTTGAGGAGAAAACAAAAGCCATACTGACATGACAATACCATGTTGACAAAAAACATCAGAACAAATCAACTATAATAGTATCATGATCATCCTCAACATCTTTATTATACTTTGTGATTATTAATTAATCATGGTTGGCCACGTTTGGCCTGCCCAGAGGCTTTTGGCACCTGGGCACCCCATGCCCTTTTTTTGGCACCTGAATCGACTCTCCTTCCAGCTGCAAGTGGTCAACTCGTGGTGCCAGCGGTGCTGGCTCATCTTGCAAGCAGTTCCTGGCAAGGGATGTGGATAAACACCAAAGGAAAGAGATCACAAGGTTAAACCATGACAGGGAAAGAAACCAAAGAAACAAATTTATATATACTAACTGCTGGGTGCAACTGAAATCGACGAAATATTGGAGGTAGCTGCATATCCATAGATTCAAGGCACACTGCGATTTGCAAGGAGTGGACGACAGCATCATTTGGGCGCAGGTGCTCCCGGTCGCGAGTCGGAGTCAAGCTGATTTCAATGCATAGTTTGTAGAACATGCCCAAGTGGGGACGCTGGTCATTTTCCAACACCAAAAAACTGTCATTTTCCAACACCTCTAAATGAATGTAAATAACATTTTCTCGCGTTGAAAAATGTCCCCCCTTCCCCGGAGTGGATGGTTCACTTTTTGTGCTGATCCATGTTGCATTCTTTTCGACGATAAACTGCGTAAAGGGATGACCACCATCACCATGCAGTAATCTGCGGGTGGCCTGGCAAAGACCGAAATCAGCTCCGTTGGGGTTTGAACTTCCTCGGGGCAGCAGGAAATGCAGGCCATGGTTCGCATGGTTTCGAGTGGTTATGCTGAGCAATGTTCTAGGGCGCTACTGGCCACTGGATTGACTCAGATGGTTTGAACATGTTTGAACTGGCTTAAAGATCGGAAGCCAGAACTGCGCTTCTCACATCCATTTGAGAATTTCAAGAAACGCATGGGCGGGTGCGTGCACATAGTGATTGTCTCTAGGTAGAGAATGTGAACAGCTGCAGTGTTTCTCCACCTACTCCCTGCATTGTTTTTCTGGCTGGACTGTCTGATAGTGGATAATAATTTATCGGATGATACTGGCTGGCGAATCTGTCCCAGCTTCGGCGAAAATGGGGAAGCCCTCGCCAAACATGTCCTGCATCGTAAGGATGCAAGATGCAAGACATCATATTTAACATAGGTTCGACGAAAGTGCCACCGCACTCCGTGATGCTAGATAAACTGGAGAAAACGAAAAAACAACTGACATATGTATACATATGTGTACATAAGTACATATGTGTCACATTTTGTGGTTTTCCTTTTGGAGGAAGCAAGCGCAATTGCCGTGTCCATTCGTCAATTCAGATTCTTTGAATATTGAAAGCAGCCTCAAAGTTAGATGCGTTTCTCTTTGCGACCCGGAATTTGAAACTGAATCCACAAGGAAATCCATTGGCAAACCTTTGTCTTCTCAAAGAAAGGCCCGGCCAGCAGCACAACGAACCAATCCTCAGGGCTAGAGAGGAACTGCCAATTCCATCCAAAACACTGCGGTGACCACCCCCTAACATAATGAAAAACTAGCCCCAAATAGATCCAAGACGAAACCTTTATTGATTGTTTTTTGGTATTTTCCTGGTGGCAAATTTAATTCATTAGGATTCATTAGGATTTCAGGATCCATTATAGTGACAATCCAAAGGGTTGCATGGCCTACCAATCCATACCAATCCCACATCCCTGGAGCACCTCAAAATCTCCAGCCCCGGGGCACTAAAAAGTGCCACGCTTCGGGTCTTTCATCCACCAAGAGCTCTGCAAGATGTTGAAGACCATCTTGGTACCGTTTCCACATCACGGAATTGACCCATGAAGACCCTTCCGAACCCTGGGATGTCATGAGTCAAAACCCAGGTACCCTGTTGAAATAAAAATAGCTGCGATATGCATGTTCGTCTCCCCAAAATGGCGCCAGAGGTATTGACATATCCCGCCCATCCGTACAGTATATACATACCAAGCCACCATGCGCTGGAGCACTGAGCACTTTCAGAATCAGCTCTGCATCGGGTGGGCACAAACGTGGAGCATGGCGGAGGATGGAAGCTGACATAGGTCGAAGCTGCCAACAGAACAATCTCATGGTGGCTATGGCTGAGTGTTGCCGTGTGAGAAACATGTCTGGGATGGCTGTGGCTGGGTAATTGTATAATTTCAATGATACTGTCACGGGCTGAAAGAGAAACCTACTTGAGTCTCAAGCAGTCAGGCTGAAGGCATTGAAATTTTTGGTCACATCTAGGTATGCGCAGCGAAAGGTGAACAGTATCACGATCACACATCACAACGCCATCATAAAATCAAACAAGTTTGACCATCTTAGAAGAATTTCGAGCTGTAAAAAACTGTTATAGCATGTTATAGCCATAAATATTATTCTATGATCATATGTTAACGTGCTTTACATATGGCCTGACAACGCATGTGCTTTCAGATACTTGGCTCTCGGTCCTCCTCGAAACGGCCCCTGCACCATTGCATGGCCTCTGAGGGGAGCACCAGCACGTGGTCCAAATCGGCGTACTTGCCTCAGAGGGCTCCACATGCTGCACATTGGATGCCATGAAAAAGTGGCCCATAGTGGCCCCGGCGACGGCAACTATGGTCCGAACATGGGAAATATTTCATGGAATCTGCTACAGTTGTTTGGCGACCTGCCAAGGCTGTATGACATTCCAGCCAATGATCCTGGTTCGGGCAGCACGCCTTCTCCAACGAGCTAAGTTGGCCCCTGACAATCTGCTAGTGCCAACCCATCAGAAATCAAACTCTCATGCAACAGCAAATGCCCCAAAATTTACGTCATCGTTGTTGAAAGTGACGAAATCTACCCCCCCTTTTGTTGTTTTTGAGCAGCACCCAAACAGCTTGCAGAATAGTTTCTCATCAAGCTGTTTCTTGCACGCGCCCCCGGGGACCTTGGAACTTGATGCAGGGTGAGGGAACGCTTGAGCTACCTGAGTCAGGGATCTATGATAACTCAAAAGATTTAAAACTGTGCCTCTGAAATGCTATTTCCTCCACATTATGACATTGCTCTCGCATAGAGTGTTTAGTTTGCAGTTTGCGTGTCACAGAGGAGAAGACATATGGGGGAGAGGACATGGCCTTCAAAATCACCAAGTCAGGTGAGGCAGAAATTCCTTTGCCTTCGCGGCACGGCCGTGGAACTTCAATCACCATTGATAATGGAATACGCCATCAGCCCTGCACACCATTTTTATTCCACTAGAGTGGGGAGATTCATATTCATCATCATCATCATCATCATGATCACTCCAAAGGTGACCCCCTAAATAATAGTGCTTTATTACGGGCTTATTGGCATTTTTGAACCACCAACAAGCACTCATAACAACCAAATCAACACCAAGCGGCTCGCTGGAACTCTTCACGCGCTGACAAGGCCGAGGCGCTTCCCGGAGAGCCCCACCTGTGACGTTATCGAAGGCATTCGATTGCGGCTGGGTTCTGTTGGGTTCCCCTGCTGTTGGTCAAATGGTCAAAGTCTATCCAACTGTTCCCCAACTCTGACTAAAAAATCCAGTCTTCATTTTTTGATCGGTTGTATCTTTATAAACTCATAGCCCAACAACCAAAAGAGTTGGATGTCCCTACAAATGTTTTGCTGGTGTTTCCTCAATTGCAGGTGTTTCCTCAAGTTCATCTGTTGTTGACCATCATCATTGAACTAAACAATACCATATATTAAGTGACCACCACATGGAATATCCAAAAGTTCACATAGAATAGGGTAAAGTGCGATACCGGGCGAACTACGAGATAGAATTGTTCAACATCTAAACCCAAATAGAATCTAAACCCAAATGCAGCATTTTACCTGTGTTTTCCTGATGTGTTCAACAAATAGAATAATTCCCACAAACCCTTGATCGCACCTCATTTCTGCAATTCCGAAGCAGCAACCAACATTGCTGGCACACTGCAACAACTCAACGCCGTATTTTTTAACCCACTGGAAATAGAACTCATATATATATATACATACAAAATATAAATGCCCTTCACTCACAATTGATTCGCTGGCTTGTATGCCACTTATTCAATCAAAACACTACAATACAAAAGAGTGGCTGGCTTGCCAGCAAAGCTGGCATGTAGCTGGAATCTTCTATCTGTTGATGTTGAATTATTTCTCAGAATTTCTCTAATATAAAAACATACAGCAAAATGCGTCAATAAACGTCTTCTGTTTCAAACAATTCGGAAAACTATCACAAGCCAACATGAAACATACACAGACACACACACACACACCTAACCGTTCCTAACCATGCCTCATCAAACATAATGCATCGAACGTTCAGTTGCAATGCTTCAACACCCACAGAAGATGCTCCACACAAACAAGGCCTTTGCCCCTGACAAATGCATATAATATAGTGCAATGGTAAGGCATGATATGAACAGAAAAACAAACAATTACTTTGTTTATCAATATTATGAAAGCATATGATAAAGTCGAGTCAAATCTTAGCTTCTAGAAAATCACAAACAAGTTTGGAAACCAACTATAAATATAGGTACATATCCACACGGTTTAACAAATACGGTTTAACAAATACGGTAGAAGATTCTTTACTGCAATGAAACCCAGAAATCAAGTCTATCTGCGAGTTCTACCTGCAAACGTATTTTGAGCTAGTTTCGACGATTTTAACTTATCCCGACAAATCATTTAAAAAAGTATTCTATATAATTGTGATAGTTACTAAAATACATAATACCTGGAATTAGTCTTAATAGTCCATAGTCAAAGAACCACAAGTGCTTCATTAAACATCATTGAACAGTATCCGTATAGATCAAATCTCTGTAGGTATCTATAGTGCTTGGCAATCACCTAGAACTCCTGTCAACATTGTCCAAAATTTCCGCTACAGTTTCCCCCATAATTTGCCAGGTGTCCAACTGTTCATAACTGTTCCATCTATTGTGGGTTTCGGTGGGTTTCCTGTAGTCAGCAGCCGCACCCCGGCCCTGTGACATCCGTGACCTCGGGCTTCTGCAGGTGCTGCGCTTTGGCTGCGGCGCGCCAACCTTTCAGGAGTCCTGGGCGAGGAAGTCCACCCAGAAAAAATGTGCATTTTAAAGGCCATCGTAACAGTTGTTTAACCCAGATGGGTCAAAGCACATATCTTCTGCAGGTTTGTTGGTTCAATAGAAGGTGCATGATGGTGCACTTAGCTTCGTAGAGAGTTTTTGGAAACGATACTTGATGAGGCAAGAGCTAAATTGGATGCAGTGGGAAGCAGAAAACTCGTGGAGTTATGTTCATCCAAACTACCGGCTCACAGTGCGGAGATGCTGCAAACCGAGAAATTTCTTTGGGCTATATAACGGTACAATATGGCAAAAGAATCAATTCCACAAGATCCAAAGAGGCACCCTAGAAGTGAACACATAAGTGATGAATCTATGATGAAACTCCTTTCCAAGCCAGGTAAGCCAGGCGTTTGAACCTGCCATTCCCGGCCTGGGCTCAGCCAGGCCCTTGGACAACGGCCCCTTCCCTGGCGATGCTGCTACCTTGGGCCCGCCTTGGAAAAGCCGATGATAGGATTGGCCACTCCCAAACACTCCATGCGTGGTATTCTTGCATAGAATACTAATAAGAAGAATAAGAATAATCATAATGATCATAATATATATATATACATTATATATATTGTTTCATTCATTTATTTATTTAGTTAGTTCGTCAGTTACTCATTAACGTATTTATGCTGTATATATCAATATACGTTTAATTGTTATTTATCTATTTATTTATTTAGCTATAGTTACTTAGTTAGTTGTTGATTTATGAATGTAAGTATGTATATATATATATGTATAATATATATTTATATGTGTATATAACCACGCGCAGTTTTCATTTAGAATATTCATATGCTTGCTTTTATGTATATACCTACACAGACCATGCTCCGATGGAAATCCAATCCCCTTGTACTAGATTGTGATACGTCCACCTGAGTGGCCAGGTCGACTTGGTGATCTGCCACAAAAATGAAGCCGTGTCAAGTTACTTGATACGACGAGGGCATCAAATTAGTGGCGCATGCCTATACTGCATGAGAGACATTGAGAAAGTAGAAGATCTTCGGCAAGTTTCGTAGAAGCCACACATCAATCAATGGCCATGTTAGGTACCTAAACTGGATATAAAACCATATTTGGGGCATGTATATCCTTGTACATAGACTCTTAGACCTTACATATGGCAGGTGCCTCCAATTTAGATCAAGAAATGATCAAAAACCAGAAGCTACGGCCCGGCCATCGATCAAAGAGAGAAAACTTCACACAGAGAGAAGTTATGGATACGAATGTCTGCAGCTTCGAATGACATCCAATGGCGTTGTTTGGGCCTGCCACGGTCAATGGTGGGACTAACCACTCGGTTTCCCCAGCGCTTAGCCAAGCAATTCTCGCTCCATGATCCCCAAGTTGCCGCTAAAGACACTCATCAGGGGCGGTTTTGAAGGCGTAGACTTGGGCCGTTCGGCATCACCATCGAGAGGCTGCGTCTTGTCTGTCTTCCTGTCGCAATTGCTTGCACAGAGTGTAGAGGAAAGGAAAACATCGACAACACAACGCTAGTCGCTCCACGGTTCTTCATCATGATACGATGTTATTTACTTAACTTTTGGCTGGCTGTCCTAAAGTTAGACTGACCCCAGATGACCCCAGTATGTACATCATGTACATGCATACAATTGGCAAGAACAAGCACAAACACCGATCTTTGTGTCCACGATTTTGCAGATATTTGCAGAACAATGTTCTTGTAACACAACAGATTGAAATGAGCAATAATTAAGGCTTGGCATTTCCTTTGAACATGATAACTGCAGGGTCGGCAAGAGATAAAACCTGACAAGATGAGGACCAGACAATATACCAATGGGACATAATCATGGCCACCCTTAGATACCCTTCACAGATTGAAGTGCCGAGGAAAAATTGGGAAGAGACGGAAAACTAGTTATATATATATAATATATATCGTTTATGTCTAGCCATGTATAGCCATGTATAGCGTAGCCCCCCCAAGAAAAAAACATTAAAAAAACACTAATGTTGGATGGGCAATAGTAAAGCGCGTGCAATAGCTACAATTATGTTTCACAATCTGATTTTTCAGCCCCTATTGATTTTAAATTAGGCCTTATTGATTTTAAATTACAGACACCAATCTTGGTCCAGAGAATCTGCAATAATTGTGCTGCATTCGCAATAGCTGCAAATAATTTTCAGAGAATTCCCAAATTATCAGATTTCCCAATACTAAATTGTCAAAGGGTTAATTGATATTTAGTGAATGGTTTTTAATTGTGATTGCATGCTTTTCAAAAGCAAAAACAAAGCAAACCTTTACCAAATCCAAAACTTTACCTTGTTCAAAAAAGTTGTTTTCTTTATTAAAATCCTTTTAAACAATTGCAAAAAACAGGTCCACAAAGGGTACTGTACCCCCTTGCAGGTCCTTGCATTTGCAATTAAAAATTGGAATTAGCACGTGCAATAAAAAAACAACCTTTCTGGCTCTAGCTGTATTTTTTTCCATTCTTCCTTAGTGTTTTTAATTGTGGTTGAATGGTTTTTAATTTTGATTGCATGCTTTTCAAAAGCAAAAACAAAGCAAACCTTTACCAAATCCAAAACTTTACCAAATCCAAAACTTTACCTTGTTCAAAAAAACTGTTTTCTTTATTAAATTCTTTGAACAAATTGCAAAAAACAGGTCCACAAAGGGTACCCCCTTGCAGGTCCTTGCAATTATAAATTGGAATTAGCACTTGCAATAAAGAACAACCTTCCTGGCTCCAGCTGTATTTTTTTCCCCTTCTTCCTTACTGTTTTTAATTGTGGTTGAAAGGTTTTTACATGCTTTTACTTGTGATTGCATTGGATTTGTCAAAACCTTACAGATCCCTACCCCTATAGAGGGGGAGGGCGGGGGGGACAAAACCAACCTGTCGAATTCCACTTTTTGCTTGGAAACCTTGGGATAGTGATCCAAACCCTCGAATGGAATTGTAAAGTAACATTTCTTAACAAACCTTGGGCACTGGTTCGAAAATACAATGCTTTTACTTGTGATTGCATTGGATTTGTCAAAACCTTACAGATCCCTACCCCTATAGAGGGGGAGGGCGGGGGGGACAAAACCAACCTGTCGAATTCCACTTTTTGCTTGGAAACCTTGGGATAGTGATCCAAACCCTCGAATGGAATTGTAAAGTAACATTTCTTAACAAACCTTGGGCACTGGTTCGAAAATACAAGCGTGGTCCGCGTGGTCCGCGTGGTGCGCGTGGTGCGCGTGGTGCGCGTGGTGCGCGTGGTGCGCGCGGTCCGCGCGGTCCGCGTGGTGCGCGGTGGTGCGCGTGGTGCGCATGCGCGTGGTCCGCGTGGTCCGCGTGGTGCGCGTGGTGCGCATGGTGCGCGTGGTGCGCGTGGTCCGCGTGGTCCGCGTGGTGCGCGTGGTGCGCATGGTGCGCGTGGTGCGCGTGGTCTCACCGGACTTCCACCATTACCGTACGAACCCCTCTTGCTTTTCTTGTTGCTATTCTTGTTGTTCTGGTTCTTATCCTTCGTGTTCTAATGTTTCTTTTTTCTTGCTCTTGTTGTTTTTACATGGTTGTTGTTAGTTGTTGTTTTTACAAGGTCCAAGTCGCATAGGCCGGAACTGTCTATCACACGGGGGGGCCTCCCCTGAAATATTGTCGATGTAACATTATCAAATTAAAGTACCCATCCATCATTGACCCAGCACCAACGCCTCGCCGCAGCTGCCACGACATTTGCTGCATCCACCAGCTGGGCTACAGCTGCCGCAAGTGCCTTGCTTGACGGATCTGGTGGGATCTGCCGGGATCAACCCAGTGGGATCCTAACTAACAAAAAAGTCTGGTAAGGATGGAAAATGTATGGAACATCTATGGAAAATGTATGGAAAATAGAGAATAGATGAGAGTGAAAAGGAAGGATAGAACGATATAGAACGGATAGAACGTATCAAAGATTTCAAATCCACCAGCCAAACTAGTCAGTTTGTAAGCCATCTGAAGAAAATCAAGATCTTGTTTGATCACTTTGAAATCACACCAGCCAGATGTGATCTCTCCCCGTGGATAAGCCACACCAGCGAGCAGGATATCAGCCTTCCCTAAGCCTGTTCGCATCTGTCACATACCTTGAAATTCTGAGGTACGCACAGGGGTGCCCAACCCGCTCTACTAATCATAGAGCAGTAAATCGGAGAGGTAGTGTGCATATTCTTACATACAAGTAGGGCGCAGCATTTGTTGACTTTCTTTTGCTGGAACATGGCCCCATAACTTCGTCTCTACCCTGCAGCTCTGTGCAGCGCCTCTGGTACGGCTGCTATGTCGGTGCTGCCTGGCTCAACAAGAACAAACAGCAGAGCAGTGGCCCACAGTCCCATACTACTGTAAGCTCCCAAATAGCTGACCAGTCGACTGACCTGGCAATTCAATCGTATCATATCATCTCCATATTATAATATAAATATACATACACACACACATATGGTTGTTGATCAAAATTCCTTTATCCCGGAACGGCCATTCTTCGCGAATAAAAATTTTACTTTCGCGAAACTTTCGCGAACTCCATGTTTATCTTTCGCGGGGCCCATGTTGGCCAACAACACCTCTTATGAAGATTCGTTCACCACCTGCCAAATTACGCCAGAGAATCACGGATCACTTCTTGGTAGCCTTTTAAACATGCAGCTAGCATCACGGAATCCCTTCTCAGGACAGATTTTTTTGGCAAAGTTTACTGGCCCACCCCCTTCAACATGCACTTTGACTTTCGCCCGCTCTTTCGCATAACTTTCGCGGAACTTTCGCGAAAATATCCCTATTATTCCCTATTCACAGACCCCGGCCATCAGCAGGTGCACTGAAGGAAAAGCGAAGACCAGGGGCCTTGGTGTTTGGCTCTCGCAAAGCCTCACTTTTGGAAACTTGGCTACTGCTACTCGCATTCTCTGGTGCCCTTTTCCTGCCGGACCCCGGGCGGCAGTGGGTGGCAGCCCTTTACATATAATGATTATAATACCCAACTTTCGCGAAACTTTCGCGAAATAAAATTTTACTTTCGCGAATTCGAAAAAAAACTTTCGCGAGGGTTTCCAACATAACATGCACGGCTTTCGCAATTAAAACTCCTTACAAGGACCTTTAGATTAACCATCATATATATATATATACCTAGAATTACCTAGATAGGTGTTGCGTACCAAAAAAAAAGTGCCGGATTCCCAAACGGCGTTTTTCTTTTGACGTAGCCCGGAAATTTTGACGCAGGACATCCAAAAATGACGTTGCCAAAGGTCAATGGTTGTGAGGGCTGTGGAACTATGGCTCACCATGCATACGCTTGACTGACAAAGAGGTGGTCCCAATACCCTGAACAGTACAAAACTATACAAAAGTCCTTTTCTCCATGGACTCTGCAAGTCCATGAGCAGCAAAAATAGCAGGAAATGAATTCTGTCATGGTTCCAGGAAATTACGCCGTAATGTTGGGAAATTACGCCGTAATGTTTGGGAATTACGACGGCAACTTTCGGTGATGTTTCCATTAGTTGTTTCTTCTGGAAAAAAAACACCGAACCCAGGTTCCAAGACATCGCACCAATTTAAGTGCACATCTTTGCCTTTTAGCCCCAACGTGGTCCACACATACGAATGAATAGCCCAAAAAATGATTACGATGTCGCTCCTGGCATTACGCCGTAGCATGGAAAAAATCGCCTTTTGGCATAAAAGTGCCGCAATTGAATTTCTAGGATTTTCTAGGTATATAACTGCGTATATGTAAATATATATATATATTTATATTTATATTTATCAGTTCATATTGCGTCACATCATGTGATGATCATCATGTGATGATCATCATGTGATGATCATCATGTGATGATGATCATCATCATCATCATCAGCATCAGCACCATCATCAGCATCATCATCAGCATCAGCATGAGCATCAAATATCATCATCATCAGCAGCTGCATCATCACCTTCATCATCATCGCCATCATCATCATCATCATCATCACCATCATCATCATCACCATCATCATCATCACCGTCATCATCATCATCATCATCGCCATCATCATCATCATCATCATCACCATCATCATCATCATCATCATCACCGTCATCATCATCATCATCACCATCATCATCACCACCATCATCATCATCATCAGCATCATCATCACCACCATCATCATCATCATCGTCATCATCATCAGCATCACCATCATCATCATCATCATCGTCATCATCATCATCGTCACCATAATCATCATCATGATCATAATCATAATCATCATCATCATCATCACCACCATCATCATCATCATCATCGCCATCATCATCATCATCATCATCATCATCATCATCATCATCATCATCATCACCGTCGTCATCATCATCATCATCATCATCATCATCATCACCATCATCATCACCACCATCATCATCATCAGCATCAGCATCATCATCACCACCATCATCATCAGCATCATCATCATCATCATCATCATCATCATCATCAGCATGAAATATCATGAAGCAAATTCTATCAGACTGTGCAGCTTTGGGATATCTGCACCAAGTAGCCAGCGGCACCAGCGCAAGCCGCCTTCCGCGGGCGCCCCGGACTGGGGCGTGCCCGGGCGTCTGCACGGTCTGTTGGGGGATCTGGCAGCCTGGGAGGGGAGAACATTCCTGGCGGGTCAAAAGTATTCAAAATTGGCTACAAAGTTGGGTTGCAGTACTTCAACATACAAACAAGCCCACAATAATGGCAAACATCTATGGGTTGAGGGGCTTTCAATTCTGAAATCTGATCACATGCCCATGTTCAGATCGAACTTTTCAACAAGGGGGTCAAACAATGCAGCATCCATGCCATTGAATAAATGTTTGCACTCTAGACTCTACTGCAGCGATAAACATCAGGTGAACTAGTTTCGAAAATGGTTCTCCTCTTTGCTTGCCGCCATGGAAAGTGCTATAAGAAATCACACCAAACCAGGGCCAATGATGAAAGCACAAACAAACAACCGCATCCCAGTAGGACAGAATGTGCCAAGTTATTGCAATTTATGCAAATTTCATTGATATCATTGATGAACCAATTTAGCAGTGACGCAAATCATGACACCATGCATGACAAAATCCAAGGTGAGCACTGTCACGTTTTGGAAATCTGCATGCCGTCCAACCCCCACATCACAAAACCATGTTCAACCTGGCAGGTCCTCTGCATGGGGATTCACAAAAATAATGGTCAACGGGAGCCAATGAATAGCAAATGAATAGCTGTTGGGAATGAATGGAATGAATGCTGTTGGAGCACAAGGAGTACAACCCCAGCAACGGCCCAGAGGGGCCACCTGGCCACCCGGCTCTGACTGAGGCGCTCCTTTCCCGTCTCCGTAGTCTTCGTGGTCTCCGTGGTGTGCCTTCCAGCTGCATCCGGCGCTTTCACCGTCTTCACCGTCTTCATCTCACGTTCCAAAAGGACTTCCTGCAGGGACCTCATGGCCGAGCTTCAAAGACTTGGATGGTCAATTTCCTGGTCCTTATAAATGTCCTTAATCAAAATCTCTAAATTGCTAATGGTATGATGAGATAAGATCTGGGAATGGCTTGTAATCCGCGGAGGATATCATGGTCTAGCACTTTAGTCGCATTTAGTTGCCACTTGGGACATCTATGGTTTGATAAGACACTCAATTCTCTGCACACATTTTGCTCAGGATGCACTGCTCAGGATGGAATTTGGACCCTCCCTCACTGCTCCCCCAAGATATCATGTCCGAATCATGGCCTTGTTAAGTCTAGTGTTGCCGAGGTCAAACGTCCATCATAATTATTCCGCGCCAAAACTTGCAATGATCCCGGATGGGAAAAAAACATACATACAATGTCTATCAATGTCTTCTCTTTGGCTGAATTTTCAGACCAATTCAAAAAATCTGCGTTCAGGCTTTTTTGTGGACTGCGAGTATGTTTGCCTTTTCGGGCCGAATTGTAAGGATTTTCCAGGATTCCATGACGCAACCTCTGAACAAATCGGACAAAAGAATATAAAAGAATCAGATATTTTGGCGGAATATGAATTGACTGAATGAAAATAATGAAAGCGCTGAAAAAACCTTCGAGGTAATTCTTGGAAACCAAACTGCAGTTACACCCACAATGTCATATTCTGATACCAATTTTTGTTGCCGAGTAAAATGTTTGAAACCACCATGGTTGCAGCCCGCAACGTTAAAAAGACAAGCCCGAGCCGCGGCAGGGCCTGCCTGGGCGGTCGAACATGCAGCAAATGGGCAGTTGAGAGCATATGATGCATATGATTAGATCTTTGTAGGACAGTTACATATGGTAGGACACTTACATATGAAACAGGATATTAGTCAGTGAACTATGTGAATTTCAAACATCTTCCCATTTTTGAAGAAAATGTCTGCAGTTTCAAGCACCTTTTGCCCCTCTGTCGCCTGGCTGTGTCCTTGGGCTTCAGGGCTAAAACCTCCCCACAGGGCCGCAGGGCAAAGACTTCGCCATCTTCAGCCTGGATCTCTACCTGGAGCTTGTGGGAGCTGCTTCATTGATCCCATTGCAACATCTGGAGACAAACTGAAGCGCCGATTCACTGCAGGCAAGCCACGGTGTGGGGAGACCAAGCGCCTCAAGGAAAGGTAGCAAAAGTGGCCAGCCAACATGTTCCATTCAATTGATTCTACAGTCGATAATGGCTCCAACATGCTTCAACTAGCCAGACCAAGCTGAAATTTGATTTTATTTTTCATATTTAGACTCCATATTTAGACCACATATTTAGCGGCCACGTTCAAATCCAAGCTCTCCTACAAACCTATTTTAGAATTCTGGTTGTCTATTTCTTCGCAACAACTCTCGGTCTGCGTATGACCCCCAAGCTGCCATTGAGGTGCCATGGGTGTCCTCTGAAATGGGTCCACCGCATTTGGCCTGTGCTGGTGATGGTGAGTCAGGGCTGCGCAGCTTCCCACACTATGATCACTATGGTGACAATGATCGTCTCCAAAACATCTTCGGCTCTAATCATGCACTTCAACAAAATCATCGGAAAATGATCGAATCTCAAAACGGCAGAGCAGAATTGAGAAATTGGAGCCATTGTCACTTACTCTGCAGGAACCGGCCAAAACAGCTTGCGCTACTTCCAGCGCAGTCCTGCGCCAAGTTCCGCCCACGCAGCTGCAGCCTAATGTGGCAGCATTGTGGCAGCAGTTCCATCCCTCCTTGTATCAAACAATATCTACAGTAGGAGGCCCTCAGACATCTAAATCTGTCCAAGTGGCGCAGGCGATGATCCGGGCGAAGACAGTCGCTGCTGCGCAGCAGGTGGCTTGGGTGGTCGGGATGCGCCAAAGCCGCGCATGGATCAAGCATGAGCCGATGGAAAGCCGCGGCCGAATTCTGTCATCTTAATTCACATCTCTTGACAGCTCTTGACTGTATATGCCCCCGACTTTGTGACCTTGCCATTGCAATGGTTTTACTCTACCTTTGTGGGTGCTGGTCTCGATTTGGGACGTGGAAAATGGATGAAAATGGATGAAAATTGATGAAAATGGATGAAAATGAGCAGTGACATCAAGCTTGGCAATTCCTGCTGCAATGCGCCGTGTGAAATCTCTGCCTTCAAAGAGGTACGACGTGTGAATAGCAACAATTTGGGCAACGTTTTCTCTGATTTCCTACCCTTGGCCCCCTGACTACATGCAACCTACTGGCAGCGGGGCGAGGCACTATGCAAAGTCGTCCAAGTATATTAGTCAATATTAGTCATACCCCTGTGTCTGATCTCTTTGATCTCAGTGAATTTCAGCAACAAAAAGACCACACAGGCGCCAAAGGCTGTTGCTCACCCCACTTCCAGCTGCCCAAGGACTTCCCAAGGCCAAGCAACGTCTCGAGGCTTTCTGGAAGTGTCCGTCCGATCAACGGTCTCGATGGGGGCAGGGAAACCGACCTCTGCAACATCCAATGCTGGCTGCAACGGTTGGCTTAAAGCGCTTGAACCTGACTGACACTACAAACACTATCTGCAATGATACCTCTCCGTAAGGGAAACAGCACTTACGCAAGTCTCTCTCTCTCTCTCTCTGAGCCAATACTCCTTGCATTCAATTCAGAATTCATGCATCTTGGAGGTTCGGCAAGGGAATAGTGGCCTACTTTGCTTTTAGGAAAAAACTCTGGACTAGAGGTTGGATCAACTGTGCTTCTTTCACATACTTTCACCCTCCCGGGAATAGCATGGATCACAACTATCTGCAAGTCTTAACGAAATGATTTCTCTTTCCAGCTGCTCAACCAACAGCAAAGACCAGCCCCATTGGAAGTTAAGTGGCACGAGGGGACGCCGGTGCACCGTAGCATGATGATACACATAGAGTATCTCGTGCCTCAGAATTGAGAATCAGTGGGTGGTGACTGTGCTGCATTGCGTCTGCACAGGACGTCTCTATCAGGTTAGATACTGAGTTGACGACATCAAGGAGAAGCAAGATCTACGCCCATGAAATTCTATATGTTTAAGTGAAAAGAAGTCGGGCTGTCAATGACTTGAGCATTGGAAACCCACGTGTTGTTTGGGACGGGAATGCCGCGGAATGTGGCAGGGACTCGGCTACTAAACTTTACAAAAACTGGCGGCAACTCCAAACCAGGTTCAAATGATTTTTCTACACTGATGAACTTGGTGATGATGGTTTTAGATGCTTTAACAGAGATCTTTGAGTGGATTGGCATCCAATCTTCAGCTCTAAGTTTTGGAAAGGGTCCAGAATTGTTTGTTTTTTTTCCGTTTTGGGATTCTTTTTTGGATTTCCTGTTCTTGCTATTTGCGGCATTTTGGAGCTGGAAGGTGCCATTTCAACGGTATTTGCAGCATTTTTGAGTTCGAACATCTCATGTTCCATGGAATTTGCAACATTTTGGTGCTACGTGCGAAGCTGCCATGTCAACGGTATTTGCAGCATTTTTGAGTTCGAACCCCTCATTTTCCATGGAATTTGCAACATGTTGCTGCTCGAACTGTTCATGGAACATGGTAGTTTGCAACTAGGGTTCACTTAGGGTTGGTTTTAGATGGTTTTAGGGTTTAGTTTAGGGTTTCTGTTAGGGTTGGTTTTAAGCTTGTTTGAGCTTTAGAATCTATTTATGGTTGGTTTGGGGATTTATTTAGGCTTGGTTTAAATCTATTTATGTAGGGTTAGCGTAGGGTTCATCTAGGGTTGGTTTTAAGGTTTACTTAGGCTTGGCTTAAGATCTATTTAGGGTTAGTTTAAGATTAGGGTTGGTTTTAGGGTGTATTTAGGCTTGGTTTAGATCTAGTTAGGGTTGGTTTAGGATCCGTGTAAAAATTGGTTTAGGGGTTCTTTGGGGTTTGGTTTAGTTTTTTTTTTTTAGGCATGGTTTGAGATCTATGTAGGGTTGGTTTAAGATCTTTTTGGGGTTGGCTTTAGGGTTTGTTTAGACTTGGTTTAGGATCTTTCTAGAGTTGGTTTAGGACCTATTTAGGGTTGGTTTAGGATCTATTTAGGGTTGGTGTAAGGTTTATTTAGGCGTGGTTTAACATCTATTTGGGGTTGGTTTAGGATCTATTTAGAGTGGGTTTAGGGTTTATTTAGGAGTATATAGTTTCAGATTTATTTATATAGGGAATGTTTAGGGTGTACTTCGAGTTGTTTTAGTGTTGTTTTGTTTGTTTGGGGTTGTATTTAGGGTTGATTTAGGGATGATTCAGGGTTTATATATGTCTTATATGATGCGTCTTCGGGTTTATTTACCGTATGAGAAACAAAAGAAAAGCAGGAAAAAGCAGAGAAGCAGGTAAGCAGAAAAGCAGGGAAACACATAACAACTGGAAAAGCAGAAAAGCACGGAAAAACAGAAAAGCGGAGAAGCAAAGAGGCAAAGAAACAGAAAAGCAGAAAATCAAAGAAGCACAGAAGCAAAGAGGCAGAAAAGCAGAGAGCAGAAAAGCAGGAAAACGCAGAAAACCAGAGAAGCAGGCCAGCAGGGAAGAGGGGAGAAGCAAAGAAGAAGGGAAAAGCTGAAAAGTTGAAAAGCAGAAAAGCTGAAAAGCAGAAAGCAAAGAAGCTGGGAACCAGAAATTGAAAAAACACGGAAAAAACAAACTCAAAAAAATAGCCATCCCTTTGGAAAACCCAGGTTTGATTTGCTGCGATGATAGTACATGGCCAAGATGCCCCGTTCTTGGCGACACTTGGTGAGATGCCTCCTCAAGCTGACAAACCCAAAAAAGAAACTACACCCTGCACGTCCCTGCCCTATGAACCTATCTGGCTACATACCAAAATCTTCACACATGTCCAGCTGACTTACCACCTCTCCACATCCACATGCGTTGCTACTCTTACCACCTCTGGGGAGGTCAGGGTGCAAGGAGAAGTGAAGTGAAGATTCAACTATGCAAAAAGCTATATAAAAGAACAGTCAATTTAGGTTCGCGTCTTCACAGAATCATAACATCTAAACACTGTTGACTCTGACTCCTGAAATCACCAGCAGAACTACTAACCGGCCATCCAGTCAGAAACAAAAAGTCGCCCCCGCAGCTCCTTGGAAGCATTTTGAATTTGCTTTCGGCAGCCTCACGGGGGGCAGGAGATTTTCCGCTGGCAGAGGAAGGTATAAAAAGTGGTTGTCATTTTTGCTTCCTGCAGTAAAAGTCCAAAAACTGCAACAAGTGAGACATACTGCACCTCATTTGATTGGATGCTGATTGATGGAATATACCCCCTCTTTCTTTTGTTGTGCAACTGTTGCCACAACTGCTGCACAGGAAGACCATTATAAACGATATTAAATGCACTCCTATGCCCATATATGCCCATTACATAAACTCGGATGGGTCCAAAAATGTAGACAAGTCGAGGATGATCCACATGAAGCTATGCTCCTTTGTGGTCTCAGCGCTTGCGGCGCTGCCCAAAGGCAATGCAATGATGCATCGAAGCAACTCTTCCACAGTTTCAGGTCCAAATGTTCTTCCATCTCTCCGTCAGCTCCATCAAGCCAACTTGGGTAGAAACCTAGGTGCAACGAATTAAGGGTCACTACAGACATGGCCATGACCACCAAGGGTCACTATTACTATGGACCATTTGGATGCACCCATTTTTTCTTTTCCTTTCCAGCTGATGCTCCAGGCCAAGGAACTTGCAGAAAAAACATGCGGGGGTAGAAGCAAAGATGCTTCTTGTCGCTCAGACTCCAAAACTCGGCCCTGGATAGCTGGTGGATATTGGTGGATGCTGGTGGTTAGGGCTGGAATCCATGGTGAACCCCAGCAGTGTGAGGGACTGGACCCAATCCTGAAGCCTGACAATCACAACCCTTGAGGCCCTTGAGGGACAGGGAAGGCAGTCATGGGGTAGTTAGCTTGTGGGGAAGCCATTCCTGTTGCTACTCCGATCAATTTTCCTGCCTGAGCACCGGCGACAATGCCTTTCTGCACATTTGGCACCTGCGCCCAATTTGGGTTAGAAATGCAGTCCACATGTGTTGGCTCTTGAACACATATTTTGTTGAAACATACATGCATATGTAATGTATGGTGTATAAATATGTATATATATATATATATATTTATATTTATATATGGGTGTGTGTGTGTGCATGTATGCATATGGATAAAAAAAGGAATATAATATGTATATTACTTGAGGCCGGGGGTGGATGACGAAAGCTAGCGGGGTAGGAGAAAGAAGGAAGGGAAGAGGTGAGTTGCGGAGGGACTGTCATCATCGTGTCGCGGCATTGTTCGTCCCAACGAGGATGCAACAATGATATATTGATATATGATATATAACAATGATATATAACAATGATATATATGGGGGAGGGGGCAGGGGGGGCCCTTTCGCGGGAAAAATCACGTGATGTCCTTGGGGAGCCCCGGAATACGTGCTAAAGCAAGAAGACTCTAGCGAGCTGACGCTAGCTTTCGTGAGAATGACAACAATTGCCAATAATGATAAAATGTAATTGAATAACGATGATGATGATGATGATGATGATGATGATGATGATGATGATGATGATGATGATGACGAGGATGATGATGATGATGACGATGATGATGACGATGACGATGACGATGACGAGGACGATGAGGAGGACGATGAGGAGGACGACGATGATGATGATGATGATGATGAGGACGAGGACGAGGACGAGGACGATGGAGAGGACGATGACGATGATGATGACGATGATGATGACGATGATGATGATGATGATGATGGTGATGGTGGTGGTGGTGGTGGTGGTGGGGCCCCCCCCCTTTCGCGTGAAAAATCACGTGATGTCCTTGAGCAGCCCCCCCAATACTTGCTAAAGCAAGAAGACTCCAGCTAGCTGACGCTAGCTTTCGTGATATATATAATAAACACTTGTCATGTTGTGTTTCTGACTGCTGCCTGATATTGTACATATCATATATTACATATTATGTTATAGTATTTCATGTCATTTTTATAATATCATATATATATATATGTGTGCATGGGATTATATGGGTATGACTCAAAAAATGGGTATGGATCGTTCTGCGGTGATCCGGATGCATGGAATGAGTAAGTTCATATAAGAGGTTTGATCCGGACCTATTATTGAGAAGGCATACGGTATACTAAAGTGGCCTGGTATGGAGCAAGGGTATGGGTCCAGGGTATGGATAATATCCTTCGAGATGTATGGATCATGGGTATCGATCGGGGCTAAGAACACGCTGGCGATTTATGTGTGTTTACTCATGTCTACATGGGGTGGGGCGGGGTGGGGTGGGGTCAATAACGTTCATTTTGACTTGCACACGCAGTTGACGCTATGCTAGTGATTTCTAGAACCACGTAACATCCGAAACCTTTCTTATGGCTAATAAAATCCTATTCGAATAGATTCGAATAACAACAACGATGGAAATACTGAGGGACGCCCAAAATCACATGACACATGATGCAAATGTGCTTGGCACCATGGTGAAACAACTATTTTCTCCGGAAAAAAATGCGTTCGTGAGCATGGACATCACCCCGGGGGATATGAATGTCTTTGTGTCCATATCTATATCTTAATATCTATAATTAATGTCTATAATCTATAATGTATATATATATCATATCTATCTCTACTGTATCTATATCTATCTATATCTAAGATTCTAGATGCATATTTCTACTTGAGACTTAAGATGGGAAAACCGTTTCCCCACACACTGTTCGCGCCTGGGAAGACCATCTTCGTTGTGCTCGAAGCTGCACCTGCGGGGGCTAATCCCATCCCAATGTTAGTTACACCCCCCATTCTATGGCCACAAATTATCTGTAGATCCCTTACTAAACCATGGTTTCTGAGCGTTAATATTTTTTGGGTGGTATATAATAGATGTTAAAGTTCCCAAAATTCTACCCTGGCGGCTTTTTTTTAATCACTCTTAGGCTCTTAGGTTTCCATAGGTGTCATCTTGAAAGCGCCACTCAATGCTCAGTCCATTTTCTATGGCGAATAGCGATAGTCACACGGCGTGCCGCTCCCAAATGCTCTTGGCTGCTGAACCAAGTCGGTAATCTGACAAAAGGCAAAATTTGCGCACTTTCCGGTTGCTAACATCCTGCTGGTTTCACGCAAACTCTGAAAAAAGGCCAGCGTTCCTGAAGAAAAACCACCTCAGAATGGTAGAGTACCTGCATGTTTCTGCCACATCATCCCAGGTGGATGTTGGAGAGGTCGAATATTCAAGATTTACAGTATATAATGAAGTTCAAACAACAATGAGTATTACGACATATTACGGCCAAATTAGGGAAAAAATACGAAGAGCACAACACAGCTTGCATTCCGTGCTTTAGATGGACGAAATATTCAAACCCCTTCTATCATGTACAACCTCCTCGCCCCCAAAGTTCAATGTTAATGCAACCTGAAGATACCTGAAGTGCATTAGCCCCAATGGACGAAAGAAATCAAACCCCTAACATCATTTTTGGTAACATGCGCGCTGAAACATTGAGATTTGGGGCGCGGGGGTTCAACATAGTGCGTGTTGCAGGGTTTGAATATGTTGTCCATCTACTGTAGTAGACGAAGAACCCAAATTTACACAAACACCCAAAAAAAATCTGGCATCTCCCAGAATCATGGGCGTCAATCCCCAAGCTTCTGTATTTCCGTGGCATCTTTGCGCAAAAGTTCTTGGCTCCAGACAGAATATCTGCCACTGAGACTAGGATGAAAATCCGGTAGTGGCGGTGGGGAAACTGCAAACTGGGTCTCAAACTTAAGTAAGAGAAACAGCAGTTTTCAACAAGCACCTGGGCCACTTGTCCTCCTAAGTCTTGCTTTGAGCCAGGCTCCAGCTTAAGCATCACACATATCACATACTCTTTCCATTTCTTAAACATGCACCTATCATGTCTACCTATGTCTACCTATGACAAGCCGCAGATGTTTACAGCTGGAGTCTGACCCCCAACTCCTAGGGGATCTCCTCGGCTTGGAGCGATTCACTGAGTTTCGCTTTCTTCGTGGGAGGCTCGGCCACCTGTGTCTCAGCAAATCAAACATGGCAGGCCGCAGGCAAATGTCGTGGAAACCATGAAATCCCCATCCATCAAGAATAATCATATAAATTTACAGCTGTAAAATTGTTGCACTAAACTAACAGGGAAATTTCAAGCCGGCGATATCAATTATGGGATCCAAATAGTTGTCCTAGCTCTGTTTCTTCAGCCGTTGTGCAGTGTCAGATGCTGCTACACAAGATGTTTGTTGCGTGTTTAGTTTGGGAAGTTTGGAGCAGCTGGTTTGAATCCATCTCATGCGTCACGTGGGCGGGTCGGACTTACATATAAAGCCCGTCATAAAAAATAAAAATAAAGGACCGGATAACCCCACATGTCAATTTCTTCCAACAAACCCAAAACAGGTGTGAAAATGGGATGGGGAAGACAGATTTTGTGAAATAAGTGTGTGTGTGTGTAACATCTGAATAGATGTAAAATTTCTCTCTCTTTTTCTTCCTTTGTCCTCTCTCTTTCTAATTCTAAATTCAATGCAGGGGGATGGAGAGGACATATGAGGCTCCATCCAACGAAGCTCCTCATATGATCCTAGGATATCACCAGGGACGCCTGGTGACGTACCTGCAGTTCGAATTTTCTGGAATAGCATGGGGCCAAGCTAAGAACCCCAAAGACGAACATGATACATTTGCACGGTTGTCACAATCTGAACTTCACGTCGTGTCGCATCAGAACCTTCCTCAGAGCAAGGACGTAGAAGTACTTCTATTATTCGTAGGATGCATCGGTAATTTCATTGTTTCGTATCTAATCTGCATGTTTCAGGATTCAGTTCCTGCCGGATCATATAATGATCCATTCTTGTCTAGTGTGATTTTCATGGTGGCTCCGACATGGTGCCATGGAGCCATTTGAGGCAACCCTCTTCAGGGTGAGTGTTGACAGTCCTGAATTCTGAATTCACACATTTTAACTTAGTAATTCGTTTAAGTAAAGTGCAACAGTCAGCCTTTCGGTTGTGCACCGTTTTTGGGTATTCTCGCTGCTCCGGCTGTCCCTTGAGACCCTTTGAGAATTGCATTCCTTACAGAGTGAGGCCGTTCTGAACCGCCAGAAACTCCATTTTTTACTAACTGCCGCAATGACATCATTTCAAGACATTGTGAAAAGGCAGGCACACGTCTTTCAGGTGTGGTCTTTTTCCTTTTGGTTGTCTGGTGAGGTGAAACATATTGTGCACCTAATTCGTTGGAACTTGAAAGCCGTCTTATGCCCTTGGGGCTGACTGGACTACGGGCCTGGATTGGCACAACGCACGACCTGTAGGTTTAGGAGCTGAATCCTGTCTTTAATTAATTGTTTTGGTTTTCTTGCCTGTCATTAACTAGTCCCCCATTTGGTCCCTAATTTTCCCCGCGTGCCTCTCCGTAATGTGTCGTGGGGTTTAGGTGTGTGCGCTGTTTTTGGTCAGGTCCGTTTTGCCGTGTAGGTTGGTTCCGGAGGTCCGTCTGTTCCCCTCCCCCCCCTGCGCTGTTTTTGGCCGTCTGCCCGTCGTGTGTCCGCTTTTTTCTTCCTCTTGCCTTTCAGGGTTGACCCGGCTCCGGCCGGGTGTGTGTGTGTAACATCTGAATAGATGTAAAACTTCTCTCTCTTTTTCTTCCTTTGTCCTCTCCCTTTCTAATTCTAAATTCAATGCAGGGGGATGGAGAGGACATATGAGGCTCCATCCAACGAAGCTCCTCATATGATCCTAGGATATCACCAGGGACGCCTGGTGACGTACCTGCAGTTCGAATTTTCTGGAATAGCATGGGGCCAAGCTAAGAACCCCAAAGACGAACATGATACATTTGCACGGTTGTCACAATCTGAACTTCACGTCGTGTCGCATCAGAACCTTCCTCAGAGCAAGGACGTAGAAGTACTTCTATTATTCGTAGGATGCATCGGTAATTTCATTGTTTCGTATCTAATCTGCATGTTTCAGGATTCAGTTCCTGCCGGATCATATAATGATCCATTCTTGTCTAGTGTGTGTGATAGAGCTGTGTGTGTGAAAGAGTTGTGTGTGAAAGTGCTGTGTGTGACAAGGAAAGGTTGTGCGTGACAATGCTGTATGTGAAAGAGCCGTGTGAAAGGCAGTGTGTGAAGAGTTGTGTGTGGAAGAGTTTTGTGTGAAAGGCTGTGTGTACAAGAGTTGTGTGTGTGTGACAATTTGCGTGTGAAAGAATTGTGTGTGAAAGGTTGTGCGTGGAAAAGTTGTGTGTGGAAGTTTGTGTGTTCAAACTTGTTGTGCATGCGTGTGTGTGTGTGTGAAAGCGTTGTGTGTGTGTGGAAGTTTGTGTGTTCAAGTTCGTGAAACAGGTGTGAGTGACAAAAATGCGTGTGAAAGAACTGTGTGATCGAGTTTGTGTGAAAGAGTTGTGTGTGTGTTGTGTATGAAAGCGTTGTGTGTGGAAGTGTGTAAATGTGTGTTCAAGTTTCTGTGTGAAAGAATGATGTTTAACAGAGATGTGTGTTCAAGGTTGTGTGTGAAAGAGCTCTGTGTGGAAGTTTGTGTGTTCGCGTCGATGCCACCAAGTGCCACG